TTATAACAGTTTTTCTGTTAATACGTCCTCCTCCTCCTCGGCCTCGTCTAGCTCTTTCGCTATCTTCTAGCGAACTCTCCGAATCTTCTTATACTCTATACGAGTAACCTAAAGGTTATAGGACTAACCGGCTCGGGCGTATTCTACGTATCGTCCTATACGAAGGTCGACCTTATAGTCGACGTTCGCAGCGGCGCAGTGAAAACACTTAGTAGGTATAATAAAACCGTCGGCGGCGATATTAGTAGCAAGGTTGTCTTTTCGCTCCTTAGAAGTTATATCTTTAGAAGACTTCGGTATAGTATTATAACTAAAGGTTAAGGTAAGGAATACGGGACTATTCCGCCTTAAGAGGGGAGATGATATTACGGGCACGTGTTTACGACAGTGCTACGTAACATGAGGTGACCGGAGCGCCCGGGATAGCGGCGCTTGTCGGTCGACTTCACCTAACCGATCGAGGCGACGAGGTCGGCTTAACCGGTTACTACGGTTACTACTAGGCGTTAGTGTATATAGAGAACGGCATTGAGCTTATCTCAATAGCGTTCAACTTATTATTTAACCTCAGTGATTGGAATACGATTACACTAGAACCCCTGCCCCTCTACATTATTAGGTGCCTTCCCTAGACTACCCTAACTAGACCAAACCCCGTAACGACACTCTTGAAGGTCACCTGACGTAATAGAGTCGAGGCTACAACACTATATATTCTTAATTGGATTAAGATCTAGTAAGTTAGCTAGCTAGTAAAGGAGCTTAATATCTAGATCCTTAAAGAGTAAGATTATAGCCTTTACTTTATAGATTAATACGTTATCTTATATAACAATTATAGACTACTAAAAGAGTAACTAGCTCCTTTAAGAATAAACCCCTTTATAGATAAAGGAATAATCTATTACCTATAGACATCTCTAGTTACCTTCCCCTTATTAAAAATATAGTATTCCCCTAGCTTAGCTACTAATATCTACCTCTATATTATATAGGCTAAGTATTTACGGAAGCGTAATATAAAGTAGTCGTTATTAAAGGCCTCTTAAGCAGTCCTTATAACGTAGACTTGTCCGAAGTAGCTATATCGGATTAAAGCCTTATTAGTCTATATAACTCTTATCTACTACCTATCTATCTAGTTTACGTACTCGTACGCCTATTATAGTCTTACTTGCTTTTACTTCTTAGTAAGAAATAGCTTCCTCGTTACTATATATCGTATATAACCCTCCTTCTTAAACGTAGTTCGAAGTGTCCGGATATCTCGTAATATACCTTTAAGTTTAGTAATCTAATTAAATCTAAGCCGCCTTAAGTGTACTTTAGCTATAGCCCTATTTATAAGCCGTCGTCGTGTTCGAGTAGATATTATAGGAGGGCGTCTACGACGCTATAGTATACGTAGAGATTCTTATTAACAAGATACTAGGACTCGTAATATTATCCCTTTATTAGAGCCGAGGGTATCTATAATACGTTATAGCGGCTAGCCGGCGTGTCTATAAAGAGCCTAGATAACACCCTTCTTAAAGGCTGTAAATGTAGCACCCCGAGCTATTGTTATATTAAGATATAAGGATATAAAGGAGACAGTGTCAAGACGCGTCAGTTTGTTAATGCAGCCGAGAATAGTATAGTGTTAGCAGTTAGGCTAGCAGGGGTTGCTAACGTTTGTGCTGGGGACTGTATGCATCGGTCGAAGTTTGATAGATTGCATGATCGACAGTCTCCACTCCCGCGTGTACTTCACGTGCTGTCCTCGTTTTTGCGGCTCCTTCAGACGATCCAACGTCCTCCAACAGTTGAACCTTGCCGGGCGTTGATGAGTGCGAGCGGACTTGATGTAGCACCAGCCGGGCAGGGAAGCATTCATGCGTGAGCGTTGATGTCTGGAGCATGTGCTAATAGCACCGGCATGGTATGCTTGCAGGACAGCCAAGAGGGTGGCCAGCTGCAGTGCTGTATTCTGTGACTCGAAAAGAGTAAAACAGAGTTTCCACAGCAGTCTTTCGCGTGAGCATCGTCGATGCACAAACTCAGGCCGTAACGCCAAAGCAGTACAGAGGATGAAGACGGAGCACGTTGGCTTCATTCTGAAATGTCCTGGGCGCTGCGGAACAAATGCGTGTTTCCCTTGCTAGTGCGCAACGATTTGATCTTAGGCTTCTGAACACAAAGAGCTCGTGCATATTCCCCAGCCCTTGAAGATGGAAGACAGGGGATGCAGTGCAAGCGATCTTTGTGAAGGAAGATCTGATCGTCGAATACCCAAAGTCCAACTGGGTATCCTTCCATTGTTGCTCAACATGATGACTACTTGGGTCTGATATCTCGCTTGACGTGGTATCCTCGACGTGCTGTATTGATTGTATACAGCCTGGTTCTGTGCTCGCTCCTGGGAGTCTTCGGTGGGACACTCGCTCTTGTAGGAAGTCGTGCGCCATTGCAGTATGCCTGGGAGATTTCGCAGTCTTCCAGCCCTGCGATGAAACTGTTCTTTCAGACACCTCGAATGGGAAGAGCCAGACCAGTAGTGTGATATATGTGTCGCCTATAGATGTCCGGGTTTGTGCATAGTGTTGATAGGAGGCCACACGATTGAGCAGATTCCATTTTGTGAACACTGTAGCCGTTGACGGTGAAAGTCGAGGCTGAGTCCTCGTTGTGAACAGAATGTGTGACCTGGAGCGCGATGTGCGGTGAGTCGTGAATGATGGGTCGCGCGCTCTGTTTACATGTCGGCGGTGGCAGCGTCATCATTGCCGCACATTTTGTCGTCTTGAAATTTTGAGCACCTCGCCACCGACAAACACACCCACCTTGCCGCATCACCACATCCTCCCCGGCGCAGGGCCCCGCTCGCATCGCCCTTTCATCCCCGTCATAAAACCTGCGACTCCGCCGCCATCATCTTCCTCGACTCCGTAGTCTCTTAAAAATGTCCGGAGACGCCACCTCCACCCCCTCCCTCCCCTCCGACACCAAGCCGCGCTGGGGCTGGCAGAAACTCCCCCTCGAGATCAAGCGAATCGTCTTCGACTACGCCGGCATGCCCTCCGAACTGCGCATCCATGTCCACCATTTCGAGCCCCCTCAGGACGGCATCAAGGGCGTGGACATCGAGTACGCAGTCGAGATCAAGAACAAAGAGGAGTGGCGGGACATGCTCCGCTTCCAGGCGATCAAACAAATCAACGCCGACATCATCCAGGACGCCATCGCCAAGAAGAAGATCGCCATCAAGCTCGATATCGTCGGCCACCACATGCAGGGTGATGCCTGGAAAGATATGGGCATCATGACGCCGAAGATGGAGCACTGTGTGGCGGACTGGGACAAGTTTCTGGCGAAGTTTCCGTTCCAGCGCATGACGACCGTCGTTCCGTACATCCTGCGCGACCTCGTCCCACCTGCCGAGCGCAAAGTGTCCATGATCGAGGAGATGCACTACCTCAAGCTGACCTACGACCGAGCCCAGCCGGAGAAGAAGCACGGTCCCGCTGACCCGCTTGCGTGGAAGCAGGAGGCAGCCGTGTGGAAGAAAGGCGAGAACGCCGGGATGAGCGAGGAAGCAGCCACCACCATCCACACCGCCATCGAGGCCAACATCGCCTCGTTTGTCAAATACCTCTTTCGGTTGGGTCCCGACGTAGAGAGTATGGTATGCCTGCAGGAGCGCCTGACCTGGGTCCCTGATCTCGTCTCGTCGGAGAAGTTCCAGATCTCCCGCTGGTTCATGGCCGTCATGGCTGCGAGGGGTGTGTTCAGAACTGCGAGTTCGTCGAGGGTTCCGATGTTCGCGGCGATTGGTGCGAGGGTGACTCCATTGGCGGAAGTGGTTTGGGAGGTCTGAGATGCATACTGGATGGATGAGAAGCCGGGGAGATGTGTGGACAAGAGGCTGAGAGGAGGTGTGATGCGCTGGACACGGAAGGTCTTCCTTGGGTTCTGTTCTGAAGGATGTCCTTTGAGAAAACCGAGGGAGGTTGGCTTTTGAAGGAGTTATGGCGTTTGGAGTTCTGCTTTGGGATTCAGCGATTGAGACTGTTTCTGCGGTTATGCCACTGGTGCTGGAGGTTGCGTACTTACAATTCAGTCGATCGCTCTGCTGTACTCTGGTAACAAGGTATGAGAATGGAGATCAGAGTTTCTGTCTGGTGTTTTGTCAGAGTACTCAAGCCATGCATGGAGAGCAAGTAGGGCTTCCGCAACATCTTCCCTTTTCCTTTTCTTTCACTGCACTAAGATGGCTTCATCCCCTGTAAGGAAAGATGAGTGCGCTGTACTATTTGCCTTCGGTTGTTGATAATCCTATGTTCAATGAAAGAATGAGGTGTCAGTCATGACGTAGGCGATGAAAGCCTGCCACTTGCCGTGGGGAAGGAGGAGAGGCCAGGATACTTGGCGAGCGTGTCAAAATGCCTTCTCTCGCCACCATCTTACTTCCGTTCCATCACACATCAACGACTGGCGACTTACCCATTTTCCCATTCTGCAGCTCGAATGGACAGCGACGACCCAGCGAAGTCTTCCTGGTTGGCAGAGAGACGTGGCAGCGGACAATGACCTCGCCAACTCGACATCCCCCCGTGCAAGACGACTGCTTGCCATCCTGAAGAGCAAGACAAATTCGATCATCTTCAACTTGGGTCCTATCAGTCCAGTACGACAGTGAACGACGGTGAAGCCAGCTTGCGATCGGGCTGTCTCGGGTTCGCCTCTGCTCCACAGGCTGTGGAAGCAACGCTCCTGCCTGGGCTTGTGTCCTTCGCTTGGCCACGACAATGTACGGAGACTAGAATGTACTCAGATCTTGTCCCGACGAACCTGACGTGCCCATGGCCAATCTGTGCAAGCAAGAAGCAGAGGGGTTAGAGATGCCGGACTCTGAGCAAGTCGACATTGATTGACAAGGTCACCTCTGACTCTGCTCGGGTTTGGGGACTCGGCTGCTCTACGGACCTGCAGCCCTTCGAATGTCATGGGCGATAGTCATCCGCGAGTGGTAATGCTTGCGAGCGGTTGAAGTACTGAAGATTTGACAATGATCTTCATCTTTGTTCGCTGCCGCCGAGGTTGACGACCGCCCAAGGAGGAGCTGCGAGGCCTTTTCTGGCCTCCAAGACTGCGAGCGCTGACTCTGTGGTTATCTTGACGGCTTTTCGAGCATGGATCCTGAACAGTCTTCGAGAATATCCGGGACTCTCCAACTTCGACGAACGCCTTGCCTGGTTTCAAGAAGCGAGTACTTGCCGCCCACGAGACTGCTAGTGAGGAGCAAAGACCCAAGTATCTACGTACCTACAGCCATTTCCCGAAATGGCAATTGGAAAAAGTGTCTACGAAAGCTAGAAGATGCCTCAGAGCCACTGCTGCGCTGCTGGTGGTAATGCTCCGCTTCTTATTGGAGCAGTGGCTTTCAAGGCCTAGAATGTGTCCCTTGTCACGATGCTTCATAGGCTGCGGAGCTCAGTATGAAAGTCCAAGGATAATTCAAGGTGTCCAGAGAGTCAAAGATTCGATCGTGGACAATTCGTACGGCCAACTGCCTGGAGTACCGAGCTCCTGAGGACTCAAAGAAGCTTTCTTTTGCAACAGCACACCTCGTCACTAGACTGCCCAGAGTGGCTTGCAGACTGGTCAGCAGTACTCTCGAAGCGGCAGGTACTAGAGACTGTGCTAGGCGTCTTTTTGAGCTCTCTCCTCGCGGGCTCACCGTCTCCCCAGGTTCTGGGCTTCGTCGTGCGAACGCACGCAGATCATGAAATCTTCAAGGAAATATCGGCATCACCTTCACAGGAATTTTGGCTGCAAGTGGCCGATATATACTGCAATCCTGTCGTCGAAGTACGTCACCACCACAAGCAGCTGTCTGAAGCTCGTGGACGAGAAGCCAATCATCCTTGTGAAGGCGATTTTCAGCCTCGGTGTATCTACGACAGGTACAACGCAAGCGGACGCCACGAAGGGGCGGAGAGGGCTCCAGAGCTCCAGAATCTCAAGAACTTAAGCTTGAAATAAACTTCCTCAGACGATCATCCACACGGCGGTCCGCTGGGAACAATGTCAAATCACTCGGGTCTGGATGCTGGGTGGCCTAGTTTCGACGATTTGGCGAGTCGGACAACGCTCCAGATTCGCTCGGTAAGGATATGAAGAGCTTCAGAGTGCAACTTCCGTGGCGCGAGGCGAAAAGCTACAAAACGGTGTTCTGACCATTTCAACATCTTGTCTTCCTAATGGCGTGGTGGCTTTGAGCCCGTATAAGGCCAGGTTACTACCATTATTCGGCGGACACCTGAGAATGGATTGACAGCATCAAGAAACGTTGCATCGACAACGACACAACGGCACCGTCAAAGGCTGACGCCTCCAGATTCTGGGGATGCCGCAGATAAGGTTGAAACCAAGCCTTGGGATCGTGACCACAGGATCATCCCGTTGGCAGCCTCAAAGTCTTAGCGTCCCTGACGAACGCCGCTGACACGTGAAGATGGTCTGGAGGCGGCCTGCAACTCTGTACGCACGGCACTCCTCTGGCAATGATCGACGTAAAGCTGGTCGTCTCATTGGGCCGACTACTATGTATCTGGGGTGTTTCCTACGATTGGGTACTGTCATCGCTTCTGGCTACAGGTAGCGGACGATACACCTCGGTGGTGTCTCCCAGGGCGGCTCATAGTCGCATTCTTTGCTTTCGACGACGGCTACTTCCAGGTTGGATGTCATCAAATAGACGCCATGGCGAGGACCAGTCGAAGGTACAGTGTTGGTCCGACGAACTACATGAGATCGATGACATCTCGCAGAATATGTGGTTGTTCCGACTAAAACATCCCTCTTCCTGCTTCCTTCACTTCATCTCTTAGCCCACCGTCTTAGCAGTGACCCTTTCCAGCATGAGGTTATTGGCAACAGGCCTGTTGGCCAGCTTCGTCGCAGCCTTTCCCTTCCGCATGGACGAGCTCGTCGCTCCTCTCGCCAGAGACGCAGCCTTCCAAGAGTACAAGCGGGCCAAGCTCGAAGGTCGCCAGGCCACTCCACCCCAAGGCGCCCGCGCCCTCCCGGCCTCTCCACCGCCTTTCAATGCCGCAGCTCAGTACGTGAGCAACCAAGGCACCCACAAGTTCGTCGCGCCCGGTCCGGGGGACGAGCGGGGAGAGTGCCCCGGCTTGAACGCTCTCGCCAACCATGGATACCTGCCTCACAATGGCCGTGCTACGATCCAGCAGTTCATCGACGGCACCAACGCTGGCTTCGGTATGGCAAAGGATCTTGGTGGTTTCCTCGCCGTCTTCGGTGCTATCATTGACGGTGATGGTACCAGCTGGTCGATCGGTGGTGTGCCACACACTGGTATCCTGGGTTCGCACAACAACTACGAGACGGACAGCTCGCCGATCAAGTCGGATTTGAACCAGTACGGTTCGAATACGAAGTTCATCATGAGCCAGTTCTACAACGTACGTATATCATTCATGGACGAACGGCACAGACTTACTGATACTGCGTAGTTGTATAACCGCCAACCTAATGCTGCCACCGCCAACTACAACCTCGAGGTGCTTCGAGACTTCCGTGATTCCCGTTTCAAGGAGTCTGTTGCCAAGAACCCTTACTTCGCCTGTAAGATCATCCTTCGATGGATCTGAGCTTCTATACTGACTCAATACAGACCTGCCCTTCGGTGGTATTGAGGTCTCCCAAGCCGCCTTCACCTTCATCTACCGCTTCATGAGCAACAAATCTAGCGAGTATCCAGAGGTTTGAACTCTCTCCCTGATCTCATCTACATGATACTAACTCCCACCAGGGCATCCTCGACAAAGAAGTCCTGAAGAGCTTCATGTCCGTCACCGGCCCCGAGAACAACCTAAAACACACCCCAGGCTACGAAAAGATCCCCGACAACTGGTAACATCCCCCTCACCCACCACATCTCACACGCACTAACACAATCACCACTCAGGTACGAACGCAACCCCGCCGACGAATACTCCATCCCCTACTTCGAAGCCGACATCCTCTACGTCGCCGAGCGCGCCCCCGAAATCCTCACCATCGGCTGCAACAAAGGAAAAGTCAACACCTACTCGCCCATCGACCCGGCCACTCTCACCGGCGGCGCCTACACGGCCCAGCAAGTCGCGAAGAACCCGCTGTGTTTCGGCGCGGAGTTCGTCCTCGCGGAGTTGCCGCTGCTCACGGGGTTGACCATCCCTGCGGGACAACTTTCTACGTTGACAGGTCAGCTGAGCAAGACTTTGACGGGGATGGGATGTCAGAGTATTGGGAGTGTTAATCAGAGTGCGTTGACGGCTTGTCCAGAGATCTCGTTTTATGGGGGGCCGACGGGGCCGATTGCGCCAGGGGCTATTCAGTCGTAGAGTCGCGTGAACATGAGACGGGATTGAGGAATGAGGTGATGGAATGACGTCTAACGATGCACGATTTACACCTGAAAGTTAAGCCGGTTGTATAGTATACACAAGAAGAACAAAACGAGCACGCCGATGGAATATTAATGCTCCAATTGCTTTTGCTTTGTTCACCGTGGACGAACTCTATCGATCTCCGCTCTCACAGACAATACTACATAGGATACATTCCGAGATCGATCCCTTATCCTCCAGATCGGAGATCCATGGGCATCATGAAGCCTATTGAGCGCTAGGGCAGAGCTAACGTCCTCGATACACCTTTATACCTCCGAGACGGCTTTTTCTATTGCAATGAGGACACTGCATCTGAACAACAACAGCAAGGCTTGGCGATAGAAGGCGAGGACTTTTAGAGCTCCAGGTGGCTTACATACCCTTAGAGTACGTCGGTCCTGTGTTAGCTACTCCCGGCAGCAGACTGAGCTGTTACCAAAGTTCTTCAAGCGGATCAGCTATAAATCCTTCAGGCGACGAAACCAAGACTCGCCTCAAATCCCTGACCTCCCTCCCTCCACAGCATCCATCCATTCCAATTGCACTCCTCTGATCTTTCGAAAATGCAACTCCCAAACATCATCCCAACCCTCCTTCTCTTCTTATCTCTTGCAGGAGCACAAGTCAGTGTCCTTTCCCGTCTTTCTCACATTTTCGAACGAGGCGAGGCTGATTTAGAGAAGTATTTTCTCCTTAGCTGAAATGGCTACTGCTCGCCGTGCTGTTGCAGTCTTTCGGGGAAAAGACAGAGTGTGCATATTGTTGCGATGAAGCGAAGTGAACGGGGGCGAGATGGCGGAGTATTTGACGACCAGGAACCTAATCGTTCGCCGCCGGATGAATGCAAGCCCAACAGAAGAAAAGCCTATTAATATCCTTTCTACCATAGGTTGAAACTTATACCAAGAGTAGAGCACGCCAGGGGTATCACCTCCTCAAGTAGCAACTGACTGTGCCCCTAAGTTTCATTGAATAGCGCAGCCTGACTATTCACCAAGACCCAAGTCTCAACCCCGATATCCTCACAATATACACTACAAACACCTCGCCCCTACTACATACAATGCATCAACTCGCCACGGCAAAGTCAGCATATAAGCACTTCAAGAGGCACGCTGTAGGAGAAGCATCAACCAGCACACCAGCAATCCACAGAGCAGCCCCTAATGTCTCGCGAGCCTCATCACCCACACACGCCACAACAGTCAAGAAACTCCCTCTCTCACATCAATCAATCAATCACAAACAATGTCCCACCCAAACCCCCTCGGCAGCAACCCGCCCGGCCCACCGCGGCCACGCCCCCAGCCTGGCCCGTCGAGGCCACCGGGGGGGAGACTGAGCTTTTGGCGATCAGTTTGATCGCAGCAGAGTGCGGAGTACGGAAGGGGTTTTCATTGTTGCGGATTGGGGATCTAGTTTCGATTTAGCGCAACGATCGAGAACGAGGTTCTTTCTTTCTCTTTCCAGAAATCCAAGGAGCATTCGAGGAGGCCTCGCACAAGTTATCTAGGTTTCTCGTATGAATAATGATGGTCTTGGAGAGCCGGTGCCTCCTGAGAACGGGAAGGCAAGTGATGTCCTCCATTTTGGCTGGACAGGCACCGTGGGTATGACACTCGTTCTCTGCGAGACGCCCACCATCGTCTGAATGCAAAAGTCTTCCTTGCCATCGCCACTTTCACACCGGGGGTGCTTCTTCGCCAGAAGCCGTGGTCTTACAGCGATGCTCTACTCCATCCCTGTTAAACCGCTCCTTCCTAAATCGCGCTGGAATGTCTCTTTCGTATCCGGAACCGCGTACGAGACTGAACCTGACTCGGATCTCGGATAGGACAGAAACTTTCTTCGCTCATCGGGACTGAGAAACCCGCCACTGTGAGCCACGTCGAAAAGCATTAAGAGCATCAGGTCCTCGTCCTGCAACCAGACTTTCAACATCTGTCTCGATGACTTGAGGAGATAATGTCGTACGGCGGGTGGCTGAATCAGCCGTGGACTCTTCATGATATGCGAGAGCTTAGCGTGTGTTGGGCGAAGAAGCGCTGGGCCAACGAACTCATATATATGGCGCTCACGGTGCTTTCGAAACACGGCCCACCCGGGACGAAGCCCAGAACCCATGGCAACATGACAGAGAATATCGCCGGGCAGGACACGAGGGCAAGTATCAAAAGTGCGGCCACAGTGTGGCTGGAAGGCAACCTCAGGCTCCTCGCATGCATTTTAGAGTGTCCAGTGCAACTTGCACGGGCGACTTGCGGTAGTCTGGCTTCAAAGGCCCACATGGAGACGGCCACGAAGCTATCCTCAGCAAGGCATACAAACGATCCCGAGCATCGCTGCATTCCCATCCACCAAAGCTACGGACGGCTTGCCGAAGACAAAGTGGCCCTTGTTGCTGTATAGAACCCTTGTCCAAACGAATGGTCGGAAAGATCAAGCGCCAAAGGAAAGTTCCCCACAAGGTTCGAGACCAAGTACTTTTGATGTGACGTTTCTGCTCAACGCACAGAGCATATTGATAGGTGATCATGAGGACAACGATGTCTTCGAAAGCAACACAATCGTCACCGCACAAGACGATGCATCGCTGCGCGAGGTAGACCTCTTGGATTATCCAAATGCGGTGCCAGTATGGTCTACAGGAAAAGAACATCAGTGCGTCTCGAAACTTTGGGTGGGGTGGTGAGTTGACCATTCCTCCTTCAGAGTCCTTGATAGGGTCGGGCTGCAGGGCGTTCAGCCTTTGCCACGCAGGTGATCTGGGGTCCCCTCCGTGCGCGATCCACGCCGCCCCATTATCCGTCGGCATGTCGTAGAATAGAGGGGTGTCCTTCACGTGTGCTGCGACATCTTGGGCCACGCTGAAAACATCTCCGCTGCCGTCTGCATGTTCTCCCACGCAAGAATACACGAGCTCGGCATTGGCGAAGATGTCTCCCATATTTTCGACTTGGAGCGCCTTCTCGTCGAGATCAAGCTGATTGATGCAAATACTGTCGGTCCAAACGTAGCTTTCCGGTGCTTGTCTTCGAATTTGACTCAGTGCATCGTAGCAGTTGCGGCGGATCTCGTATGGTAACCCATTGATGTTGATGCAGGAGATATTTTCCGGCGATCCCCACGTGTAGGACGCTGCGACATAGGGACGGGCTTTGTCGAAGGACCAAGTCGAGATGTTGCAGCTGATGGAGTCAAGATCATTTCCGGGTTCGAACGTCAACAGGCGGATCTGTTTGCTGGCGTCCACGAATGGCTCGTGTACGAAATGAGCAGTCCTTGCTGGCGAACTGGCGCGCTTTCGCTTTCCCGCCATGCTGCCAGACAGGTCCTGTACGTGGTAAGCGTGCTCGTGATGTTTTGAACTGTATCCGTGCCGTAGATCAAGGCGAAAGTCGCCTGGTCACGGGCGTGCATCGGAGGGGGCCTTTTTATATCGTTTGTGGTCTGCAAATCACGGCACCACGCTGAGCTGCTGCAAGATGAAGTTTTCGTTCGTGCACCTCAGGCAGCATGTCCAGCGCATATACAGTGCAGTCAGTGTCAGGTGTGCAAGACTTGTGTCCTATCGGAGTTCAAGCTGTGGTAGTACAGAAGGCGCAGCTACTGCGCCCCTGCAGGCCGCCAGCTCATTGCCCACGAGGCTTGGCAATGTTTCATGCATGATGCCTATGGCTTGTGGAAAGTGGCCTCCTATTCGAGCGCACAATGTTGTGGTTGTTCTGCTCTCGTTGTCCAGGAGTATTGAACACCGCGTGGAAAGGGTTTAGCATTCAGTACACCGGGAGCAAGATCAGTATGTCGTTACTCCTCGCAAGTATGCGTTTGATATTTGAAAAGCCGCGAGGCCAGGCTCTAGTGTGTAACCCTAAGGAATCGCCAAAGTGGCGCCTTAGACACTGCCAGGAATGTGTGGCTACTTTCGAGAAAGCTGCACGGCAGTTGTACCAAAGGCGCAGCGGCTACCCGTCTGAGAGGCTTCTGCTCAGTGCTCGCTTGCAATCACCCAGCATGAGTTCTTTTACCCTTGCCGGGACATCGAATCGTACAATGAGGTTGAGATTTGATGGTATCCGTCGGTAGATATCTGTAGTGAGGACCCTTGCGGCTGGGAGCCCTCACACATCCCCTCCCACCTTCCCCCTCCTCCTCACCTCCTCCCTCGCCCTCTCCTCCTCCCTAAACCTCCTCTCCGCCTCCAACCCCGTCTCCCTCTCCACCCACTCGCTACTCAACGTCTTCCTTCCCAAAAACCCACAAAGCACCAACCCCACCCCAGCAAAAACCGTATACATAATCCACATATCCGTCATCGCATCCGCAAACGCCATCCTCGCAACCCTCCTCTGTGGCTCCGGCAACCGATCGATGACCTGTACATTTGCATCCGCGTTCCCGCCGGTAAGTTGCGCGGCGATGGCGGGGCCGAGGGAGGACGTGAGGGAGGTGTGTTTCTTGTCGAGTTGGTTAGAGTAGACGACTTGGCCGAGGACGACGCCGATGGAGGTCGCAAGGGAGCGGATGAAGTTGAGGGTTGCTGTGGCGGTGGCGATGTCGCCGAGGGAGACGTTTGCCTGGAGGGCGACGAGGGGCGCCTGGAAGTAGGGGCCGATGCCTACGCCGGCGATGATTTGGTAGAGAATGAGTTTCGCCCAGCCAGAGGTGGAGGTGAGGTCGATGAGGAGGCCGAAGCCGAGCGTCATGATGGCCCAGCCCAGATATATCGGCGGGAGGTATTGGCCTGTAATTCCTAGGTATGCGCCGGTCGCGATGGCGGAGAAGCCGATGGCGAGGGCGGTGGGGAGGAGGTAGACGCCGGAGAGGAGGGGGTTGGCGCCGCGGACGGCTTGGAAGAAGAGCGGGAGGAAGTAGAGGGGGCCGATGAAGGCGAGGCCGTGGAAGAAGGCGGCGAGGAGGAGGGCGGAGTTGGAGCGGGTGCGGAAGAGGCGGAGGGGCATGACCGGGTAGGAGGCGAGTTTCCATTCGACGAGGATGAAGAGGATGGCTTGGACGACGCCGAAGACGAGGAGGCAGATCACGGTGGCGGAGTCCCAGGGGAAGGTGATGCCGCCGTATTCGAGGCCAAAGAGGAAGGTCAGTGTTGCGCCGGTGACGAGGATGGTGCCGAGCCAGTCGATGGCGGCGAGGCCCTTGAGGATGGGCGTCCGAGGAGTCTTGATCTTGAGGAAGAAGAGGATGATGAAGAACGCCACGCCGTCGAGGGGGAGGTTGATGTAGAAGCACCTGGACATCGTAATTAGCAACAACCACACAACGCCAGATATGGGAAAAGACTCACCACCTCCAACTAACCCTCTGCGTGAACGCCCCACCCACCACCGGTCCTAACCCGGCCGCAACCGCCCACGTCGCCCCGACCAACCCAAGATACGCCCCCCTGGCCCGTTCACTGAACAAATCCCCCACAATAGTATCCACGAGCGTCAACAACCCACCCCCACCAACGCCCTGAATCGCCCTCGCCGTGATCAGCATCCCCACATTTACCGACAAAGCCGCGATCAGACTGCCCACCATGAAAACGGCGTTGGCAAGGAGGAGTGTCGGTTTCCGCCCGAAGATGTCCGAGAGCTTGCCCCAGAGCGGCGTGCTGGCTGCGCTGGAGAGGAGGTAGGAGGCGCCGATCCAGGTGTAGCCGGAGGAGGAGTGGAAGTGTTCGGCGATGGAGGGGAGGGCGGTGGTGATGATTGTTACGTCGAGGGCGGAGAGGAGGACGGCGAGCTAGGGGGTTAGTTTTGGGGTGGTGGTGGGTGGTGGTGGGACTTACGCAGAGGGCGGTCATGATGATGGCGATGAGGCCGGCGCTTTTTTGGTCGAGCGGCTTGTCTTCGTCTGGGGTGTGTTTGGTGGGTGCGCTGTCAGCGTCCTTGGGTTTCTCGTCACCCATCTCGGGGTCTTCATGGTTCGATAGCGACATTCTGTCGCCGGCTTGTTGCTGTTTTTCTTCGCTGCTTGGATTCATGTTCGATAACAATGCTGGATGCTCTCAATCAACAGTCCTGCGGTAGCAACGCTTTATATCAAGTCCCCAGCCAAACGACAAACCACACCGCAGCGTCACAAAGCCTCCCTGCACAGACCTCGCAACTCGCTACTCTGCAGGCAACCCCCTTCTCGCTCGCTAACGACAGCGAGTACAACACCTTTTCAGGAAGTCACCGTATCCAAAATCGCCAAGATAAGCGGTAGTTCCAGACTCCGACAAATCTGACGCCGGGTTTTGAAAATCTCCGGGGTCGTCAGCCTGCTGCCATTCGTAGAAGCTGGGCCGCTCGCAAACGAGATTGCCTTTTTCGATATCTTTGAATCGTGTGTAGGTTTGAGATGCTGTCGCTAGACTTTATGCGTGAAAGGGACTCGAATACTACTAATAAGTGAACTCATTTCCAGGTCTCCGCGACGTCAAGGTCAAGTAAGATGGCGGACAAGAACCATGATAGCGAGCTGATAGCGCTCTGGAGTCCCACCGCAGACATCTAGTAGGTCAGTGTCAGTGAACAAGAACTTTTCCACTTGAAAGCCTCTCAAAAGATCCCCATGCGAGATGGATGATGCTGAGGCGCATGTGAGATCTGTCAGCATGGTATGCGAAAAGGATGCTTACTGTTAGGGCTGTCCCATTCCATGAACGATGCCGCAGAGGAAGAAGCGCACTTCTACCGCGCCCGACCTTGACTCCAGAATAGGCTGTTGCTCGCTCTTCATTGATTCAGGCGTGTCGAAGTGCTTATCGAGTCTGAGTAGATCGTCGTTAGCACTCAAACCCCCAACCACGCCCCAAAAGCCTCACTTCCCACCTCCCGCCCAAGAAACACTCTCATCCCCTCCATCTCATCCCTACTCCCACCTTTCTCAAGCACCTCCCTCCTCCAACGCATTCCCTCCTCTCGCTTCAGAGGATCGGCCGAGAACTTCGAGGCGAACATATCGCAGGCGTAGACTTGCGAACTACAGTTCACAGACACGGTCAGTCAAGATTTGAAGGGGATGGAGTGGGGAGGAGGGAGGGTACGCACGACAAACAAGAATAAAACCCCGCATCATACCCACTGAACAGATGTCCGAAAATCGCCTGCCCGTGGCCCCCTTCGTCGCCTTCGGGGGCGTCGATGCCGAGGATGGCGGACTTGAGGGCGTTCCAGAGTTTGGTGGTGTTGATGTTTCGAGCTTGTTCGTGACTTTTCGGTTGGTGGATGGTCATGTCGAAGATGGCGATGTGGAGGGATTGTAGCCAGAAGAGCGCGCGGTTGGCGGTTTGTGATTGAAGTAAGCCTTCGATGAGATCTGCTGGGATCGTCTCGCTGGGTATGTCCTCGCCGGGATGTTCCCCCTGCCACGCCTGGCGATGTTCGTCGGAGAGACTACCCCAATACCTCCCCAAGACCTGCAGGACTTCCCTCGTCCAGCAGAACTTCTCCAGCATCTGACTCGGCGCCTCGCAGAAGTCTTGGGCCGTCTCGGGGCCGTGGAAGCAGGCGAAGCGGGTTTTGGAGACGAGGTCGTGGATTCCGTGGCCGAGTTCGTGGAAGAGTTGCCAGAGGTCGGAGTGCGTTAGAAGGGTTGGTTTGGAGGTCGGCGATTTGGGGAAGTTGGTTATGAGGCAGGTGCTGGGGTGGTGCGTGCGGGTACTTGTGCTGGGATTGATGTAGCCCTGGGAAAGGAGTTAGCTTGAGACTGGTCGGTGGGGAGTGTGATGACTCACGGGGTGGATGCTCAAATCGCAGAGTCCTGGGCGTTTGCCCGCGCGTGGATGGACGTCCATGTAGAGGTAACCCAGAAAGTCTTTATGTACCTCTCCCTCTTCAAAGTCGTCGTACACAGCGAACATTCGTACATCCCCATGCCAAACAAGCTCCTCATTCTCCGATCCTCTGCCAGTGGGTATCTGATGAAAAGCCATCCCCATCAACTCCGCAAAGATCTCCAGCATCCGCTCAATCACCCAATCCAGAGGAAAGTACTCCGCCAACTTCTCATGATCTACTGCGTAATCCCTTTGCACGAGGATGCGGGAGTAGTAGGATTGATCCCAGAGATAGAACTTGCCATCGTTTCCCTCCCCTCGAGCTGTCAGTCCTTCCGTTTTGAGCTGCTTCAATCGCTCGATCGCAACTCGGCCTTTGGGCACCAGCTTCAATCGCACGTCTTCGAGGAAATCGTTGATCTTCTGTGGCGATTTCTCCATCTTATCTTCCAATCGGTATTCGGCGTGGTTGCTGTATCCCAATAGCCGTGCAGCTTCGTCGCGGAGGATGAAAGCTTTCTCCAGTAGAGGTACGTTTTCGTTGCATTTGGTGACGTTGCCGATGTAGACCTTCCTTCTTGTCCCTGCGATCTTTACATGCCCCAGCACGGCACTGGTATGCGCAGGCCGAAAGCTAAGGTGGTATTGACCTTCACCATCACTTTCCAGTCCAGCGAACACATCATCAGGAAGGCCATCAAGTTCCTCTTTCGTGAAATCAACACTACCCTTCTCCTCACTCAAATTCTTCTCAAACTGAGCTTTGACATCTCCCAATTCCTTACTGATCTGCTGAAGCCGCTTCCGATCTTCCTCTCCCAGATGCAGTCCATTGCGTTTATACTCCAGCATCTGCCGCTCCAACAAACGGCGACATTCCTCATCCAGATCCTCGTTCCTGTCATAGACAGCTTTCACCAAACGAGAAACATCCTCTCGCATTCCAAGCTCGGTCTCGAGTTCAGAGAACTGCTTCTCTGCCTTTCTCGATGCTTCGCGGACCTTGTCGTCTGTCGAGACATTCTGATAGAATTCCAGCATGTGCCGTCCGTACAGGCGCTCATTCTGTTCGTGAGCGATCGGCAGGAGAGTGTTCGCGAATGCCGCAGTGTCCGGTGTGATGGTCGTGGCGATGGAGTCTTGCACGGATCTTGCTTGGTCGATAAGATGTTGGGACTCTTGGAGGATGGATTCCGGGGTGCCGGTGAAGACTGGCGGGGGCAATGGGAACTGCATCCTGTCCGGTCTGTAGATTAGAACGATACTATTCTTGTGGAAGGGAGCCAGCGTAGGATAAGGGAAGATATTGCTCGCTTTTTGCCTTGTTGAGGAACCCAGCACCCTCTTGGAGTTAGCACAGAGATGTCGTGACGCCGGGGCCTGCTCATACCTTCAAAGTGAAACTTCAGAACTTTGCCATGCATCTCTCCAATTCCCTACGACCGGCTGCGCTGCTAATCACACTAGGAGCTGCTTGGAAGGGCTGGCAACAACGGGGATGAAGTCAAATTCGATTGCAACAATCCTCCTGACGTAACCTCACATGCGGCACGGTCGAAGCCACCACTCCTCCTCCCATTGCCCAACAGGTATAGAGCGATCAGCTATGTCGACCGTGCGCTGCAGGGAGTTTGGCCTGCCGTCCAAATACCTCGCCTCCAGCGCCGTCAAGCGCCCATATCCATAGGGCATCTGCCGCGCCAGCCCAGAATCGACACATCCCTCCCTCCTATACCACTCGTTGACCTTGAGCAGGAAAGACAAATCCCCCGCCGTCAGGACCTCGACGCCCGCGAGATGCATGTTCTCGCCCGCCCATTGCGCCAGCTTCTCCTGCTCGCCCGCTCGATCGTTTAGGAAGCATTCGATGAGGCGCAATTTGCGCAAGGTGGAAGAGTGTCGCTCGAGGAATTCTTGAAGTGACTGCGTGTCGGGTAGTTGGAGGTGGCCAAGCTCGAGATATGTCAAGCGAGGCAAGGAGACGGGTCGTCAGTTCCGGAGGTAGATCCAGCATGCGCGCCATCTTTAGCGTTGATGTTGGTGAATGTCTGCACGGTGGTGGTGGTCGGGTGGAGACGCTTGTTTCGGCAGTTATGGTTCGGCCAGGCGATCATCGGTCCGGCAATACGAGGTTCCGTCCCGGTCTTTTCGCAGAGTTTATGCAAGGGGAAGAAGCTTGAACTTTAGAAGAACACTCCTGGCGTCGACAACAACAACACCTCTTCTTCCCTAGTTACTAAACCAAGAAGCACCCACAACCCGAATGCTCCATCCAGATGATTATATCGGTATATTTTGTCCGTCTCGCTGAGCCAACCTGCAAAACAACACCAGTCATGCCCAATGAAGCAGCTTTCAACGTTCATACAGAACGCCTCTACCGCCGCCGTCGTTCAGCCTCATCCGCTGGCTAGTCAAGAACAAGAAGGAGCTTCCGGTCCAGTCCTTTCGACAATAACGACCGGAGAGAGTTCCGCAGTGATATATATCAATCCGTGGAGCAATTGATATGCAAGAAGTTTGGCAAGGGACAGTAATCAACAAGGCAGTCTTCCCGCAAGATCTTGGCTTCAACTCATTCAACGAGCAATTATCAGATCTCGTAACTCGTATCGGAAGCCTCGAGAGACGGCGTTCGCATATCTCGTATCGTCTCAAGTAATATCCGAGCGGCGCCCCTTTGGAAGGACGGACCTTTCAATTGAAACCACCACGGCCCACTGTCTGAAAATATGGAATGCTTCCACAAAATCCCAATCCCAAGATGGGCGCCTCGCGATATGGGCTGTACACGTTCGCTGCGGTGCTTACTCTGCTGATGTATGGACTTCTCAACGAGAAATGGGAGACTCGAGTGAGGACTCCTCCAACAGCGAAATATGCGGGCTGTCCAGTCTCGCCCGATGCTTTGATGAGGATTATGCCTGTGGGAGATTCGCTCACGGAGGGTACGGGGAGCAGTGATTACAATGGCTATCGTTTGTTTCTGTACAATCTGTTGATGGAGAACTGCGGCGAACATTTTGTCGAATTCATCGGTGAAGACGTCGACATACCACAAAATGCACATCCCGCTAACTTCAACTCCCAGGCACCCAACACTCCGGCACTTCACAACCGACAACCAATTTGGCCTCAGCGAAACCGAAGGTTACAGCGGCTACTCGCTCGACCACTTCCTCGCCCACAGCCGCGAAGGCCTCCAAACCACCCTCGCCCGCAACCCCAACGTCGTACTGCTGCACATCGGCACAAACGACATGAGTCCCCTCCGCCTCCCCACCGCCCCACCCCCAGCAACAGCCCCCGAACGCCTCAACGACCTCATCGACATCATCTTCGCCGCACAGCCCAACGTCGTCCTCCTCGTTGCTCAGATCGTGCACTCCCCCAACGCCGGGTGGACCGAGCACTCTCCAGCCTACAACGCAGCGATACCGAGACTCGTGGCTAGGAAGCAGAGGCAGGGATACGAGATATTGACTGTAGATATGAGATCTGTGGGTGCGGACTGTGTGAGGAATCTGGATGGAACGAGTGTGGTCTGCGACGATCTTATTGATGATGGGGTGCATCCGAAAGATGAGGGGTACAGAAAGATGGCGGCGTTGTGGTATGACGCGTTGAGGAATGCGACGAATAGAGGATACTTTGTGCCTTGAGGGAGGACTGTGGCACATGCGGGTGCTGTTGCTTATGGTCAAGGGGTCTTACTCGTCCGCTTGTGCAGACACCGCACTGGATCCAGACAGAGATACGCCGGCCTGCCGTTCGAGCCAGCTCAGCCGCGGAAGAGTTCGACAACTTCTCGGCAGCGACCCAACCTCAACTGTACATTCGACCGCACAGCGTCCACCCCAGGCTACACTCCACATGATCATCACAAGTAAGCGGCCATCTTAGCAGCATACCGCTCTGCCTATTGGCCGGCTCGTATGTTTCCACGATCGAGACAGACATATCACCAGGCTCATGGCGGATCTCGCGAACTGCGGATGCTTCGAACGACATGGCAGCCCAGCAAGAATCGAGAATCCGCCCTCCGCCCATCAGCACCCAAGCAAAAGTGCGTCTCGCCAAAGCTGGCCTGCTTGCTCTCGCTCCACCTCGTCAGTCGATGTCCTCGGGCATATCAATCACCGCGACGAAAGCAGGCCGAAGACCAGGTATCCAGGTTCGATGAAATCCAGGTCCGCAGTCCGCGCGCCCGCCACGGGCGAAGGTATACCCGACACCCAACAGCCAAGTCGAGCCTCCTGTCCAGCACTGCCTTCTCAAGTAGACCTCCGTCGTTCGAACTCGAAAGCGAAGCCAGGCCTCCGCCGGGTTGAGGAAGAAAATGAGACATCGGCCTGGTTTCGTGATCTCTTCTCTACCGCAGCAGCGGGAAGGACTCGCGCCGCGCAGGACATGTAGGCGTGGTCGGGGATGAGGTGGGGAGAAAGGTCGCATGGTCTTGCTCATCTGTATCACTGGTGCGTCTGCTCGAACGGCCTGGATCACTTGGCGGTTGTGCAAAATTGGCGTCTGTTGCGATCTTCCGCGCAGCGACTCCGTTCGACTCTCCCAGTCTACGTCTCACGGCCTCGGCCAAGAGTAACGCAACCGCCCAGCCCACGTCCATCTCCAATACTCCCGAGCCAAGATCTAACATCGACCCTCCATCCTCATAGCAGACAACCCAGACGTCCAAAGATGGCGTTACTACGTCTCGGCCACTCATACTCCCCCGCGCGGCCGCCCTTTGTTGACCTTCAAACAGCCTCCAAACTTCATCACACAGCCTGTTTGGCCAGTCAAGACCACCAAATCGGTACGGCTCTCGTGCAGGTTTCGGGTATGTGGTCGCACATCGTCGAGGGGTTGTACAGTCCAGAAGCCACGACATGTCGCAGTCGCCGTCGTCGCCGGCTAGTGTTCAAATTTCGCGGCCGTCTGTCGCCGCTGCGGTGAAGCCAATGTCCAGCCTGACTTCGTCGGCGATTCCGCCGGAACGACCGACCACAAGCTGGGAACCACTTTGTGAATCATCGACCATCCCAGTTCCGGGCTCTGTATTCGGCGTGTGCGGACGAGGTCCATCCAGGCACCGATCAAAGCGAGGCGAATCCGAGACCGGGACTACAGCGATGCCAAGATGGACGACGTCCGATCGATCGGGATTGCGATATTGTCGGTGGTCTCTTCCATGGATGGGATGCAGAGTTTGGTAACAGCCCGTTTCTTCTGCGCCAAGCTCCTCTTTCAATAATGGCCGAGTCAAGTATTCTTTCATGAACCCGCAGCCGCGTCCATCCCAATTTTCAAATGGCATGAAACTGTAGCGCGCAGGGGCTTTCTGCCAGATCGTATTATACCCGATTGTTGAGGCTGGTTCCTTCTTGAATCACGTACCCTGCCAACGGAATCACAGTGCAGCCTTTTTGCTGCAAGGACACCCCCACGGGAGACACCGAGACCGGGCCCGGATTTGCGCTGCATGCATGCAAGCTTCTCCACCCTTCCTCTCTTCACGGACAAGGTAAGCTCAGCAGCACCACCTCGGAAATGCAGGCAAGCTCCAGCCGGCATCCGCGAACCATTGAAATCCCGATCTTATCAGATGAATGTCATGATTCGGGGGCGAGAGTATTGGATGGGTTCAGGTCGGGTCGCAACGCAATCAAACGAGGGTAGGGTGGTCGCCGTGCGTTTTATGCAGTGTGTTGTCATTTGGGCGTCTCCGCCGCCAAGTGGCCTGTTCGAGGGGATCGTGGTGTTGTGTTGTGCGGTGTGCTGTTCTCTTGGCCATCAGCGACGACGAGGTTCAAAGGCAGCCGTGAAAGTCCCATGCAGAGCGGACTGCTGAGGAAATTGTTCCATCGGAAATTGTCTCTCGGTCTTGAGGCGTACCTCAGCGTCGAACCACCAGCGCCACCACCATCCCACTCGGCGGAGCGGAAGCACGACTCCACCACCACCAGCACCACGATAATGCCCACCCCAATCCGCACCCTCCTCCTCGACACCACCTCCCCGCACCCCCGCTACATCCGTCTGCACTCCGCCTCCTACACACCGCGCGAATTGCTCTCCGAAATCCTGTCCATGGCCAACCGCATCGTGCGGAAGATCTCGGAATCACAATTATCCTCCTCGGACCGCCGCATGTGGGGTGTGCGGGAGATGGCGAGCAAGTGGGATAGCATCAAGGCGTATCCGGAGATGTTGGCGGATGTGGATGGGGAGTTGTTGAAGATTTTGGTGTTGGATGCGTATGCGGATTTGGAGAGGTTGGAGGGTGGGAGGCCTTAGATCGGAAGATGGGAGAGGGAGAGGAGCGTCGGTATGGTGCGGGATGGCGGTGATGCTGCGAGGGGTCGGGAGTTGGTTGCAGGAGCTGTGGTCGGATGTGGTGAGATCGAAGAGATGGAATGGTTAGTGTCGGCCGATCGTGGTCTAGTGGCCGATGGCAGCGGGCTGTATCGTTCTGAGGAAGAGCTTCGATGCCGCTGGGATTATATTCTGGGTGTCCGAACGGTGTGATGGACAGAAGCAAAAGCAGGAAAGGACATCAATGTGAATGAACATGAAATGGACCGAATGGGGCGTCGGAAAGGAAGATCATGCTGCGGAAAAGCGAGGGACAACGAGGTATGATAGTCTTTCTTCGTCTGAGGTTCGTGACGGGATGTTCAGGAAAGCGGGAGATAGCGTATTGAAAGGGACAGGAAGGGCCCGACGAGAGTCGAATGGAAAGAAGCAGATAGGGCGTATGTCTGCAGAAAGGGTGGGACTCGTGCTGGCGAACGAGAATGGACCCTTCTCTCTCTTCAACAGAGTCAACGAAGTCAAACGAGTGAACTCCAAATGTCAATGTGAAGGACATGGAAATCCTACTCGAAACCTGGCCTTTCTCATGAGGTAGTAGTAAGCTAGGATGCAAAGAACGTATCTTGATGTGCACGGCGAACAATAGGAGGAGTGAGTAGGTGAGAAAGACAAAGTGGTGAGTAGAAGCGAAGTGAAAGAGACTACGAAGGACCAACAAAGTAGAACTAGGACGGACCGCACCATCACAACTGCCGAAAACGAGGACCTTTAAATCACATGCCGTCCCTAGCCCATCCTATCAGAGTTGACGTATTACTCAACAAACGTCAACGTCATGCCGCAGTTGCACCACTTCCTCCTTTCAGACTTTCCTCCCGCGAACACGACATATCCGTATCTGTACCTTTTCTTCTGAAAATGCCTGTACTTGTTCGGGAGGTCACGAATTTACGAGAGTTTTTGGTTGGGATGACATGCTTGCTGGGATGGGGTGGGTGTAGGGCAAAGCGAGGGAAGTGTCTTGCTCAGAATTCCTTTCGTCTTCTTGGGACTTGAGAACACTGATGCCATCCGACGCAGTTGCGGTCGGTTCCCTCTGTCTTTACCATCCTGGGTTGATGTAATCGCCGTGCCAGACCACTGGCTGAGCTACAGCTACTTTACGGAGACCTGCTGCTGCAGAGCCTATTGTATCTGGCTTTCTGGATCTGCTTCCATGGTACTAGGGTTTGCACTGGGTTACTCTTCGCTCGAGGTCGCTGAAGGCGTTCTGGAGAAGAGGTGAGCTCGAATGGATGAGCATTCGTTATTCGTTACTTCGATCAGATCATATGCTCTAATCCTCTGGACCGGCCAATCCCAAAGCCTGTCTCCTCGTTGGTGCATCGGCCTTGAAGAAGGGCTTCTCGGCGAGAGATGTGACTCGAGTGCCGTGGCGAGGCTCGCCGCCCTCGTAATCCCACGAGGCGTTGTGCATGGTGATACTTCATAACCAGTCAGCAAAGGCCATCGAAAGCACCACACACACACAAGAAAAAGAAGAACAAGACAAGACACACCGATTATCCCAAATCGCCGAACTGCCCGGCGTCCACTTGAACCGCACCTGAATATCCACATTCCCCTCATACACTTTATACAAATACTCCAGAATCGCATCGCTCTCGCCCTTGTCGAGCCCCACGATCCTCACCGTCATCGCGCGATTCACGTACAGCGCCTTCCAGCCCGTGGCGGGATGCACGCGGACCATCGGGTGTTCGCGCTCGATGTACTTGGGGCCGGCGGTGGGGTCGTTGCGGTCGAGGTAGGCGTGGGCGGAGCGGTAGACTATCCACACGGAACGGTATCAGTCATCTGGTCCTGCATGTCTTACATATGCCTTCTAGCCCTCAGACTTACTTGCGGTGCGGCCGTCGATGATGGCGCGGAAGGCCGGGGAGAGTTTCTCGTAGGCGGCGTAGCCGGAGGACCAGAGCGTGTCGCCGCCGATAGTCGGGGCGGTGTCGTTGTGCAGGTGGGTGTAGCCGGCGGGTTGGCGTTCGTGGACGAGGTCGGTATGCCAGTTCTGGGTGCCGAGGGGTTGGCGGAAGGAGGCCGGGCGTTCTTTTGTGGCGAGGGCGGGCCACATTACTGTCGTACCTGGCAGGCCGGGGACGTGGGGGACTTGCGGGTGGACTTCGACCTCGCCGAAGTAGGCGCCGAGTTCGAGCTGTTGTTGGGGGGAGAGGTCTTGGTCGCGGAGGAAAACGACGCTGCGTTCGGCGATGAGGAGGGCGAGTTCGTCTCGTTGCTGGTCGGTGAGGTCTTTGAGTTGGACGCCGACGAGTTCGGTGCCGATGTGGGCGGTTAGGTGTTTGACTTCTTTTGCGGCGGAGAAGAGGGCTTTTTTGGATTTGTCGGCTCTGCTGCCTGGGTCAATGAACTCGCGGTCGTAGTCGCGGATGGCGTAGACGTCTTGGAGGTAGAGTGGGCGGGCGGGCCGGTACTGGAGAGATGTTCAGGCTTATTGTGAGGATTGATGTCGGTTACTTTGCTTACAGGATATCCTTGGGATAGATCAATACCAGCCTTTTCCAACCTGGCTCTCGCTGGGCCTGGCAGACCCAACGAGTCGATCTTCGTCGGAGGAGCGACGTCGACGATTTCAGGAACGATTGCTGCTGGCGCCATGATGAAAAGGAGTTAATGGAGAATCAAAGACTACTGATATCGAATACAACAGCGAAAGATGAAGAAGACAGCCAGAAATGCCCACCGTCTCCTCGTCTGCGCGGAACAATGCCACTCCATATACATAAAATGCCCCTCCTCGAATGTTTACAAACCACACCCAAGCTATTCAACAACACCACAACGAACCCCTCCACCACCGGCATTCGATCCGACCGCCGATGCGCCTATCTTCCAATTAAATCATCAACAATTGATGTTCGGGTCGTCGCAGTTGTGCTGCGAATTGCGCCATCAACCTCGTCGAGCTTGCCATCGCAGCCTCCATGCAGGGCAACATCATGGACCGAAGCTTACCCGAACATCCACACACAACACTCTGCAACAACAAGTTGGGGACAGTCTGGATATTGTAATCCAGGCATGTCGCCATGGCGGAGACGAAGCACGCATAAGCTCCACTATACGCATGAAACTACGCTGGCGTCGGTATACCAAGCACAGAGAAATCGACGAGCGAGTAGCAAGAAAGAAGAAGATATGCATGCAGCGACAAGACCGCACGCGAGCGAGTAGCGATTCCCTCAACGGGTATTGCGTGCTACTGTAACAGCAGAAGAGCCCAAGAACTAGCCTTTTCGCCTCGCCGCGCCAGACCACGGACCCGTTCACTATCTGCGTGCGTGTGCGTGCGTGGAGTTGCATGGTCTGATTAATCGATCAGCATCGGCCATGGGCTCGTCAAAACGTGGCCGGTCCCTCTCGCCAGACGCCGTCGAGCAGATCCCTTTGCTGGCGCACGAGAGAGGCAGTCCGTCTGCTTCTTCTTCTTCCTCCTCTTCATTCAACATGGCTACGTCTGTTGATGGTAAGGAGAAGACGGCCGTTGCGTATGCTGCTTCGCCCGAGGAGAGCGATGTCGAGAGTAGTGTGGCGTTGCCGCCTGTGAGGGTTGATGCGGAGGGGAAGCCCAAGATTCCTTGGTGGGCGTATATTTGGGACTATGAGCCTGGGCGGTCGAAGGTCAGTATTCGAGATTCAAACTCGAGAGACTGTGATACTAATGATGTGTTATCCAGGAAGAAACAGCATTCATCCAACGCCTCGATGTCTCCGTCCTCATCATCCTCTCACTTGGATACTTCATCAAAAACCTTGTAAGCACTTTCCACTCCAACAACCATCTATCCAGCTGACAGAAACATCAGGACCAAACCAACATCGCCAACGCCTACGTCTCCGGCATGAAAGAAGCCCTGCACATGGACACGGACCAAATCAACCTCGTCGACACCGCCTGGACAGTCGGCTACGTCGTCGGCCAGATTCCCTCCCAGATCCTGCTCACCAAAATACGCCCCAGCTATTGGATTCCGTTCTGCGAAATGATATGGACTGTTTTAACGTTCTGTCTCGCCGCCGCCAAGACTTCGAACCACGTTATCGCTATCCGCTTTTTTGTTGGTCTGGCGGAGAGTATCTTCTATCCTGCTGCGCACATGATCCTCGGCAGCTGGTACAAACCCTCCGAGCTGGCCAAACGAGCCTGTATCTTCCACGCTTCGTCCGCGCTGGCGTCGATGTTCTCTGGGTACCTCCAAGCGGGCGTGTACAAAGGCCTCAACGGCGTTCGGGGTATGGAAGGATGGCAGTGGCTTTTCATCATGGACGGGGTTATTTCCGCCCCGATCGCCCTTGCGGGAGTATTCATGATCCCCGACTTGCCTGAGAATTCGAGAGCGTGGTACTTGCGCAAAGACCAGATCGCCCTGGCACAGAAGAGGATGGATATCGTGGGACGGGCGAAGAGGAAGGGGTTGGGCTGGGATGCGTGGAAACGCATCTTTGGAAGATGGCATGTTTATTTATTGTGCATTTTGTACATCATTTTCATCAATACGGTAAGTCCTAACACTCTTCTCGGATGTGAAAGAATGTTCTATACTGATTGATGGTGAATAGGGCCCCTCCTCCTCCATCAACCCCCTCTCCCTCTGGCTCAAATCCCAAAACTACTCCATCCCCCTCGTCAACATCATCCCCACCTCGCAATCCGCCGTCCAGGCCGTCACGACCGTCCTCTTCGCCATCGCATCGGATTACTTCCGGAATCGGTAAGCAAACTCCTCTCCCCCCGACTCTCTCCACATCCCCATATCATGCTAAATTGTGTGGGATGATATAGCCCAGCAATAATGTCCTTCTCCACCTTCTGGGGCTTCTTCTGCTCCCTCATCCTCGCCATATGGCTCGTCCCGAGCGGCCTCAAATGGTTCGCCTTCGAAATGTACCGGGCGAGCGTCCCCTACGGCCCCATCAGCATGTCGTGGGCCAACGAAATCTGCACCTCCGACGCCGAAGAACGCACCATCGTCCTCGGCCTCATGAACTCTCTCGGCTACGCCTTCAACGCCTGGGTGCCGATCCTGACCTACCCGGCGAGTGACAGTCCGCGATTCCGGAAGGGGTTTGTGTTCTCGACGGTGGCGTTTGTGGCGCAGTTTGGGATTACGGGGGTGGTGTGGTGGATGCATAGAAGGGATCAGAGGAGGAAGGGACGAAAGGGGGATGATACTGTTGTCGAAGGGGGGGAGGAGAGTGGTGAGGTTCAGAGGGAAGATGGTGGGAAGGGGAGGGTTAGTGCGGAGGAACTTGGTGGAGTTGAGAGGAGGCGGGAGGGGGAGATTCGGTTGGAGAATTGATTGCGTACTGATAGAGACGGATAGAATCTGTCGCAGTGATACAATACAATGCCCTCCCAAAGAAGTGTTCTTCCCTCGATGGCTAGTCGACCGAAGCCGGGTGGGATAGACGAAGCATACCTATCGCCCTGCGATCATGGAACGTCAAGTACAAATCAACAAAGCAGGGGTCTTCTTCCAATCGAGTGAATTCGACGATGGACCCGCACGCATGTGTGGGAGTCAGAAGACACGAAACCTCGCCGAGCGGCGCAAGATGTCGTCGAAAAGGTAAGAATGAGGCAAGTTCTAGTTCGACTTCGATCCTGGATTGACAGTGCACAAGAGAAAATGTCGATATCTCAGTGAGCCATATCGCTCCGCGTCAAGGCCATCTCTGAATCAATCTAGCAGATGCTCCTCAGCAGTACACTCGCCTTTGATCTCGAGGTACACGTACCAAAAGTCGTACGTCGCACACATCTCTGTCGTCCAAACCTAGTCAACCATCGTAAATGGAGACCGAGGCCGTCCTCCAACGCACCAGCGTCGCTCAGGAAGAGAACAATTCCCCCTTCTCCCAACCCCGCCCAAACCTCATCCAAACCACCCCCCGGGCCTCTGCTCAAGAGGCGCAAAAATATCCAACCCTTCAGCGACCCCAACATTCATCCACCACCTACGGCTTCTCAACCCTAACCTTCGTCTTGAAGCACGCCAATTCCTTCTTCCCATCCCGAATCTTCACCGTAAACTTCCACTCGCCGTGATGTATCTTCTCCGGAACCACCGCATCCGCGCGTACATCGACTTCCTGCGTCGGACAACTCATTTTCTTCGAGTCGCACACCGGCGCGGGATCCAAGGACTTCTTGTGGATGCCCTTTTTGAATTTCATTTCGAGGGTTGTGGAGGAGGAGAGAGAGGTGGCGCTGGTGCCGTTGACGTGGAGGGAGAAGGGTTCCCCGCTAGAGGGTTTTGTTAGTGGTTCGGGGGATAAATGGGGGTAGGGGGAGGGATGTACCGGGTCAGAGTCGTGGGACAGAGGTTGACGGTGTCGAGGGTGATGCGGTAGTTGTTATCGTCTTTGCAGTATTCGAAGCCGCCGAGGCCGTCGATGTAGGTGGCGGTTGTGAGGGTTGCTGCTGCTGCGAGGAGGAGGGCGGCGAACTTCATTGTTGGTGGTGTGTGATGGAAGGAGAGAGTTGAATGGGAGATTTCTTAAGAGAGGATTGTGGGAGGGTTTATTTCATTGAAAAAATTTATCTTGTGTTCCCGAGTCTACGGTAGGTTTTCGTGGTAAGAATCAGTGTCTGCGGAATTCGTACATCTGGTCAGCTTATGTTGATGTTTTTATTGGCTGTACCGCCAAATGGCCACAATGTGAAGAGGTTTTCAAGTCGTTTCGCTTTCTTTCTGCGAATACGGTAGAGAGTATGTTGAATAAGAATTTATAGGCGAGTTGGGACGACGATGGTTGTAATGCATCGTGCGTTTGATAAATCATCGGGCTGTGAGCAGAGGCCTTGCGTGAACGGCTCCAGAATGTCATGATAGTGAACGAAGACCAGAAGAGTCTGCGTTCCAGAGCATCAGACATCAGAAATAGAGGACTGGCAAAATACATATGTACAGCACCATGCAGCTATTCAGCTACGCCACGACGCTTCCACAAGGCCTGGCCCGCAGCCTCGAGAGCTTCTTCCGTCAAGACCATCAGGTCACGCCACACTTTCATACTTCCTTGGCTACGCCACATCGCGCAGAACATCACCAATACACGTTTCTGACTTCAAAAATGCATGTTGGCTGCAGGGTATTATATGGTTTGTGAAGTGCTGGGTCTGCATCGTCGCTTACCTCTATGCAGCCACGGGAGCTTGACGAGAAGTTTATGTATCTCGTCACGAGATGGCAATGGTTGATATAAGCCAAACTGCTCCCATCCTGTCTGCAGGACTCACAAACCCCTTTCCTCAAGTTCTGTACGACAATGGCGACCAGCATGATTGACATCGAGAAAGGCGACATGACCTCGACCATCTCGTCCCGCGATGCCCCATCACCAGACAGATCCAACAGCCAAACGCCTCTAGGCCTCTAGGCCTCTTCCAGCTCCTCGTGGGCATCCACACCCACCCCTCCCTCACGACCCGCCAGACAGACGCCGCCAATGCAGGACAGAAAGCCAACTCTAGAAGCGACAACGTTGGCCTGTACCAACGGATCAAAGCTGAAGAACGCCGTCTGCGAATCCAGTACGCCCTGACGAGCTATATCAACAACTCGCTGTATATGCTGCAGATCTTGCTCGCAGCGACGTTCACGGCTCTGTCGGCGTATAAGGATACGCATCCTGTTAGCTTGACTGTTCTCGGAGCGATAAACACCGTACTCGCCGGGTACGTCCCTTCACTATCCTTACCATTTACAGTGGAGAGGCTGACCAACCTGTGTACATAGCTGCCTCGCCTGGCAAAAAGGCCAAGGCGTCCCCCAACGCTACCGCAAAGCCCGCGACCAATACCAAGCACTCCTGCTCGAGATCGAAAGCTCCGAGCGATCCTTCATCACGAATGACGGCGACCTGGATCCTCGGGCTGAGAAGGCGCGGCTGCAGAAGTTGTTTGATGTGGCCCGCGCAGATCAGCAGGCCAATTATCCGGATTTGTATGTTAGTACTGAGGGGCATGGAAAGGAGGGTGGGAAGCGGGATGAGGAGAGGGTGGAGAGGCTTCAGAAGTTGTTGGGGGAGTTAGAGGGGAGATTGAAGGTGGAGGGGGGAGGGAAGTGAGATTGTGGAAGGTCTGAGCGGCTGCGGTGGTGTCTAAGGGCAAATGATCGTTGATGGTGGTTGGCAGACTCTCCAAGCGCTAGAGATCGAATTGTCAGTTGCTCCTTGGGGGCGTTGCTTCTATTCGTGTACGTGAACTCATGGCAGCTCGGGTAACGTCATAATTTCCAGACTCGCAAGACCAGAAACCCAGTACGTTGTGTTGAGCAGAAGAACAGAGCCATAGAGTTGGCCCTAAGAAAACGTATTAGCCTGAGAGCCCTACCCCAACTTCCCCGCAAGGAGCCGGTTCCTACAGCATACGTCTTAAACGAAAGACCGTTCTTCGGCTTGGACCGCTGCGCCTTTCTCAAGCTGACATGTTTCGGGGTTTCGGGGACTGAGTCTTAGCGTGCGTTGACTGACGAGGCTGAGTGGTCGGTCGGTGGATGTTTTCGCTGGAGAAGATGTCATCAGACCTTGGGACTCCTCTTGTATCGCTCGCCATGCAGACAATACTCTTTCACAAAATGCATGTCCTCGCAATAATGGAAAGAGTATGCAGGGAGGCCTTGCGTGGATTCCACTTGCCACTGAACATATTCCACTCCTACATCACCGCACCCGTACGGCGCTGACACAGTGGACTGAAACATTGATGCTGAGGGCTCGCAAGGCTGGTAATTCGGATACCTATTCGATTTGGGACTAGTAAACGGGACTGAAGCGTAATGCCTCTACCAGATGAATGACCATAGCGATGCCTGGAGCGATGTATATAACTCGACACGAAACCAGGACGACTGGCATAGTCCAACACAAAAATTCCTCACTTCATCCTGTTAGCCATCAAATCTTCCACCTCTCACAACCTTCGAGAAGAGAAAAGCCTCATCATCACCCACAATGCTCCAATCCACCACATCCCTCCTCCTCCTCGCCCTCCCAACTCTCCTCCACGCAATCGAAACAACCTCCTCTCCAGTTCTCTGCAACGGGCCCTACATCCTCTGCTCCACCGCCCTCTGCACCACAATCCCAGGCAACTCCACCTACGTAACCTGCACCTGCCAAGGCCCCTACACGGGCCTCAACATCGGCATCACCACCTGCGACGACCGCGAGACCTACAACATCTCCTCCTTCTCCTTCGAAAACACCGCCTCCAACATATACGTCTTCCCCTGTGAGGGCGCGAATGCGGGGCCCTGGGCGCAGTGCAACGGCGCTCTGTGCGATGTGCCGGAGGATGGGGGTGATATTACGTGTGCGTGTCCGTTGGAGGTTGGGGAGCATCTTTATTATGGGGAGGAGTGTCCCAGTAGTGAGGAGGGCGTGCAGGAGGCTTGTGCAATGTTGAGGTCTACGACGGATTTTTTGACGAACTCGAATGCGACGACGATGGATGATGATATGGCTGAGGAGTTGGAGGAGGAGCCGCCGACGATTGAGTTTTGTAGTGTGCCGGGAAATGGGACTTCTTGAGCGGTGGAAGGTGTACATGATACTTGGGATGCTGGGGATGTGTAGTGATGGATCTGCATGGATTCTGGCTGAGGAGGGATGAATAGTGGACGGTCGTTGTGTTCGTTGCTGCTGGGTTAGTGGCTGTGAAATGTGCCTTTTTTTCATGCTGCTTTTATAAAATATGTGTTCTATCGCATTGAGGAAAGAAGGATGACATGCCTGCACCGAATTTTCCTAACATACGTCAACAGAGTCGAAGAAAGCTCACCCTTATCATTCCTCGACAACCTCAAAGCCCTCCCAACTGTCCAGGGCGGCATGAATCACGCTTCCGTACGTGTTCAAACCTCCCAGGTAAATCAAAGCCTCCCTTGGCTTACCAGGAACATTCGCACCCATGAACCAACTCGTCGTCTCCGGATAAAGTGTGCGATTACAGATATCATGCACGGTCTTGCGCCATTCCTCCACCGCAGAAAGTGTAGGATTGATGCACTTGATGTTCTCCTTACGCATCTTTTCGATTGCGGAGCCGATCCATTCGATCTGGATCTCAGCTAAAGGAGGGCCGTTTGAGAGGGCTGTGGGAGCCTGCGCAGAGTATGTCACGAAGAGGTTCGGCATTTTATGGATCGTGAGGCCCAAGAAGTGTAAGTGCCGTGCTTCCATTTATCCTTCAGACTGACTCCGTCGATGTCGATGAGTCCGGCGTCTAGCAAAGTCCCTGTGACGTTGTCGTAGCCCGTGGCGAGGATGACGATGTCAAAGTCTTGCTCGTCATTGTCGGCGAAGATGATGCCCTTCTCAGTAAAAGCCCTAATAGGATGTCTGTGAAGATCCACGACTTTGACATTATCACGATCGATCACTTCGTAATAGTTTTGTTCCAAAGACGGTCGCTTCGTGAAGATCCAATGCCGTTGCTCCAGAGGCGCCATGATGTCTCTTTTGACCGGGTCGTGGATGATCGCTCGTACCTTTCTCGCCCAAAAGTCGTACACTTCTGCATTAATCTTCTTGTCGTAGAGCAGCTCTGCGTAGTTGGACACGAAGAAGCTGAATCCTCCCCTTACCCAAAGCTCTTCGAAGTATTCTTGACGTTCTTCAGCGGTTGTTGAACTCCATTCTTTCCATGGGGGTTCGTAGGGGAAACCACCCCAGCTGTTTCGCGAGCTGCGAAGGATGGAATGGTAGAAGTTCTTCGTCATTCTCTGTTCCCCAACTGTCATCTGGCGTTGCTGCATAGGAAGGGCTGTATTGGGCGTTCGGACACAAGCCGTGAGTTCACAGGCGTGGACCGCAAGGTTCTGGACAAGTTGCACACCAGTCGCTCCTGAGCCGATGATACAGACACGCTTTACACGGACATCAACATCTGCTTCTGGCCATCGTGCAGAGTGGATCAAGTGCCCTTCGTACTTGTGCAAGCCCTCCAAGTCCGGTCGATAGACCTTGCTATTGCAACCCGTGGCCATGATCAGATACCTGCATTTCGCAAATCTCCCATCGTGGCAACGAACCGTCCACTGCCCGCGATGGGTATCGAAAGAAGCCGAAGTCATCGTCACATTGAAGATTGCATCTTTCCTAAGATCCAACACTTTGTCAATATGGGCGAAATACCTTCGCAGCTCCTCGTGCCCAGGGAACCGCTCGCTCCAGACCCAGTCTTTGTATACTTCGGGAATCGATAACGCGTAGTAGGGACTCTCACTATCCACGCGAGCGCCGGAATAGCGGGTCCAATGCCATGTCCCTCCAAAGTCCGACCCGGCCTCGAGGAGCTTGACTTTCAGGCCTAGTTTGCGCATCCAGTAAATCCCGTACATGCCGCTGAAGCCACCGCCGATGATGAGGACGTCTGTATCGATGTTCATGATGCTCTTATCGAGATCTGGAGTGGGAAGCTTTGCCGATTGTTCGTGAGTTGGGAATTCACTAAAGTTCATCTCAAAGACAGACATATTGTTGGAGCTAACGGCTCTAGATGGAGATTTGAGGACAGAGGCTTGAAGTTGTCAGTCTTCTATTGTTAACGGTCCGGCAGGCTTTGGGTCTTTTGACTGCGGGCACGACAACGAAAGGCCGGACGATGGCCACCTCTTGGCACGGTGTTAATGCAAGGGCTTCCCAAGATTTCCCGTCTCCTCAATGTGAATATGGGGAATTAGCAGCCTGTATGCATTAGCCGTCGACTCGGCATGATGCCTTCGTAACCCCGAAGATATGATTCGGACCCGCGCGTCCCATAGGCTTGAGGGATGGCTACTCAAGGGTCCGTCATCGTTGTCTGTCGTAATTTAGCGGTGTCAAGGACACGACTAGATGGTTTTGAACGGGGGAGCTGGCGGTTGTACCCCTTCTGTTTTCTGCTTATGTCTTGCAAGTTATGAGATATACTTTGAATACATAGCACAACGAGGATGGCTTTCAGAACAAGGAAAGTTGATGTATAGCATGCCTTTTTTCTTCTGGATAGCTTTTAGTGCCACACTTATAAAAAAAGATTCCCAAGAGGATATGTACACTCCCCCAACTACCTCCTTCACACCTCCAATCTCCTCTTCACCACCTTCAGTCTCAGATTCCTGATCTGTATGAAAAACTCATTATACGTCTTCAGCCCCTCCCTCTCCAACCCGTCACTCATCTCAAAGTCAAACCTCCTTACCAACTGCGGCACCAACTTGGACATCTCCAGCAGACTCACGTTCTTGCCAATGCACGTCCTAGAGCCAGCCCCGAAAGGACACCAGGTGTTCTCCATCCGCGCCAACGTCGCGGCGTCGCATTCGCTCCTCAACCATCTCTCTGGTCGGAAAGCGTCGGCGTCCCCACCAAAGACATCTTTGTCGTGATGGAGGACGTATGGGTTTAAGCCGACGATAGTTTCACCGGGGAAGAATTGACCTGTGATGATTGCTCCACCCTTTGGTACGACTCGTGGTAGCTGAACGCCGATCGAGGGGTGTAGCCGCATAGCTTCCTTGATGACTGCCTGAAGGTACTCCAGGCTTTGGACTTCTTTGAACGTCGTTGGATCCGAGACTTGCTGCTGCGAGAGCTCGTCTCTGAGTCTTTGCAGTACTCTTGGGGACGCCAATAGGTAGTACATGATAGCACTGAGGGCTACGCCGGTTGTGTCGGAGCCAGCGTTGATGTTGCCCAAGACACCGTTGATGGTATCGTCGAGGGTGAAGTGTGTTGGATCCCTTTGGTGTTGCTCGATAAACTTGGTCATGAAGTCCTTCGGCATGTAATTGTCGTCTTCAGCCGTAGTTGTCACGTCACGTTCCTTCTTAACCTTCTTCTGCCGCTCGCCCATGCTCCTGAATGTGAAATCCCGCAGATACTGCTTTCCGGCCCCTTTCCCGAACCCAAGCTTCCCCAAAAGCTGAAGCGTATTGAAGTAAAACACGTGCCACTCGGGAAACATCCCCATCAACACCGAGTATTTCGTAGTCCGATGGACGTTCTCGATCAGACCGCTCTGATCCTCGCCACGATCCAGAAACCCGAATCGTTTCGAGAATGAGATCTCCCCGATCACATCAAAAGCAAAACACTGCAACCACCACGACATGTCCACCTCTTTCCCACTCTGCTGTACCTCCTCCATCCGTCGGCACAAGATCTCAACACAGTCGTCCACATACTTCTCATAAGTCGTCATCGTGCTCATCGTATACGCCGCATGAAACTTCTTTCGATCCCGAGTGTGCGCCACGGGGTCCCTCTCCGTGAAGATATTCGGCTTGTTGGGTGCCTGCCACGCAGAGTAGAAGTCGGACTTGCGGAACGGCGTCTCGCCATGGCGGGTTTTGTAGATGGTTTGGATTGCGGATGGGTCGCTGATGCTGTATTGATTTGGTGCTAGGCGGACGATTTTGCCATACTTTGCGTGCAGCGAGGCGTTGATCGTTTCGAAGCGGCCACTGGAAACGGCGGAAAAGTACCAGAGGCGAGAGAAACGGGCGAGGAATGGGCCTTGGATTGAGCGGAGAGGCGATGCGGCATGGCTGTAGATGTAGAGGATGGCGAAGAAGAAGGCGAGGATGTACAAGATGGCGAGGGAGTGATCTACCAACATCGTACTAGTGGTGCAACCTTGTTTCATAGAAAGCAGGAGACGAGTGTCCTTCGCAGACCGTCGTGGGAACCTGGCTCCTAATTAAGGAACCAGGTTTGGTATCCATGCGTCGACATGCCTACATCTTCGGTTTGACTGAGCCGCAAGCGTTGTGCCTCTGATGCACCAAGCCGCAGCAGTGCCTCTCCACTCGGGTTCTCGGATTACCCGTCGGCCGTGAAACGTCTATTCTTTGCCAAGTGCTGCGATTTTCAGGAAATTGCTCCTCCCAATGCCTTGAACGGCGGTGGCAGTACCGAAGTACAAAAAGCAAGCCCTTCTCGGCCTGGCTGAATCACCGCCCGATCGCCGGAATCGACTTCCGCCCGGAATGTAATTCCAGTCTCACATCGCTCGCTATTGACTGACGGGGAGCATGCAATTCGGTGTACGTGGAAGGAAAATAATTCTGTCTCTGCTTTCGATTCAGTTTTGTGTGTTTTCAAGACAGGATTTTGAGATGACTGCACTTCCTTCAATCCTACTATCCTACCTGCCCCTGGTGCCTGGCTACTTTTGCTAAGCATCGTCAGCACTAGGTAGCATCCTAAGGATGTTTCTGATGCTCATGAGAGTCGGGTGGATTACAGAAGGATGGTGTGAAATGCAGGAACATGGAGACGTCGCTTTGCCCTTGCCGGCTGTGGGATGACGGCCATCTTGTACGTATCCGCCTCATTGGTGAGTGGAGAACCGAGTAGATATGGGTGTACAAACTTGGAAAATATGCACAAAGCTCTATCATGGTTCACCGTGCGATGGAGATGAATACGAGGAGAGGCTCCAGGGGACTGTATGATGTATCACGGTCACTGCGCCGTGGCGCGGCACCTTGACGTTGCATATAGTGTAGATTTTACTCATGCAATGCTTTGTAATATCAGGGTCCATCGACAAGAGACTGATCTCGGCCCTTTTAATCTACCCCTATTGGTCCCATACTCCCTTCCTCCAGGAATATTTCATAGCTCATCCCATCATCAGTCAAATCCCCAGCTCTGCTTCTTAATCCACCCCTCAATGCCTGGAAGTTGAGCCTTGATCTCCAGCTGTACACAAATCAGTGCCATAAACTTCACCAAAAGCGCTTAGAACAACTCACATCATCCGGCCTCACAATCCTAGGCGACTCCTGAGCCTCAAACACAAACTCCTCCCAATACTCAAAGAACTCCGTAAACTCTTGGACCAACCCCGGCGAAAGAATTTCTGCCCAGAACGCCTCAGGGTCTGCTTTGACGACTTTGGTCGGGACGTTGAAGAGGGTGGATAGTTTTGCGGCGATCTCGTGCGTGGAGGCCCATTCCCTGTAACCGAGGAGGCTTTGTTCGGGTGAGGACTGAATTAGGGCGTGCACGAGGGGCCCGGTGTCTTCGCTGGGCACGAGCCAGGGGAGTTGGAGGGTGGGAGGCCAGGGGATTGTGAAGGTTAGGGTTCCGTTGGGGGACTGATTTCACAGATTAGCGGCTCCAACATGGGAGCCAAGGGAGGAACGTACCTTCTGTGGCCTCCCCGCCGGACTAGTAAAGAAATTCAAAAAAATCCCCCCTTGGAAGACGCTCGTCTTCGCCCAAAGGCTTGGGTGTTCCCTCCTTCCATACTCCTCCGCAGAAGCCTTGCTGTCGAAGTGGTAGATATGTGTATACTTCCCCTTGGACCACTTGCTCGCATTCGAAAGACTCGAGAACACAAACCTCTCCAGACCCTCCACCTCCGCCGCCGCATCAATGACATTCCTGAGCTGCCTTGCCTCCTCTTCGGCAACCCATGCATTGAGAGCCTGACCTGGTTTCGGGCGGTCCGCGTTCTTGGGATCGAAGTAGATGCCGAGGAAGTCGCTGACGGCGAAGATGGCGTGGGCGTTACGGAAGGCTGCAGTGAGGGTTGAGGGCGTCGACATGTCCGCTTCTACGACTTCCACGCCTCGTGAGGCGAGGGTTTGTGCTTTGGCGCTGGTTTTATTGCGGGTAATGCCTCGGACTCGCCAATGAGTAGGTTGGGCGAGGAAGGTGTTGACGACGGAGCCGCCTTGCTGGCCGGTGGCTCCTAGGACTACGATTAGGTTCGGCGTTGCCATTGCACGGTTTGTGGGCCTCAAAGGGACACAGCAGGAGAAACAATAACGCCTGTGCTTTCAACGGTGGAAGCAGTCCGTATTTGGACTTTAAGGTCAGCACCGCTGGAGTGGTGATGGCAGCCATCCGAACATATCTTGTCCTTTTTGCGCCTCCTCTTGACCACCAACATCCTGCCCTTCTTAGCTTCCCCCACGATGAAAGTATTAGCAATCACGAACGGGGCAGGAACTCCCGATTTCCCGCAGGAACACATTCGCCCGCATACTCTTCAGCGCTATGCCGTCTCGGCGATCACGGCCTCGAATTGGCGGATCGATCTTCCGGGCGTTGACTTCGACGCTACAGATCGATTAGATTTGCCATGAAGTACCTCACATCTTTCTCCCTGCCATACCATCTTCGACGAGATCGAGACTGATCCTCAAGCGCAGAGCCAAAGATAGAGCCAGCACAAGAAGAAGAAAGTAGTCCCGAGAGAAACATGACCGCAGATCCCACCCCAAGCACGGCGAAAGGCCCACCGACGCCCCAAGGCTGGCTCGACATCCACGTCCACTACACCCTCCCTCCCTCCACACTCCCCCCAAGAAGCCCGCTCCGCCATCGCCCACATGCGCGAGAACAAGTTCCTCATCGACCCGAACTTCTCCTGGTCGATCGACAAAACCCTCGCAACAATGGACGCCCACGAAATCCAAATGGGCATGCTCGGCTGCCCCGTCGTGCCCTCGTCCCAGATCCGCGAAGCGAATATCTACGGCGCGGAACTGGTGAGGCAACACCCGACGAGGTTGGGGTTGTTATGTGGTCTGCCGACCGACGACGCTGAGGCGTGTTTGCGGGAGATCGAGTTCGGTCGGGACGAGCTGCATTGTGATGGCTTCTGGGTCAACCCGATCCGCAACGGCGTGAAGTTGTCAGATCCCTCTCTGGACGCAGTCTGGGCGCGGCTGGACGAGCTGAAAGCCGTGGTATGGGCGCATCCCGACCCCAACGATCCCAGCGTGGATGGAAGGCCTGGGGCATTGATGGAGGTGACGTACGAGATGCAGCGGGTGATTATCGACCAGGTCTATCGCAAACACTTCCTGCGGTTTCCGAGGGTTCGGCATGTGTACGCCAACTGCGCGGGCGGGTTTCTGGCGAATGTGGGTAGGCTGAAGATGGTGGGGACGGAGGCGTAGGTTCCGAATCCTACTCACGTTACGAAGGAAGAGATTGAGGAGCAGGTCCAGAAGCTCTGGGTTGATATCGCCGCGGCGGCGGAGGATGGGATTGGCGTTTCTGTTAGGCATCTTGGGGCAGAGAGGGTGGTGTTTGGGTCGGATACGGGTGCACCCTGTATGTGTATGAATGTGGAGACTATGGAGGTCAATCGACAGGCTATGCTGAAGTGGGAGAGGGAGTTGGGAATGGAGAAGGGTACGATTGGGATGAATGGGTGGCAGTTGTTTCCTGAGGCGGCGGCAAGGGCGGTGAGAGGCTCGTACAGTGAATTGGAGTGAGTGTAGGCTTTGAAGAGACTGGTCTTCCGGGATCCAGAAGTCTTGGAGTGGAGGCTCGTGGCCATGGTGGGATTCAATGATTGAATGCCGGCTTCAGTAAGACCGCCTTGTCGCACGATTCTCGCTGTCGCACTGTGGTTTGGAAATATCCAGTCCATTGGGTTACTGACATTTGCAGGCAGACTGAAATGCACCGGTACGCATGGTCTTCTCAGAATTCCCAATAATTTTCCCATCGGCCGTCCGGGAGCAAAGCATGCGGCTTTCGTAGCATAGTGTTCCTCGCAAAACCATGGAAATTTAGGGGATACCAAAGGAAAAAAACACCCCTTTCACCAGCACATTAAGCTAGCAGACCGCAGAGAAGGCCGCTAACTTACAAGACCAGACCACGTTCCGATAACGGTTGGGCCTTCGGGAGGTCGGAAGTCTGGAAAGCAGAAACAGAAGCGTTGATAAATGCCCTTCCGTCCTCAAAGTCCTGGTTAGACTGAATCGATCAGTCCAACATCGTCAAGCAGCCTGCGACCATACCCTAAATTGTGAGGCGAGAGCAAGTATCATCTTTCACATCAAATCTGCGACAGTTCGAGCCGCCAGGCGATGGATCCCAGTGAGCGTAACCCCCTGTACCGCTTACCCCCTCCTCACTCCCAGGAGACGTCGCTGCCGAGCCCAGGCAAGAAGGACAAGCCGAGACAATTCGAAGTCGTCGAAGCGCCACCAACCCCAAGGAGTCGAGACGAAGTTCGTTCCAGGACCCTGCACTTCCTCCGCCGGTTGATGGGCGTCGTTCCATCCTGCCAACGATTTCAGCCAACGCCATTCGATGGCTTTAGGAAGGGAAGCCATTGGATGGTGGAGTGTCGAATCATGAGGATCTGCTCTCCTGGACTAGAAGTTGGGATTTAGCAGTACTCTGCGTTGATAGGGCTGGTATGGAATGTGCTGATGTATCTTGTCTTGGTTGAGATATGTATTCGTTCAGGTCCTGGCTTTAACGAGGTCTAAGGGAATTGAAGGTGGATGGATTTTTTGTAAAGGTCGTTGCCTGAGTGTGATGAATTGACCCAAGATTCCTTTCCTCGTGACTGGTAAGACGAACGTCCGAAGAGAGTAGTAGGTAAATACCACAGGATCCCACGAAGCGTTGGCAGGAGCGAACGATCGACAAGTACATGTCTATGCATTCCTAGGGTTCTCAAATCTCACCTGCACATCTCATGTAAGCATTGGCTGTGGATACTCTCGATCTGCTTGCCTGGAACTTGTGGCACTTACCGTCGTGCTGGATCTCTTCACCGTTCCATATTGACGGTAAGATCCACGAGGGAAAATGTCCAGTCTCGTGGCGAAGGACGTGACTTTTAGTCGACCTTGTCGGCCTTCACACGTGGTCGCTGATAGCAGCATCGTCGAACCGAAACCCGCAGCCCTATCCATACATCACTCAAAGCGCAATCCTTGGTAGTAGCCCAGGACAGCCTCAGGTTTCAGGCACCCATTCAGGCCTCAGCGCAACCGCTACAGGATGTCCAGCTTACTGATTCATCACTGCTTGGACCAACCCTCCAGTAGTCAACAACACCAAGTTGTAAGCCTCAGCAGCGGCAACGTCCTCGATCCGCATGAACGTGGCACTGGCGTCCCGAAGCCCTGAATGCTCAACCCTGAACGCCACTTTTCGCGATGAAGGCTGTTCGTTCCATCCTGCCGACGTTTCCAGCCAACGCACCTGGCCGGCTGACAGAAAGGAAGCCATTGGGCGTTGTAATGTCATGTCAAAGTGATGTACGCTTGACGATCAAGGGCTTGCCGATGATGGGTTTTCGCTACGTTTACAGTCCATGCTTTCGAAGTCCAGGTGTTGGTGTTTCTTGAATTGGGGAAGTCTGTTGGGTGCATGGCTTGTGGGAGGGCATGAATGACTCGAAGGCGAAGACCAGCTCGTTCGAGAGATTGACGGTGACAGATTGACCCGGACAGAACAATACACATGGCAGGTGTATTGATCGGAAGGGGTAATAGGTTCTGTCTCACTCAATAATCAGTATAGGATCCCACGAGTGCTTGCCAGGATTTATAAGGGTTTCTCAAAGTCCCTCTGCAGGGCTGATGATGTGAGCTGTTCTCCTCGTCCTGGGTGTGCTTGACCAGAGCTTGTCGTACTTCTGATTCGGTGTCGTACTGCAGCTTGGGAGCAATTCCACATCAACGGCCAAATCCTTAGGGAACAGGAATGCGGATCCTGGCTCGTGGCGAAGGATTGATTTGCGTTCACACTCGAACCAGGATTGTTGCTGGCGCTGTACGCACCACTGATAGCGGCACCGTTGACCCGGAGCCTCAGTCAGTTTGATATACCAAAAGAGCAACCTTTCGCAGTAACATCCTCAGATGTCAGGCACCAACTTAGGCACCAATTCAGGCATCCTTACAAACTCGCTTGTGCGGCTGAAAGTACACTTTCACAAAAGCGGGACCGATCGTCGCGACCCGCGGAGCACGGCGAGATCACATGGGCGTTCGCAGACTTGGCATTCCTGGAAAACCGGAGGCGACGCAGGGCAGAGGAAAGCTCATTTTTCGTATTTGGTTGGAGTGGAAGAGTTGCTTTATTGGGGTGTTGGATGCGAGCGGAATTCGTCTTGCGTAAGGTTAGCGTTGTGGTGGATGCTGACAGTCTTATCTCTTGGAATTGATTGAAAGAGGGAGGTATAAGAGATGACTGCATGTATCGAGTACGACATGAGATTGTTGTGAATGTGGTAGTAATGGTGGATGCGGCGCAGACGGTTACAGGCGGCGTATCACTGGGCAGACGTCAACGCCGCCGCAGGGATCGGCCAAAACATGCGGCCTGCACGTGGGCTACTGCCCTGATTGGACGCAGATTGCGAGCGGCGGGGAGGCATTTGATGGGAAGATAGTGGGATGGTGGTACTCATTTGATGGCTATTTGATGGACGGGGAGGCGGCGATCATTGCTTTCGTTCCTTTGCCTCTGCGCAGGTGGGGTCGCACAATCCTTCACGGCGGCGAGGCGAAGCACAGCAGCTGGAGGACGAAAGAGAGACGAACGACGGGACGGGCCAGTCTCAGTTTTCGACTTTCTCGTTTCTCAACTGTCGCAATTTGACTTTGACCCTCAGCTGAAACCACAACTTCACTCTCTCTCTCTTCCACCTTTTCTTCCCCTCCACCGACCTCCGCACTCCACGCACCACCCCCGGATTACCACCGTTCTGATTGAGTAATACTGCACCATGGGCTGGTTCAGCTCCGAAAAGGACGCCGGCGGCCCGGAAGCCAACAGCGAGCCCCTCCCCGACTTCAACCACGCCGCCACCACCGCCGACATCCAGGACGGCTACGTCGTCTCCAACGCGGACCAGCTGCAGCGCCACCTCGCCAACCGCCAGATCCAGCTCATCGCCATCGGCGGCAGCATCGGCACCGCGCTGTTCGTCTCCATCGGCACGGGTCTGTTCAATGGCGGCGCCGGCAACCTGCTCATCGCCTACACCATCCAGAGCCTCATGCTCGCCCTCGTCAACAACTCCATCGCCGAGATGAGCACCGCATATCCCGTTTCTGGAGGTTTCATCCGTCTGGCCGGGAAATGGGTGGACGAGGCGTTGGGGTTTATGGTTGGGTGGAATTTTTTGTATCTTCACCACCACCCTTGTTCAACGAGAGAGGATATGCTTTACTTACTGATTTCTGTAGTTTCTACGAAGCCCTCCTCATCCCCTTTGAGATTGCGGCGTTTGGTCTTGTAGCCTCGTACTGGAGTCCCACCGTCGCCGAGCCCGGTCCGCTCGCGGGCATCATCATCGGGGTGATTATTTGTTATGCGTAAGAATTGCCCCTGTTTCCTTTTCCCAGAGCGACATTATATACGCGAGTGACCCAACGGCGATACTGGAAATGAAGAGCGGCTTGGATCTGGCGAGACTGCTCATGCGACTTGGCTGGATTGCTGGCCTACTGGATTGAATTTGCGAGAGCGACTCCCAGCCCATGCGACTTCTGGAATTATGCATTCTGTGGTAGCATCTCGCAAGGGTGCTAGAATGCGATGAACAACAGTAGTGGAAAACGATCATCCAATGCGACTGTCGATAGTGCCCAGGGTTGCCGAGCATCCTCGAAAGTGGCGAAACGGGACCATTCGGGGCCGTGAAAGCCGACATTCAATGCGACATACGAGAGCGCTCAAGCGTACGACAATGCCTCTGAATTCAAACCAAACGCGACAATCCGAACTGGCAGAATGTGACCATCCAGAGCGACTACTTTTCATGTCTTGGCATATCGCAGCACAAGTCTTTTCATCTGGATTCCCCCGTCCACGTCCACACACCCCAATCTGTCACCACATCTTCACACCACAGAACTAACATGTCATCTCTAGGATCATCAACATCCTCGCCGTTGGCGCGTAAGTCGTTATCTCCCACCTTCACCATCGATGTACCCCTCTAACACCTCGCAGCTACGGAGAAGCCGAATTCTGGCTGTCAGGCGGAAAAGTCATCCTGATCTTCTCCCTCTTCTTCTTCACCTTCATCACCATGGTGGGAGGTAACCCCCAGAATGATGCGTACGGCTTCCGCAACTTCGACCACGGCCAGGCCTTTCAGGAATACCTCTCCACCGGCGCACTGGGACGGTTCGAAGGTTTCCTCGCAGCACTGCATTCGGCTCTCTTTACGGTTGTCGGACCGGAGTATATCTCCATCGTTGCAGCTGAGGCGGTCCGACCACGCACGTACATTAAGGGTGCTTTCAAGATGGTCTATGCCAGATTCATGATCTTCTTCATCGTCGGGGCTTTGGCCGTGGGAATCGTCTGCCCTTCGAAAGACCCGTTGCTCGAGGACGTCGTCGTTGGAGGTGAGGGCAACGGCTCTGCTGCCGCCTCGCCATATGTCATTGCCATGTCGAATCTAGGAATCAGCGTCTTCCCGGACATTGTCAATGCGTGAGTCCCGAACGTCCTCTTGACATGTTCTAGCAGCTAACGTCATGGTAGCCTGATGTTGACGTCTATCTTCTCCGCGGGCAACACCTACACCTACTGCGCTATCCGAAACTTGTACTCCCTCGCCCTCGAAGGCCGTGCTCCACGTATCTTCACCAAGTGCACCCGCAACGGTATTCCCATCTACTGCTTCTTGGTCGTTATGATCTTCCCATGCTTGGCCTTCCTGCAGTGCGGCAGCGGATCGCAGGTCGTCATCAATTGGTTCTCCAGCTTGGTTACTGGAGGCGGTACGTCAAACCTCCCTTCCCCTACCATGCCCTCCCTGCTGACTCGTCTCATGTCAGGTCTGATCAACTACGTCACCATGTGCATCACCTACATCTTCTTCTACCGCGCCTGCAAAGCCCAAGGTCTCGACCGCAACACTCTGCCCTACACCGGCTGGTTCCAGCCCTACGGCGCCTGGATCGCTGGTATCTGGATGTTCGTCGTCTGCTGCATGTACGGCTATACATGCTATACCCCCTGGGACGTCTCCAACTTCTTCTCCCAATACACGATGCAGCTATTCATCCCACCGCTGTACTTCATCTGGAAGATTGTCAAGAAGACGAGGATTGTGCGGCCGCATGAAGTATGTATCCCCAAACTCCCAACCCAATACCAAACGCCCCCGATACTAATATGGTATTTGCAGGCCGACCTCGTCTGGGAACGCCCCATCATCGACGCCTACGAGGCGACCTTCCTGGGCCCTCCTGTCGGTTTCTGGACGGAAATGGCGCAGCTGGTGGGCTGGAAGAGGCGCAAGGGCGGGAACGAGCAGCGCAGGCAGAGTGTTGCGATGAATGGCACGGGGGGCAACGAGAGTCCTAACTATTTCGATGAGGAGAAATAGGTGAGGCATGAGACAAGATCGAGCGGATTCTTTTCTTCTCGTGGGAGAGGGTCTGTGAGACTTTGGGATGTGTGGTTGTGATTGCTTTGCTTGTGCGCGCTGCATGAGAACGAGAACGTGGATGCATGGGGAGGGAGATGATGAGAAGCGGAAACGGAAGCAGAACATGAACAGAACATGAAAAATGGCACACATGAAAGTTTTCAACTACAGGCCCCTCCCTACACCGTTCTTCCGATTCGAAACGGCTGCACCGCTCGGTCGAGCCCTCAATCGAGCGAGACCTAATCCACGCTCAAGGGCTTCCAAGTGAAAGTCAACCTACACAGTTAACGAATCTCGCAGACGTAAGTACATACTCTTCTAAGGATGCGAAGAGCAGAAGGAGACTGGAATCATGAGGAAGAGAATTTGGGAAGACGTCGAGTCGAACATCGATCAATTTAGCCGGTCTGCGAATGGCGTTGGGGAACGATCGTATGTGAGTGAAAGATCGAGCCGGGTATGAACGCACCATCAGGTACTCATCGAAGATCTGTCGAGATATGATTTCTTCTGTAGGTTGCGAGATACTACTTTGTAGCTTTGGGGAGTCCAAACTCGCTGACGATACTATCGACCCTGATGCAAGGCTTTGTCAACGCCGACAACCCATCGTCGAATGACTGTGGGCAACTACGTCTCGGCTTCGACCGAGTACCTCGTCTCCTCGTCGAGGGCAGACGTCTCGAAAGGAAAGTCCTGATTGAGAGAAGGGCAGCGAAGACGATGGCTCCCTCGGGTTGTGGTGCTTGTTGGCCGACGGCTGGCTGCTTTGCCCGAGGGTCGTTTATGCAGCTGGTTTGTGCCACCATATGGGGAAATGGCTTCCCTGGCTTCACTTCAGCATCTAGCAGCTGTTGGAGTGTGCGATAGTGCTGCGTTGAACGATGGAATGCTTGGATAGGACTTGGTGTGCGTGAGAGGTTGGCAAGATGTTTACCTTGTTTGGTTCGGTCGCAGCGAGTGTGCGATTTTGGGTCCTCTGTGGCGTCGAAGGGTTCGAATGTGACTTGGGCATGCATTGACCGGTTCTTTCGGCATCGTTATTGCTGTTGTTGGTGCATTCGCCACGAGCGTTCCATACATGCATTCATGTCGCTGCTGAACTCAGCTCTGAGAAGACGATTTGTCTCGACCCCGGACGAGAGGGCTTCAGATCCGACTTCTGCGACGAGTCTTGCGAATCGTTTTCGCGGAAGAGGTGGGAATGAGCTAGGTTTCATGGCCTGTCGTCGTTGCGCGGTTGTATGGGGGAGGTCTTCCATCCGTCGACTGCAAACATACACTCTAGAATCCTGCTGTCGTGCTGTTCGTGCGAGTCGACAGTGGGGTGTAGACATGCCCATGACCAGCGAGACCATCACCAATCCGGGACCAGCGGGTTCGACGTAGCGGCGTGTTGTCCCTTCTGGGAAAGAAATAGGAAGCCCTCTGATCCAATTGTGCGACTCAGGTTCTGTTCATCCTTGAGGGGTCGACGCACCCTTCGCAACCGGACTCGGCACCTTCACCGTCCCCATGCCCCTCTCCTCATCCAACGCACTCCAATGCCAGTGATCCCCAGCCTTCCTCAACTCCAGCTTCGGCTTGCCGACATGATCCACCGTCCCCTTCCGTACCTTGGACGAACCGCCCTTCCCATCGATCTTAAACGCCCGCTTCACCTTGGCGACCGCATCCTCGCCCCGAACGATGTTGTCGCGGTCGCGTTTGCTCCACCGGAAAATCCACATACAAAAGACGAAAATGCAACCCGCGGCGCCGATGCCGACGCCGGCCCAGGCGCCTGGGTTGAGGCCGTTGCCGGTGGGGGAGGAGTTTTGGACCATGGAGGTCTTGTTTGGAGAGGATAAGGGTGTTTGGAGGGGATACTTTGTAGGAGATATGGGAAGGGAAGAGAAGGGTCATTGCGAGTAAGCCTCTCACGTTGTGTGATGTGTCGCTGTTGCTGTGCTGTGTGCTGAGAATAGAGCGTTGTGCAGACGCTATACCTCGCAGTTTGGGCGTTTACGAATACGAAAGTTCGTCCGTCCGTTACAGGGTCCATCGAGTGAGGGAGCGAGTGAGGGATCGAGTGAAGGATCGAGTGAAGGAGCGAGTGAGGCCACACGTGACTGGCTCGGCCAACACTTCTGTCACTCTACACCTCCTCGCTGCGCCCCGAGCTACACGACTTCTGTCCATATCGTCGGCGGACCGACCTCAAAACATCCCATGGCTCTTTCTCTCTCTCAATACAAACACACCACCACCACCACCACCACCACCATCACCACCACCATATGTCGCCCAAAGATTCCCCCGTCTCCTCCGCCACCGTGCCCCCGTCGCCGCCGTCCTCGCCGAAACAACATTGTCCCACCGTCGACCGCCTGCTCCGGATTATCCGCCTCCACAAAGCCGGATCCCGCCCAAACCACCCCGAGGAATACCGACCATTCTCTCTCCCAGCGGCCCAGTTAGAAGAGTTCCAACAACGCCTCGGACAGCAGGGACTAGACGGTTATTTTGGGGACAAGCTCCGTTGGGACTACGACCCGCGCGAGAGAGGAGGGTCGTTCAAGCTCCGCATGCCCAGTCAGGTGCATGAGAGGTTCACGGCGTTGGTCGATGATGCCATCTACGAGTCCCTCAAAGGCTTGTCGGTTGAGGTGAAGGCTTTGGAAGACGTATACAAAGGACGGAGTACCACCATCGCCTTACACGCCCCTCAACTCGAGAATTCCAGCCAAGAAAGCGAGCAGGAGGATGTCGTGGCGCACCGCAGCCCCGATGCCACATTCTACCACTGTTCCCGGGACGCTTTGCCCATGTGCGTGGTCGAGGTCAGTTACTCCCAGCAGAGGAAGAGCCTGCCTCGGCTGGCGGAGACTTACATTGTGGATTCGAGACACAAGATCAGATGTGTGGTGGGACTGGATATTGCGTATGGGACCGGAAGCAAGGAGGCGAGAGTGAGTGTTTGGAGGCCCGGGACGGAAGTCGATGAGGATGGAAAGAGGGTGGGGGTTTGTCGGTGTGATGTTGATGCGGTCGTTGTGAGGGGGAGTGACGGGAGCGTGGGGGAGGGGGAGTTGGTTTTGAATATGCGGGACTTCGTTCCGAAGAGGTTGCTTGAAGAAGCCGATGCCGACAAGACAATCGCAATACCCTTCGCCCGCCTCGCATCCTTGCTCGCCGCCGCCGAAGCCCGCTCCTCCACCACGAGCCCGCCTCGAAGCCGCTCCTCCACACCTGAGACGTTCCGCAAGAGAAAGCGATCCCCATCAGAAGAGTTGTCAGATGGTCGTGAGGCGGCATACTTGAGGCTGGAAGAGGCCGAGCTGGAGAAAGAGACGACGTTGGATGGGGAGTGGACGGGTCCTGGGTGGACGCAGGAGGAGGGCGGGGTGGAGGTTGTGGAGAGGAGAAGGAGTAGTAGGAGTAAGAGTGCGAGGGTGGTTGGGGAGGCCAGTTGATGCTGCTGGTGGGTTGGGCTTGAGTAGCTCTTAAGAGACACAATACAATCGACGCCGGGAAATTCGTGCCAGTGTACCCTACTTGGTCTGGTTAAAGTGGAGCGTATCGAGCTGCCGTCTCTCTACCTCTTCGTAAGCGACCGCGCTGCTGACTGTACTCCAAGCTGCTTAGACGGCGTAGGGTCGACGGGGATGAGTGTTCCGCTTTGAGCGGAATGCCGAGGGAGGGTGCGTCGAGCGAAAGCAAATGGCAGAAACAGAGGCACAGAGATATATGGGACCGATGCTTCGCCGGAGATGTGCAAGCACCACTGTCTTCAACTCTGTAACGCTGGAACGCTGGACGGTTAACCACAAGACTGAGCAACCTGTGGAGACTTGAATCTACGACAAGACAGCAGGCCATGTTCTGTGACGGCCGACCGATCAATTCAGGCATGACGGAGTAGTCCCGGGCTCGCCAGCCTTTGCAGCAAGGTCGCTGCGTACAAAGAGAGGTCGGGAAGGGACCACTTGGCATCGGATGTTGTCTGCACGAGATCCGAAAGCACTCAAACTCGCAATGTGTTTTCGGCATACGTCGATGGCACGGAGCATACACATATTCTCCGGGATCCCTGCCATCTCACGGGAGGCCTGAACGCCTGAAAACAGTACGCCTTCTCTTCACTCGCTGCATTCCCTGCAAGAGCCGGTACTTTTAATATCGCCCTACCCATACTGGGCCATGACGAGCTTCGACACAGGCAGTACTGGCGGATTTTGAAGAACATAGTCACAGCAACATATAGAGCTCGGATCCATCTCGGAAAATCCGATTTGATGGATTTTGGACAAGGGCGATCTCGGCACAGATAAGCCATCGATACCCGCGACCGCTTGGCCTCCGGCGCCCTACAATCAACAGCTGGCTTCCCAATGCTTCTCCAACCTTCGCTAAATCTGCAGTCATCACAATATCAATGCCCGGCCGACAGATCGTTGCCCCATCTGCTGTACGATATATCAAAACGTCACCACTGAGCTCGAGTCTTCCGCTGCGTTGCGGACAATCGCCACTGCTTCAGATTCACTCGCGGGAAGCATTGGCCAAAAGCCGCGCCAGGATTTATACTTCGACTCGCAGCATCATACAACCACCTGGGAAGACTTCATCCTCCAGATCGATATCAACCTCATCACTGTCGAAGATGAACTTCGGATCGGACAACTGGGCAGGTGCCCATCCTGAGATCGCAGCCGGTCTGACCCAGCACGCCGCTGGTTTCGCAAAGCCGTATGGAGAATCAGATATCGATGCTACCATCGAAGAATCACTCAAAACCGCTTTCGAGCATGATCTATCCGCCTTCTTCGTCGCAACCGGCACCGCCGCCAACTCCCTCGCGCTCACCGCTGTTTCGAAACCAGGCGGAATCGTCTTCGCCCATCGCGAGGCTCACATCGTCGTTGATGAATGCGGCGCTCCAGAATATCTCTCTGGCCAGCTACGGATATGCCAGATCGATGGAGAGCAAGGAAAGATGAACCCAAAGGCACTTCGAAAGGAAGTGGAGCGGATTGCCTCTTACGACGTCCATGGCGGCCGTCCCGTCGCCATCAGCATCACGAATCCAACAGAAAGCGGCACAGTGTATACGTTGGCCGAAATCGACCAAATATCCGTCATCGCCAAGGAGTTCCATCTCCCCCTCCACATGGATGGCGCACGCTTTGCCAACGGCCTCGTCTCACAAGACTGTACCCCAGCGGAGATGACCTGGAAACGCGGCGTCGACATCCTCTCCTTCGGCGCCACCAAAAACGGCTGCTGGTGCGCCGAAGCCGTCCTTTTCTTCAACAAACCCCTCGCACAAGACTTCCGCTTCCTCCGCAAACGAGCCGCACAACTCTTCTCCAAATCCCGTTTCGTCTCGGCACAATTGGAAGCCTACCTCAAAGACGACCTCTGGCTGCAAATCGCCCGCCACTCCAACTCCATGTGTCGCGAAGTCGCCGCTCTGTTCGAGAAGCGAGAGGGTATGCGAGTCGTGCGGACCCCGCAGGCGAATGAGCTTTTCGTCGTCATGAAGGCTGAGGATGCGGAGAGGTTGGAGAAGGACGGTGTTGTGTTCTTGCAGTGGCCGGAGGCGGGGATGGGAGAGGTTAAGAAAGGCGAGGTTGTGGGGAGGTTCGTGACGAGTTTCGCCACGACGGGGGAGAGTGTGAGGGCGCTGGGGAAGTGTCTTGGAGTCGAGGCTGGTAAAGGGACGGTCACCAATGGTGTTAACGGACACTAACGGCAGCGCATCGGTCGGAGTGGTGATAAGAAAAAGCTGCGAGGCAATCGCCAAACCTGCTCATTCGAGGCGGTATAGACCAAAAGCATTCGGTAGACGCTTGGTTGTCGTATGGGATAGATGATCGCTTAGATGGCTCTCTGTTGACTAAAATCCTTGGATCCTTTTGTCACCTTCCTAAAATCTCTAGATTACAAGACGCAGTCCTCGCCGGGAATTCGTTAACATGGACCCTCTATACGCTAGTTCCTTATGTCGTTCAGCGTCGTATGTGAGGAGGAGATTTTGGTGTTAGGGTGTGGGATTGCGGGGTTTTAAAGGGTTGGGTGGGTTTGTTTGGCTGAGCGACGAACTCCCCGCTATCGAAAAGATCAAAGATTTAAGCAGACCATCCTATCAACTTCAAAAAATCTCCAGATTGCAAGACGTAGTCCTCGCGGGGGATTCGTGAATATCGACCCTCCCTCGGTACGCTAGTTTATCGTTTAATGATGTATGGGAGGAGGAGATTTTGGTGTTTGGGTGCGGAGTTGGGGGGGTTTTGATGGGCTGGGTGGGTTGGGTGTGTGGGGGGGTTGGTAGGGGAGGAATTGCGAGATAGGCTTGTTTGTAAGAGCGGGACGACTGTGTAAGGAGGAGGAGTGTTGAGATGGGTCTTTAGGAGAGGGAGGGGGGATGGGACGCCCCTCCCTCGAAGATAAATGCCTGGATCCCTCAAGACGCAATCTACCAGCTGTCTGCATACGCCACGGCGAAAACTCGCCGAGCGGAAACGAAGCAAGAATCTTCTGCATCCTCGAGTCGCTGATGAACTCACTGAAGCGAACAATACTGTGCCAGACAACGAAACTGTAGCCAAGTAGTAGGAAGTTTTGGTAATCTGTAAGGCACTTATGTGCCCGGGCATTAGCGTCATCGATGATTAATGGCTGCATAGCTGGGGAAGTCACTGCATCCGGCCGGGATGCCCGAAGAGGAAGTAGGATTAGTGATATCGCTGCAAGGCTATCTGCTCAGAGAGGTATCTGCCATGGTGCTTGGAAGATACAAAAGGCGTTGAAGGACGTGACGGTTTTGTCTGCTACTGACACCAGCAGCATTTCAAACATATCGAGATCATGCCATCCCAAACATACCTCGTCATCGGCGCCTCGCGCGGGATTGGCTACGGCCTCGTCGAGCAGCTCAGCGGGGATTCATCGAACAAAGTCATCGCCACCGTCCGCAAACCGTTCGACTTCGGCAAGTCCAACATCGAAACCCTCGTCCTCGACCAATCCTCCACCTCCTCCGTGCAAGCCGCCGCCTCCAAACTTTCCACCCCAGTCGACACCCTCATCCTCAACGCCGCCATCGGCCTCGACGAAGCCCTGCTCTCCACCACCGAGGACCGTCTGCACGAATACATGAACACGAACATCCTCGGCGTCCAGCGAGTCGTCAACGCCTTCCTCCCCGCCCTCCGCAAGGGCACGGCGAAGAAGATCGTCATCATCACGAGCTACAGTGGGAGTAATACTGCCCAGAGAGGAGCGGAGTTTGGTTTCAGGGGCCCGTATGCTGTTACCAAGGCGGCGAATAACATGCAGGCTGTGCAGTTGCATAATGAGTTGAGAGGGGAGGGGTTTGTTGTTGCGCCTGTGCATCCTGGTTGGGTGAGTTGGCAATACCATTTGTTCATCTAGAACCTCCTTTTTTGAAATTGATGCTAACGATGTGTGTGGTGGTGTAGGTCGCGACGGATATGGGGAGTCTGGCGATCAACGACCGGGTGCCGGAGGGGGTGAAGCCGATGCCGGTGGAGGACAGTGCGGCGGGGCTGATCAAGGTGATTGATGGGTTGACCACTGAGGATTCGGGCAAGTTTTGGGGGTTTGATGGGAGTAGTATGGCTTGGTGAGCGGGATGGAGAGGAGATTGCAGCTCGCAGCCGCCAGGTTTTCTCTCCAGCAATGGAAGCCTATTAACGCCTCTTAGCAGCTCAGTGGCATGCTCGTAGTATCTATCCTTGATAAGGGAGCGGTCTCCCAGAAACAGCCGCAGAACAAAAACTCATCCCTCCTCCTCGTACGGCTCAATCGCCACCTTGGCCTCCATCACCACCTTCAACCCACCCCACACCAAGCTCGCCGCCTCTCCCAACCCCCCAAAACACGTCAACATATCCACCGCCCTGCCCACATGGTCGGCCTTGATGAAATCCCCACCGACCTTCCCCATCGGCCACTTTGGCTCCGCCAAATCCAGCATCGCCTCCGCGATCTGTAGCAACAGCCCCACTGGACAAGCCATCACCTCCACCTGCGCGAACACATGGGCGATATCGCCCGCCTCCTCGTCCCACACGCACAGATCCACCTTCAGCAGCATCTTTTTCGTCGGCGGGTACACCAGATACTCCTGCAAACGGGGATCGCTCTCGTCCAGCCCCATCTCCACCTTGTCCCGATGCCAGCGCAACGAGACCTCCACCACGGTGAGGTTCTGTGCCGGGATGACCTTCACGCGGGGCGCGCTCCAGTACTTGTGCTCCCGCACGCCGGGGATGTCCCACCGGGCGTCGAGGGCGTTCCCGCGGCGGGAGGGGATGGCGCGTGTTCCGTAGGGACAGAGGACCGGGTTGAAGCGCACCGCAGGGGCCAGAGGAGGGCGACGTTGAGGGCGGGTGAGCGCTGGATGGTGAGGTTGGTGGCGCGGAAGGCCGAGCGGGCGGAGCGGACGGAGGAGGCCGGGAGGGAGGGGAGGATTTTCTGGGATGGGGGGGTTAGTTATGTTGTCGTTGGTGAAGGGCTCGTGTATCCCCTGGGAATTGGAAGGGATCATGCTGACGATGGTCATATCGATATATTCGACCTCCATGGCATCCAGGGGATACCTGCCAAGAAACCCCCTTCCACATAGGAATCTGAGGGGATAATCAGGGGCGTAAACATACCTCGACAAGCGCAAAGCGCGAAAAGACCTCTTGGGTCGCGGTGAGCATTCTGCCCGTATCTTGGGCGTTTCCCGGAGCCATTGTGTATTTGTGATTGTGTGGGAGCAATTGGGGCTGCGAGGAGGGTGAAGTTTGGAGAGGGAGGACAAACGCGCGCAAGGCGCTAGTGCTGGAAATATCCCTGCTAGCGCGGAATGGAGCGGGCTTATATGTACTTCACGTGTGCAGTTTGACCATCATCTCTCCAGTCTTCTCTGACAGATACGACGGTAATGAAGGTTGTTGTTGCCATGGGTCGTGTTATTATGGCGGAGAAGAATGAGGTTCAGGACAGGGCGACTGCTTTGTCGCTAAGCCATACCACGAGCGACGATCGCGACCACTCTAACAAAATCATTCCACCTCACACCACAACGGCGACCGCTACCTCGCCACCCAGGACTTCTGCCTTCCTCCCGCAAGAGCTCAAGGACATGGCTGCCATGGATGGTACCAACAAGGCGCAGAAGAAGGAGACTTTGATATTGCTCAACAACAAGACGCGCGACGGCCACGACGACACTATTACACCATCTACTACTACGCCGACCCCTACCTCGCCACCGAAGACCCTCGCAGATCTTCCACAAGAGCTCAAAGACACCATCATCAACGACTTCCTCCCGGAGGCGTTCCTCTCTTCTCCCGACAACACGCCAACCATCCCCCTCGCGTTGGCGCTCAATGAACTGGCGCCGCATACACGCTCCATTCGATGATGGGTATCAAGCTACCTCCTACGGCTGAGGAGTGGGTCGAGGCCATCGAGGCGAAGAAGGTCGCTCTCACCATTGACATCAAGGCCAGCGCCACCTTCAGCCAAGACAAGAACCACCCCAATAGAAGCAACAACTTCTTCCTCCGCAACTTCTCCTCCATCACGCTCAACCTCGACTTCCATTCTGACCACATCGTAAGCTACAGTCTCGACAACGATGAAGTCAAAGCATCACTCAGCATCAGTATCCATTGAGGCCACTGGATCCTCAGGAACACGAAGTGGATCGGTGTCGGCCATGAGCGCAGCCCTGGCCGTCATCTCTGGCATTGGGGCTTCGGACGCCTCAACAACTCCCGCCAAATCCCTGTGGGCTACGTGAAGGACGAGGCCGAGGACATTGCTCGCTGTGCTCTGGGAAGCTGTGGAGGGACGTACTCTGGGCGGGGGCTGGTGGACAAGCTACTGTTTGTCTTGCAGGAGGTTCTAGAAGTGGAGGAACAGAAGGAGGAGGCCCGGTTTCAGCGCCTGAATAAGCTCTATCATGGCGATTGTTGGTTACTACAAGATCCCCCTCTTGGGTACTAAGTGCGTGGAACGCAAGTGCGGTGCAAGGGACTTGGGTTTCAGACATGATGGTACTTTCAGTATGAGGACGACACAGGCAGTTTGACACTAGAATGAGGGTGCAGGCTAAGAACAATGAGTACTTGAGCTAAATAAAGGGGGCTCTTGTCTCTCTAGCTACCACCTCGGTAGACCAGACAAAGAACGCGAATGCCGCATTGGGTGACTCCTGCACTCCTATCTATCTCCTATGTGCATCCCTCCTTGAAGACCTGCTTCCGTGCGTCGCTCGTATCGATGTCATCACACGCTCTTTGACATTCATGAGTTTCATCTTTATTGCACCTGTCTTAGTTCTATTGTACGTACGTGTCTTGTATACCTTTCAAACACGTGCTCTTCAATAGTAAGCATTTGACAGCAAACTATACTACAAGAACACGTGTTTGCTACTGTTTCTGAAACGGATAGTATCCGGATACTCGTGATGTTTGTGTACAGCATCTAATGACAAATGATACATGTGAAAGCAGGTTTTTGCACGTGCTATGTAGGAATCTATTATCGGGTGTTTGTAGAAGCTGGAGTCTTATATAGGAGCAGAGTCTGCTTACATGTGGCCTTATTCTGTGTGGAAGATTCCTCAGATCGCCGCCGTTTGCCCGCGTGTTTCATCTCCGCCAGCGCCAGAATTTCCCCTTCTTTTCGCCACCTCATCCCAGAACAACATCAGCTTCAAGCCCTCCAGCAAGATGTCCAACAGCAGAGACGGCAAGATGGCCTCGGGGAAGAATGAGAAGAATTCGAAGACCACGCTCGTCACCATGCCGCAGGAGCTGCTCGACAACATCATCCGCCTCGCTCTCCCAGCCGCACTCCTCGTCAAAGCGCACGACTACGTCTCTCTCGACCTAGACGACGATCCCGAGAGCATTAATGGATTCTTCATGGAGCTAGACAGCCCCTGGCGCGAGGTAGTCGGCATTCGCCTCCTACACAGCAAGATCAAGAAAGCCGTGGACGAGAGCATCACGAAGATCAACACACTCGACATCACCGTTATCGACCACATCAGCAATACCGTCTTCGATGCAGCAGCGAGCAGACCGTTTGGCAAATGCTTACAACTTGCGCAGTGGATGAGCATCATTCAGAAGCAAGAAATCAACACCATCGTGGTCGGTAACGAGCACATGGAGCTGCTCGCCTTCGACGACGCCGGCGGACGTTTCACGCTCCAGCATGTGAACGACGGGTGGAGACTTCAGCGCACCCAGTGGACACGAAATGCCTGTGCACTGACGGCGTCCTCACTCGTGCCAGATCATTTTGAGCGAGAAAGGGCGTTCCATACCTTGATGGTGCTTTGGTCGAAGGAAGGGCTCTCTGCTGCCACTGTAAGCCTGGTGATAAAGGCGACGACGCTCGGCAGCCAGTGCCTGTGTCTTCAGTCATGGGCACCGACTGGTGTCGGGATGTTTGGGATTGTGGCGTATTTGCGGTCTAAGATGGAGTGGCAGCTGATGGCGATGGAGAAGAGGAAGGCGGGGTCGTTGGAGTTCGAGGATGGCGAGGTGGTCGTTGAGGGATAAGATTGAGTTAGAGAGTGCGTGCTGGGGAACATGAAAGAGTACACTGCGCGAGGAAGGTCGTGCAGAGGGTCTGAGGATGGCGCGAGACCTGTTGTTGGATCTCTCTTTGGTCTGATGTCAGTCGGGAACCAGAAAACGTGTGACAGCGTCTGCACTAAGAACGACAAACATGCTTTGCATAGCAATGCACAAATTTCTGCGTGCAAACTATGACTTCAACAGACTGTCCTGCTATACCGGACCCATACGGACGTATGTAAGCCTGGTACAAGATTGTCAAAGCGAGGAATATCATGAACTGAAAATCACTAGAAATTCCACACGAGTTTGCTGGAGAAAGGAGTCTAGCCAGTTCCCTGTGTGCTTCCAATACTTTCAAGAGGTTCTGAGAGCAATCTCAGCCTAGGTAGGCCGCGAGCCTTAGTAAGATGTGCTGCCGTTAGCATTGAGCTGATCAGGCTCGCCAATCTCAAAGCCACCAGGCACGATCGGCCGAGGCAGTGTATCCTTGGGACAGATGCTGTGGCTTTATAGCATGCATGCATTGGGGTGAGGTGGTTGGTATACAGCTCTTGGATCAACACGCCACAGTCACACCGCAGCAAGCTCAGCTGCAAGCACTCCGCCCCACGAGGGCGGCCTCCTGCCCAGCCTTTCTGAACACTTCTGACCTGGAAACATGGTTCTCTCTCCTACCCCGATCTTCATCGTCATGCCAAAGTGAAAACTTTGACGCTGCGAATTCCAAAATGCGGCTCCTCCAAATCACAGACGACGGCAGCTTGAGCTTCACATACGACCTCAGCGATGACAAAATTCCCAGATACGCCATTCTGTCCCACACCTGGGGCCCGCCGGAGCACGAAGTCCTCTATCAAGACGTTCTCGACGGCAGCGCATTGGCAAAAGATGGGTTCCGAAAGATCAGGCTTTGCGCCGATCAGGCTAAGCAAGAAGGGCTGGAGCATATCTGGGTTGATACCTGTTGCATCAACAAACACAATTCGGTCGAACTCTCGGAGGCTATCAACTCGATGTTCAAATGGTATCAAAAAGCGGAAGTATGCTATGTCTGGCTACCGGACGTTTCAGGAAAAGACCGTGATCAGGGCGAGCAGCAAGACGGGCGTTTGGATACCAGCATTCGAAAGAGCAGATGGTTTACCAGAGGATGGACTTTGCAGGAACTGATTGCCCCCAAAGATGTCATTTTCTACTCCAGGGAGTGGGCCAAGCTCGGTGACAAGAAGTCGCTGGAACGTCTCATATCCGAAATCACGAGAATTCCCGCGAAAGCTCTTCGAGGCGAGCCTTTGGAGCAGTTCAGCATCACAGAACGACTGTCATGGCAGGACAGCCGTAAGACCACCAAGGAGGAAGATAAGGCATATGCTCTTCTAGGGATCTGTGGCGTCAACCTGCCTTTGATATACAGCGAAGGCCAGGAAAACGCATTCCGGCATCTGAAGACCGAGATCGAGAACGTTTTCAAAGGTGCGGAAGGGAGTTGATTCGGGTAATGAGTTTCAGTACTTACTGACGGACGCAGGAGTCAAACGCGAGGACTTTGCGGTACCCCTAGCCATCGACGATGTCATCGGCGTGGAATCTTTCGTTGCCAGGCAGGATGAGCTGAAAAAGATGCGGGAAGTGTTGAACAGTGATGGTAGTCGCCGAACTGTCGTCATTCACGGCCTGGGAGGCATGGGCAAGACTCAACTGATGATTGCTTACGCGAAACGGCACAGGAACGATTACTCCGCCATCTTCTGGCTGAACGCAAAGGACCTCGATAGCTTGAAAGCGAGCTTTGCTAATATCGCGCGGCAGATCTTGCAAGTCCATCCCTCTGCTAAGCACCTTACGGCTTTGGATCCCGTCGCACCGAATGTGGACACGGCTGTGGACGCTGTTAAAGCCTGGCTGTCGCTCCCCAGCAACACTCGCTGGCTCTTGTTGCTCGACAACCTAGACAATCCGAAGGTACCAGACAATCCTGACCCTGAGCCAATCGATATCCGAAAGTTTCTCCCTTCGGCGCAGCAAGGCTTCGTGGCAGTCACTACTCGATCATCTCGTCTAGACATCGGTCATCAACTACATCTGCGGAAGCTCAACAGTGCAGAAGATAGTCTCAAAATCTTGTCCGACTCATCTCACCGTGACATCACGCTCCACGATGATTCAGCCCCACAACTCACGAAGAGATTGGACGGATTACCCCTTGCGCTAGCGACTGCTGGTGCTTACCTTCGTCAATCATCTATGGACCTCTCCGAGTATTTGCGTTGGCACGACAGCGCGTGGGCAAGATTGCAGCGAACGAGCCCAGGCTTGGTATCTTACGAAGACCGAATGCTCTACTCTACCTGGCAAGTCTCCTTCGATCAAGTTGAAAATATCAACCCGCTCTCAGCTGGACTTCTTCGATTGTGGGCCTATTTTGACAACCAGGATCTCTGGTATGAGCTCCTTCGCCACGACGAGGAAGAAATGGAAGACCGACCCCAGTGGATAGCCGACGTCGTGAAGGACAAGTTGACTTTCGAGGAGGCTATTCGGGTCCTTCGCGATCATGGCTTGGTGGAACATCACCCTTCTTCGCTTGAGCTTACGGAATCAGCCGGCTATAGTATCCACGCCTGCGTACACTCCTGGACACGAACCGTTTTGAACCCTGGTGGCAATGCGGAGCTGGCCATAGTTGCACTGAGCTGTATAGCGTTACACGTGCCAACCCGTGATGATGAGAAACACTGGCTGGTGAACAGGCGGCTTCATAGCCATGCCTCCTCCTTCACAATCGCCGACCTTACGGACCGATGGTACTCGCCAGGACTTGCTTGGGCATTGTCTGAGATTGCTGGGCTTTACCTTTACGCCGGAAAATCCTGTGAGTCTGAGTTACTGTTAGATCGACTTTGGTGCGATTTGAAAGATGCAAACGATGATCTACCCTTGAAATTCCATACTGCTCACAATCTGGGAGCCTGCTGTGTGAACCAACACAATCTTTCAAAAGCAGAAAATATGATACGTCATGCAATGGAAGGGCGGGAGAGAGCATTCGGTCCGCACCACCACTCAACACTCGAGTCGGTGGGTTTATTGGCGAGTACGCTGGCGCGCAAAGAGCAGTTAGCACAAGCCAAGGAACTGTATCGACGCGTCCTTCAAGGTCAGCAAAAGGCATTTGGACGAGATGACCTGGTAGTTCTTCAAACCGCGTGCAAGCTAGGAGAGGTCTGCATCCGCCTTGAGCATTTTGACGAAGCCGAGGGCCTTCTGCAACAAGCAGCGCAAGGGTACTCACGCTCTCATGTATCAGGTCATCCAGATTGCCTTCGAGTTATGTGGTCTCGAGGAAACCTCTACGAAGCCAAAGGTGATTTGAGCATGGCCGAGGACACACTGGTACAACTTGTCCAATGCCGAGAGAGCGCATTAGGCCGTGATCACCCCGACACTCTTGTCTCATATTACAAGCTAGGCAACGTTTTTCGCAAACAGAAGAACTGGAGTGAAAGCGAGAAGTTTCTGCTACTCGCTCTCAAGGGCTACGAAACTGTGTATGGACGGGACGCTGCCAGAACGCTTGAGGGCCCGGTCAATGGTCTTGCATTGCTTTACAAGAGCCAGTGCAGATTTGATGAGGCGGAGCAGATGTACCTAAGAGCATTACGAGGCCTCCTCGAGCGTGCAGTCGGGCAGGATCACAGCACGATATTGGTCATGGGCAGTTTCGGCAACATGTACGGCAAGCAAAGCAGGTTTGACGAAGCAGAAGAGTTGTTACTAAACGCTCTAAGGGGATACGAGGCGCTATATGGCGAAGACCATGGAATGACGATCATGTACCCAGTCATTAATCTCGGACTTCTTTACGCTGAGCAAGGTCGGGTCGTGAAGGCAGATGAGATGTATCAGCGCGCATTGCCAGCAAGAGACCGATTGCCGACGGAACGCCAGGAGGACGTTGACCGCCTCGGCAGGCAAATCAGCCGGCTTCGCCACGAACAGGAAGAAGAGCGTGACAGTCCGTCAACACCCGCACAGGAATCATCAGATGATGGACATGAGCTGTAGAAAGAGGCAATCGAGAACCACAGCCACGAAGACCAAAGACCACGCCCCGATAGTGTCGCGAGCAACACACACGCTAGGCGTCCAAAGTCGAAAGCTTATATATCGAAGATTCTAGTGGGAATCAAATGTCGGTTGCTCCAGGACAAGGCGGTCCCCTCGACCCGACGATGACATCCCGTGGTAGGAAAACATAGAGGCCAAAGAGATGTCGACTGCTTGCCCGAGTATTCCTGAGGCGTATCCGGGGCAGAAACGACCAGAGGCGTGTCGTTGGTGTACTAAACAGCCGTCTTGCAGTGGGGAGACTCTGGAGACCTCGGGGTATTGTGAAGATTGCCTCAAGTGATGGTAACGTCTAAGATCAAGACAGAAAAGGGGGCAATGGAAGAAGCATCAGACGGCGTATTGCCTAAGCCAGGCAACACTTTACCCATCCGCAGTACCGACACGGCGAACTCCATGTCGACCATGTCCAGACACCTCTATACCATAGACCCACATCATCAATCTCGAGCACCGCAAGACCAAGACCAAGAACGAGGCCCCCATTCTCTTCCACAGTCATGAACAGAATAGAACAGAACAGAAAAGAACGACTGCACGCATCAGTGACACCGTCCTGCTCCCTACCTGATGCTTTCGCTGTGCCTTGGCAATCAACAAACTCCGCAGGGACCAGCCAGAAGCCCTTCGTCGGAATCGTTCAAGTCCCCTTTCAGTCGTTTCTCCTTCGGAATTCTGTGGAGTTGATATGCCATTGGCGAACGCACACTGTGTAAGACAGACTGAGGGCGAATGCAGGCGCAGGGATCGATCATTGCCGATGTCTCTCAGCACTTCGGCGTATCGTTGAAGCAATGTTCTGGCAGCAGATTGTCAAGGTAGCGACGTGGAAGCTGGCAGAAAGCGAGGTTTTCGATCTCATCCATTCGAAGCACACACGATGAAGCTGCCTGAGGCGATGAAAGCAGGGCGCTGCGCCTGTAGCTCCATCAGCATAACGACGTCTCATTTCTCACCGAGATTTGTGCCTTCTACATAGCGAAATCAATGAAACATTCTGCGATCTGTCATTTCTACACTACTCTGTCGTATGTCGAATACGGATCAAGTTCAGCTCAAGTTTTATACAGCCGTCAAACACACAACCTCTCTCTTCACACCTCGCAACGCCACCCATCAAAGAAAAAGTCCATATCAATTCAAACCCCTCATACCCTTCTCAAGAAACAATCCACCAAGCCCCACCCAACAACCCCAAAAGCACAACAGCCGTCAAAATCCCCGCCCCAGCGCGATCCCCCGTCGTAACCGGGGCCAAAACCACCGGATTACTCCCCACATCCCCATCGCCCGTGCCCAAACTCGCATTGCCCTGACTGATACCACCCGTATCGTGCGCAACCGGCGCGGTGGCGTTCTGGATGAGATTCGCCTGGATGACCTCGAGGGCCGACATCTGCTGGCCGACTCCGCTGGTGCCGTCCCATACGCCGTTGTCGGTCCATTTGGTGCCGCAGGTGATTTTGTCGCTGCCGCCGTTGCATTGCGCCGCGGCGGCTTGCGCGCTGGTGTAGAGGAGGGGTTGGATTTGGGGGTAGAGCCAAGGGGCGAATTTCATCGAGGCGGCGAGGAAGCGGGAGAAGGGGGCTTTGAAACTGTGGATATTGTTAGTATGCGGTGGCGGGGGAGGGTGATTTAGGGAGGGGTGGTGCGGCATACCTTTGCTGATCGAGATTGCAGTTTCCTTGCGGTTCGCACGCCACTTCGAGCATGACTTTGTCTTTGAAGAACACACTCGAGGCATTCCAGAGGCCCTGTGCGCGGTCGTACCACACAGTGCTATTGGTGACACTCCACATGACCGACGCTGCGTTGAGGAGCATACCCGCGCTGTACGTCCACTGGACATGATCGAGCTGCGTACAGTTCAGTAACCCATCCGATCCATCGAAAACCTGGTACGTCGGGCTGATGAGTCCAATATCCGACATCCAGTTCCAGGACCTCGTGACCGAGTCCGCATACGACTGATTTCCAGTGTAAGCGTACAACCTCGCCGCGAGGTTCAGCAGTCCTCCGTTAGCAGGCGAGTTCTTATAATTATAACCCTGATTCCACTGGAAAATCTGCCATCGCAGTCCGCCGCCACAAAGCTCCGTATCCCAGCGATAATACTGCGAGTTGAACACCGCCTGCGCGACAGAGATCCAACTGGGCTGGTCCGCCGGTGGGTTCGGGAATGCATACTCAGCGGCGGACATGACGTCGAAGCCCCAGAACATCTGGTCGTCGTTTCCCTCGTTCTTCGTCTGGTTCGCTGGCATGAAGTCGTACGTCGGGCTGTACTGGAACACCAGCGCTTGGATTACCAGGTCGTTGTATTGCGTGTCGCCCGTGTAGTACCAGTAGTCGATCAGGGCGCCGAGCATTTCACCGCCTTCCCACCAGTAGTACGGCTGTGGTAGAATTCCTGGGGTGCCGCCGGGTTGGTTGCCGGTATACCATTCGAGCATTTTGCCGGCTATGGTTTTGGAGACGCTTCTGATAGAGTCTGCGAGGTGTCAGTGGGCAGGCCGGCTAGAGGCGGTATGGTCGGGGTACACACCTGGACTGGTCATGTCGACCTGGATGGCCGCAGTCGTCGCAGTCATGGCCGCCAATGCGGCGGGTAGGCTCAGAAACCTCATGCTGGGCGGTTTGTGATGATTCTCAGGCCTCGCCACTCATCCACGCGCACGCCGGCCAAGGCGCCTTCCTTCCCAAAACGAGCGTAACGGGCTCGGCGCCAAGCAGCCAAGACCTCGAAGTGAATGAACGAGATCTGTTTCCGTCTCCAACAATTCTCAGATGCCCGTTGATGGCAGTCGTGCGGACATGGTGTTGTTGTTGATGCAACAATGGTGAGAGAGGGAAAGGAGAGGTGTGCGCCGCGTCAGCAACACGAGGGCTGAGCGGCGGGCGCATGACAGGACGAATCGGAGAATACTTTCACGTCAATGAGAAGCCGTTGGGGGAAGGCCGCCATCCCGCTTTCTGGTCGACCCCAAGCCTAAACGGCTCTTGGCGTGGATGAGAAGCTTTTTTCAGGTCTCGCCGGAGAAAGCTTGCCGGGCGCTTGGATTACTTGGTTGTTGCTGCCCCTGTCGGTGCCGGATTTGCCGCAGGGTCTCACAACACTGATCTCTGGGTTTGGTGACGTCTTTTGCAACGCCTCTGGCCTTTATCCATCGTTCTTGTAGTCGTGCATTATTCTCACGACGTTATATCTGGGTGAAGAGATGGCGGAAACAGGCCGTTTTCTGCATTTGAGCTGCTTGTGAACTCTCAGCTCACTTTCCTTGCCGCCGCGACGAAGACGAAAATAGAACATGCGACAGGACCGAACCGAACATTTCGGTGCTTGTGATGGAGATGCGTTGCAGCTTGTCGTGGCTTTAGAAGATGTCCGCGGCCATGGTAATGATGTGTACTGATGTATCGGTAGGAAAGCACTCAGCAAGATGTAATTGCAATTGCCGCTGCACTCTTCTTCGGTGAAGCGGTCCGAAGCAAGTCCTCGCGAGGAATGTACTATCTTGTAGAGAAAAGATGCGATGCTGCTGCAAGAGCTGCGAAAATGGCTCACTGCAGCAAAAATGATCCCTCCAGATCACCCAGCTCCAACTGCTCAGCCAAGCCAAGCATGAAATCACCGCTGGCCATCGGCTGCGCAAGTCCATACAACTCGTCCCAAGCAGCCAAAAGATCATCCGCTCCATCAAGCCCATCACCAAAACCGCCGTCGGCGACCGCTGAAGTGTGATTGTCTGACATGGCTGCGGCTTGCTGTGGTAGCATCGGCTGCTGGGGCGTCTCCGCTGCAAGGAAAGTGTGATGCCGAATAGGTTCCAGCAATTCCTCGATGTCTCGAAGTTCGGCCTTCCTCAGCGGGGCGACGACGTTTCTAGCGCCGATCATGTTGTCGAGGACGGCGAAGGCGTTCTTTTGCCAGGATGGATCTGGTAAGTAGGATGGCAGCATGGCGCCCAGCAATGAGAGGAGTGTGCTCGAGGAGAAGACGTATTCGAGTTGGAAGGGCAGGAATGTTTCTGTAGGTATGTTGTCAGTGAGAGGATCATTCGTCGAAGTGTTACAAACGTACCAAGCAAGTTGCGTTCGGCGAGTGCAGCCAGCATGACGAGCACACTGTTCGCAGATTCGGCGCCGGCTCGAAGTAGGGCTTCAATGGGTGCTGCAAGGTGTTGTGGCTCTGATGGGTATGATTGCAGGCTCAGCATGAAGAGCCACATGACCAATGGCCGGGTAGCTAGGACGATGCACTGTGTTGAGAATCGTCAGCTCATGTCAAATTTTCAGCAGTCCATCATGATGATGGCTGGCGCTTACATGATGATATGACAGCGTAATGTGCCTGAAGATGTTTGGCAGATCTCCATTGGGCGACCTCTTGTAATCCGAGATGACACTTTCCAGATCTCTGGAGACGGCTGCGAGCTCATGCAATATGTCGGTAGTGCTGCTGATGAATGGCTGTCCCAGGCCCTTCTCGATGCTGTATACCGCTATATCTGGAATCAGCGGGAGCGGTACTTGAAAGCATATTTCCACTTACTGGTGCAAGTCTTGGCCATGAGCTTTGCGAGACGAACTCTCAATCCGAAGCCGTGAGCAAGAAGCTGCGAACCTTGCGCCGATGGGAGGGGAGCCGAAATCTCGTTCTCCGACAGATGATTCGGACAACCCATCGTCACTGTAAACTCTCGATCGAGAACATATACGACCCACCAAGCTTTGTGGCAGCGAGCGGCAAAGGCAGTATCGACAACATCGTCGGGGATTTGAAGATGAAGTCCTTCAACGTAGGCGAGACGGAGAGCCTGTCCGATCTGGGGCTATGTGTCAGATTATGGTGACCTGAAGTGATGGAATGCAAGCACTTACCAGCTGGTACGCCGAGATGCGCATATCAATCGCTTGGAAGTACAATGCAGCGAGCGACAGAACCTCCACAGCAAGAACGCCTTCCTCATGCATCTCTGCCACATCCGGCATCAGGGACATCGCTCGAGAAGCATACTCACTACCCGGTGGGCCTGCACTCGTTGACTGGCCCGGGTGGTTCAGAAAAGCCTTGCCGAAAGCCAGGATGAACAAGTACTGTACAAACCATAGACGATGGTTCCTCGCGGTCTCAAGGCATGAGACCTGGAACTGCTTGAGCCGTTTCATGAATTGTCCATCGTCTACGACAGCCCATAACTCCCGTAGGTGGAATTGCACGGTGCTGTAGAGGTAGGCAGTGTAGTCGCTCGATGGTAGGTTCTTAACGTCGGAAGCTTGGACAGTACCTCTTGGACTCCATCGTAGTCGGAAGGCTGCGCCATCAAGATTAGTCGCAGTAGGTGGGCGGGTTGAGTCTGGCGAGTGTGACTGGAGCAAGGCCAGGGCTCGCTGGCAGTAGGCCCATGATGAGGTCGGGCCCAGTGATCCTGCGAGAGTAGTCAGTATGCCGTGAGTTCAGACGGTTATTCCACTTACTGATTCGGCCAACGTTGTCGTAGATGTAGCTCAGGCTACTCCCAACCAGGGGATTGTGCGGCGAGGGGCCAGTGGGTGTTGCCCAAGCACCGCTGCCTTGATCATGAGCGGCATGAGCAGAAGCATCCGCTACAAAGACTATCAGCCCATACAACCTCCACAAATTCCTCTCCGAGATCTTACCGAGAGCATCCAGGCCAGCGGTCTGAGGACGAAGCCGAGGGTCCAGGTCTGTCGTCAAAGAATTGCTTGCCCCAAACGAGGCAGGCGACGGCGCCGGCCACGAAGAGCTAGTCTTCGGCCTCTTCGCCGGCCTCTCCTCTCGTTCCTCATTCCCATAACCCACCTGCTCCGACACACTCCCAAACCCAGCAGCATCAAGCCGCCCATCTCTCTCCACCGGCGTTTGACTCCGATCCAAGCCCTCCGCCTTCCGCTTCAGCTCCTCAAAATACGAAATCGGAATCGACACATGCGCCTCGTCGCTGGGGAAGACACACGCCACTCCACGTTTCGTGCACCGACCGCAGGGGTGTTCACCAGAACACCGGATCTTGGAGATTCGACATTGCTTGCAGCTGAGTTTTTCGGTGAGGGTCAGCGATGGGCTTCGGAAGTGCAGGCCGGAAGAGTTTTCTCTCACGCTTTTGGGGTCCGGCGGGGGACTCGAAGTGGTCTGCGCGAGGAGTCGTCTGGGCTGGCGTTGTCCATTTTGGCGTTAATATCCTAAATGCCGAATGCTATACGCTGCTGGTATTTCGTATTGATGTGGTGAGGATCTGGTCCAAGTCGGTATTGGAGTGCGACGTGAAAGCGGAGGTGCTCCTGTCGTTATCTGATCTTGCTGACTACACAGTGTTGCCCGCCAATGAGGGGGCTTCGAATTGTATGACGAGAAGAGCTGTCTGCATAACTTTGTGCAAGATGCATTCGTTGTTGGCAAATTCCTCCCGAGTCCTCAACAAAGTACATCAAACAGCAACAATAACGATCAAACTCGCAGCGACGTCAAAATAAAGCCATGGCGACTACACCCGGAAAGGAAGGCACACGAAGCTTAATTTTTGCGTGCACGTGCGAGCGAGCTCCTCGGAACGACTGGCCGCCTACAACGTCTCTTGCTCGATCTGGAACTCGGCCGAGCATCAGCTATGCCGGCTCTCTGAACAAGACGAATGCTGGCTCGCGGTTGGCTCTTCAGCTGGACACGGGTGCCCAATTTGACAGGATTGAGTACAACAAGTACACACTTGAGAGCGGCCAACCTCGAGACAGGGCAGCGATTGACTGCTCACGGCCTTGCTTTGGATCCTCAGGATGCACCATTTCCTGCTACGCCTCGAAACCCTGCAGCCCTACCTACGCGTGCTCGCGCCACTAGCCCCACGAGGCAACCGAATGCCAGTGGATCGGAACACCAGTTCGAGGACCCAGACTATCCCTTCAGCAGCGACAGCAATACAAGATCAGCTCAAGCTTTCTCATCACTGATGTTCACTGATGGTCGACACTGGCCGTCGAATACCTGTGTCGTCGTCGGACAGCAAAATCGGTGTCCAAAACCGACTTCTACAGGAGAGCTTCACGAGCTCCAGCTCTATTGACGATTGCTGCTAGGGGCTGGCCTATCGAACAGTACCTTATCGAGCATCGCATAGGATATGAGTTGCTTGGTTGGCCCGGGTTCCATTGACTATCTGGGAGATGATATCCTGCCGCTTCAGAGGGACAAGAAGGTAGGCTGCTGGAAGCTATGTTGTGTTTCTTCATTCTACTCTGCGCCTCCTATCGGGTGCTGTCATATCTGATAAACACATGATGGACACAACAGATTACGACGTCGTCATCGTGGGAGCTGGCATCTCCGGCATCTGCTTCGCATACAGACTTCAAGAACGCAATCCCCATCTGCGATACTGTGTACTAGAGAGTAGAGACGATATCGGTGGCACATGGAGCTTCTTCAAATACCCAGGTGACGCTCAAAGCGCACTCGCCAGCATCAACCTGCTGATACCTGGGAAGGCCTCCGATCAGATTCAGACCTCCATACCTTCGGCTTCCCATGGGCGCCGTGGACGGAAGAAGCGCCGATCGCACAGGGACCGGCTATTGTCAGCTACATGAGGAAGACAATTGCGGAAGCTGGCATCGATAAATCTATCAAGCTCAACCACAGAGTTCAGGGCTTGGCTTGGTCTCCTAAGAAGAGGCAGTGGTCGGTCAACACGAACGTCGAGGGTCACGTTGGTGAGATCAGCGCCAAGTTCGTTCTACTCGGCACGGGCTACTATGATTATGATGAGGCTCTCCACGCAGCGATACCAAATATCCAAGACTTCCGAGGACATGTCGTTCATCCGCAATTCTGGCCAGAGCATCTCGATTACTCGAGCAAGGATATCGTCGTCATCGGCTCTGGGGCAACGGCGATCACTCTTCTGCCATCACTGACCAAGACCGCTAAACATGTTACTATGTTGCAAAGATCGCCCAGTTATATCATGTCCGTCCCTGTCAAGGACCAGCTTGAATCCACGATTCGTCGCTACCTTCCTCGCAATTTGGCAGCCACGCTCATCCGACTAAAATGGATCTTCGCCCCAACCCTTTTTCGAGCCTACTGCCTCGCTTTCCCAACCCAAGCTCGGGGATACATGCACAAACTCACCCAAGCCGAGATCGGCCAAGACTGCTCTCTCGACCCAAACTTCACACCAACCTACAACCCCTTCGATCAAAGGATGTGCCTCTCCCCCGACGGCGACTTCTATGGAGCTCTCCGCTCGGGTAAAGCAAGCATCAAGACCGGCACCATTGCAACCATCACAGACAACAGTATCATCCTCAACTCCGGCGAGACCCTCCACCCCGACATAATCATAACAGCAACAGGCCTCAAACTCCGTCTCGGCGGCGGTATACCGATCACCATCGACAGCGAACCCTTCCACATCCCGAACGCCTTCGTCTGGAAAGGCCTCATGCTCGAAGGCTGTCCAAACCTCGCCTTCTCCTTCGGATATTTCGACGCGAGCTGGACGTTGGGCGTGGATATGTCTGCTCAACTAGTATGCAAGATTGTGAAGCAGATGGAGAGGGATGGCGTGGATGTCATTGTGCCGGAAAGGAGTGATGCAGAGAGGAAAGGGATGGAAGAGAGGAGCTTCCTGCAGCTTTCGAGCACGTATGTGGAGAAGGGGAGAGCGGCGCTGCCGAAGGTGGGGAATATGGGGCCTTGGAAGGCGAGGAGGACGTTTCTTTGGGAGTGGGTGGCGTTGAGGTTTGGGGATGTGAGGAAGGAGTTAAGGTGGGTTCGATCCGGACGATAAGGAGAGACGGCACGCAATGCATTAGCTGCCTGTTTCCTGAAGAGTTCGCAGCCACGTTGTTCACACGAGAACAAGTCTTTTCATGGCCTCTCGTTGCTGTCATCTCGCACTGTTCTGGCTCTGCCTACCCTGACCTGTGATTCTTCCTGATCTTTTCCCTGACCCGAGTCTTCAAACATAATCCGCCAACGCCCTCATCATGTTCCACCGCAATCCCTTCCTTGCGGGCAACTGCACACTATACGTCAGCTCTCCAACCATGAACTCCCTTGCCGATGCTGTCTCCTCCATCAGTCCCGGTACCTTGCTATATCAGCTCCACTTCCACCTCATCGACACCGGATTCTTGCAGGTGCCACAATCCATCGTTTTCACAATATCCTCAGTGAAAGGGTGAGAAACGACCAGGGGCGTCGGAAGGTTCGCGATGTCGATTATGGCACTGCCCATCGGGATAGCGGCGCTGGCGGAGACTTTGACTTCGATGGACTCATCGTGGCCGGATGAAGATGGGATAGGAACTCATTCAAGGTAGCAGACTTCGACCTCATCGCACTTTCTCGGCGTGGCGTACATGGCGTAGTCCCAGCGAGACCTCCAGTGCTCGTCCGTCACGGTACTCTTGTCCTGCACGAGGAAGAAGATAGTCCCACCAAAGCGATTGTGGCGCAGAAAGATGGCAGTGTTGTAGCATTTGCTGATGATGCGGGAAATCTTACCCTCGGGCTTGCTCGTGTTGCGGCGGGAGACGTTGAGCTTGCGGCGCCAGAAATGGCTTTGGTGCTGGGAGGTGAGGCGGATATCAAAGAAGGCGTCGTTGAAGAAGGCGTAGGAGGAACCGAGTGGTGGTATGTCTCCAGCTGGGAGCAGGGCGGCGAAGAGGCGGGAGGCGAGTCGGTGCGAGCCTCTGATGATGGCGCGGGTGCCCTTGTTGATGTGTTGCGCCTTCCAGAGGTCGCTGATGGGGAGGTGGTTGAGGATGCTCTCGAGGAGCTCTGTAGTGCCGAAGGCCTTGCCGATGGCGGCCATGTTGAGAAGTTTCTTGTTTCTTTGAGCAGCAATGCCCAGAAACTCCGATCCGACTACGATACCGAGACGATCGATGCGGTGCTGCTACTACGTAAGCCGTTGGGGATGTCAAGCGAAAAATTGGAAGACCTTGCGGATGGGGTGAGCTTTCCACGCCAAGCCAGCCTGTGCAGTTTCGACTTTCGTGCCTTCCTTTTAAGGCCGCTTTACCCAAATATCACCCTTTTCGACCATTCGCGCTCCATACCAGCTGATCGTTATCTTCTTCCCGATCCCAAGACCTCTACCAGCGCAATATATGGGCATCATTCGAACTTCTCTCACCACGGGGCACATTGCCATTGCCAGCATCTTCAACACCGGCGTTCAACAAACAATGATCACTGCTGCGACAATTCTAGCTGCCTGATCGTATGTGATTACCTTTGCTCCAATCATTGAAGCGCAGTCGCAATACATCTCGTAGGGCTTCGATACCTTCCAGGCAGCGACGACTATGGCAGCAAGGAGAACTCGTATCCTGCAGACAATGGGTATCACCACGACAACGCGTATACTCACAAAGCTGATTGGAACGCCAAGCGACACAGTAACAATCGTTGATCGTACTTCACGACTCTCGAAAATCTCGTGCTGGGCCAAGTTCTGGTTTTGACGAAAGTCTGATCCTCTGTCGATCTGGGAACGAGTGTGACCTTGTCGCAAATAAACTTTGAAATTTGAACCACTCAGGTCCAGACCGTGGTGTCAACAAGGGTGTTTCCAGGATCGCCATGTTCGGACGGCGGACGCTACCGTGGGCTCCAACTTACCGGGATGGAACTCGACAGATCCATGCATTGTGGTGTTGGTTCCCAACTTTAAATCGACTTCAGATCTTGCTTTCTCGCTCAACTCATCAAACAAGCAAATGCCGCTTCTTGGCTTGACAGGAGTCAATTCCCTGACTGCCGAGTTCTTCGACATATTGAGGGTATAAGCGCTACGAGCAATCTCAAGCATTGTCTGCGTCTGCACAGACTGCGAGGCATAGTGCATCATACTGCAGACCTTGGAGCTGGCAAGCAACAGCAAAAACCGCAGATCACTGGAGGCCCAGCACCGAGAGGACCTAAATCTGGAAGCAACAGTACTGCAAGCCTCCGAAGTTGCAAGAAGTTTATGAAAGAGGCTTTTGACGGCGACATCATCTCCGGCATGGAATCGTAGAGACGATCTGAAATTAGAACGCAGGGCCAGGGTGCCGGCCACATGGGAAGTACCTGTACCAACATCAACGCACAAACCACTTTGGGCGACTCAATCTTGCGGCGCTGAGTATTTGATCCTCGACAATTTCCTCAAGTTGAACGCTCTCTTTCCAACCACTTCGCACTCAACATGCACTTCAAGCAGTTTACGACCATTTTGGTCGCTCTGTCCTTCAGTGCCGTCTTTGCCAACCCCATTCCAGACTCTGGCATAGATGTATGTGTACCACCTCCTCAGTATGGATCAGTATGGATCAAGTCGCGCTGCTGACTGATAGTGGCAGCTCGTCGCCCGTGGGGAGCAGATTGACCAGGCAAGCCAAGCTCAGCAGGCTGATCAAGCCCATCAAGCCGGTCAAGCTCATCAAGCCGATCAAGCTCATCAAGCCGGCCAAGGTCAACAAACCAGTCAAGGTCAACAGGTTGATCAAGCTCACCAAGTCGACCAAGCCCATCAAGGCGACCAAGCCCACCAAGCCGCCCAGGCACCAAACGCTCATCAAGACGACCAAGCCAAGGAGGGCAAGCAGTACTGGTGCGGTCCTCCAGGCAATCAATACTGGTGTCCCGACCAAAACCCTCAGCCTTGCTGTGACCCCAACGACCCGTACGGCGGTTGCTACTACCCCCCACATCCTCGTCCAAACCCGTGGTGCGACCCCAACGATCCATATGGTGGCTGCTACCAGCCGTACTATCCGCCAAGCCCCGGGCCTCGTCCTCGTCCAGGTCCCACCGGCGTGGAATGGTATGGCCGGCCTTGTGGTATTGGACAGATTTGCTCCAATTGCAATGGTATTGGGGGCACTTGCTATGCGGTATGTGTACACTCACTTGATCTAAGTAATAAGGGCTTACTTGTGTTAGGGACCTCAACCAGGCTGCTCTTGCTACTAAGTAACGCTCAAGTAGCGTGAGAAGGCCTTTCCTGGGGTGAAAGAGACTGACAGATGTGGTAATCGAGGAGGAAAATGCGCTGGTAGCCATCTAGATAGTGCTGGTATCTAATGTGAAGTATGCCGCCCTCATGATGTGAAGTATCAGCCGGCAGTGAAGTGATTTGAATAGCCCGGTGTGAGGTTCGCAAGTGACAGTGTCTTTCGATTTTCCTTCACTCTATCCCCAGCTCTTGGCGTACGACCACCATCTCCAACCTCTGTCCAGCACCACGGACAGACGTCAACTTCTGGAGATAACAACAAGAAGCAAGCATGGCCGCTCCCAAGGCCCTCAATCTGCCAGAGCTCGTCGAGGGCATCCTCGCTCACCTCCCCAACGGCGATATCCTGCGCCTTCAGGGCATCAACTCCACCTGGCATAATGCCGTTCAAGACTCCCCGCTGCTCAAGCACAAGCTCTTCCTCCCGGGAGCGCTGCAGAACGTGGTAGCATCACCTCTCGTCGCGGTCAACCCTCTCTTCCGGCACGACGAATTCGCCATGCCAGCGGCCCCAATGGTCAACGGAGCGCCTTACGTTACAATGAATCACTGTCTTGTGTACTGGGCAGAGCCATTCAAGTTACCATTCAAGACGGGTGCATGCCGCTACCACGAGAGAATCGTCAGAAACAGCGTTTCAGCTGCGTTCGAACTCACTGGAGTTACACGCGAGAACGTCCTGGCCATTCGACAGTACATCCCAGCGTCCGCACAGTCTATGCATCTCGCCAGATCCGCCACACCCATCGACATCCATCTGAGCTACACCATCAAGGAGAAGTTCAATCCCGCCATGACGCAAGCACTAGACGCATCGAATATCAAGATCAAGAAGAAAGGCATCATGACAGCCAAAATAACGGTCAGATCATGTACGCTGGAAGAGCTGTTGCTGGTATGCGAGGACGTGGCGAGGCATCAACTCCTTTCGGAATTTGACATGCCGACCCAGAGCCTCAGTCGCGGCGTCATTCAGTTGGATACCCTTTTTATGAACAGCCTGGGTATGGCGAGCTTCTCCGCTGCCGTGCGAGCGATGATGGTGGGTGCCAGTCCGAAGTACGACTTGACCCTTCGAACACGCAGAAGAGGCGTTGTCAGCAGGATAGTTAGGAAGGCGGCACGTTGCGTCTCGGGATTGTGGAAGAGATAGTGGTGGGGACTGCGAAAGTAGGGGCGTGGAATATATCGACAGGAGAAGGGCATGCGCAAAGAAAAGCACTTCAGTAGAACAGCAAACGCAGCTGAAGGACCTTCCTCCCAGGGGCCTCGCAAAGCCGCGCTAAGGACTAGCGCCCACAAGTTGACTTATCTTGTTTCCATCACTCTTCTCTCAACCAACACCAGCATCCAAACCGCTGTCGTCGTCGTCGATAGCATGATCGCCACAATCATGACGGAGAAGGCATCCACAAAGGCCTGCAGGCTTCCCGAGATCGTATTCAACATCCTCCGCCAAGACCTCGACGCCCTCACAATCCTGAAAGTGCGCAACGTATGCCACACCTGGCGCAACGAAATCGATCATTCCAACACCCTGCTCGAGAAGCTCTTCTTGAAAGTACCCAGAAGCTCGCGCGTACCACGCTCGTGGAACATCATCCTCCCCGGCTCCTGGTCCAATCCTCTCCTCAATCACTCCCTGCGCTCTCCCATCCCATTTCGACGTTTCAAGTTCAAGGCACCCCGCTGGGCTTGCCCAATCAGCATTTCCGGCGACCAGCAGATGTGGGTGGAAGGCATGGTGTCGACGGGAGGGAACTTGGTCTGCATGCAGCCATGGCGAAAGGATATTCTAGGCCTGCTGGAGACGACCCCTCCGAAGATCTTGAACATGTACCTCACAACGCCAGCGATCGTCTCCAGTATCGAGCTCTACCACGTCCTGGTCCCGCAGCAGCTGAGCACTCGGTACAGGAGGGTTGCCGTCACTGCACGCGTCCCGCTATCCTGTGCCTGCACGCTGGGAGAGTATCTTTTGCTCTGCCAGGAGCTGGCAGACCGGCAACCATCACTGCACGAAGTCTACGGACACATCATCAACGGCGCATATCACCAGACTCGAATATCGTTCACCGACGGGTCTCACAAGCAACCTTTCCAAGGCAAGATGTATGGACGTGAGGTGGAGTACGAGTTTCAGCTGGTGAAGAAGAAGCCAATGGCATGAGAAGCAGGCTACAGTTGGAAAATGATGAGACAGAAAGACACAGACGAGGTTGTGGAGTCAAGGGCATGCATGTTTCTTTGAGAAGGCTGTAAGATATTGTTGGAAGTGATGGAAAAGGATCGTTCAGGATGACTATAAGCATATGCAGCACTAGAAGCTGCTGTTTAGGTCCTTTATTAAGCACGTGTTTGTGTACTACACGTGTTTGTATACTTTCTGTTCTACTGCACGTGCTTGTACACTATACTGAACGTGTCTAGTTTGCTATACTGCACGTGATTGTTCTAGTTCACGTGTTTGTTCTCATTCACGTATTTATTATACTGTAGGTGCCTAGTTTGCTATGCTGGATTTGCCTGTTATGCTACACGTGTTCGTATACTATACTGCATGTGTCTAGTTTGTTATACTGCACGTGTTTGTTCTAGTTCACGTGTTTGGTATAACGCACGTGCAGTACTTATATAGTGCACGTGCAGTGCTGCCATACTGCACGTGTCTGCATACTGCACAAGTCCATTCTGCTGTATGTGTTTACTTATCCTCTTGCTATATACGTCCTCGCGCGCGGCTATTGCCGGTAGTGGCAAATCTCGCCGCTGAAATGCTGCCGTTGAACTCCGGCTCGTCTCCGCCCCCAACACTCCAACCAGACCATCGTGTTGTGCATTGGAGGCGTGGTCGCTGTAAGTTCTGAGGGAATAATCATGGGAAATATACTTACTGACTGATCAAGATGCCCTCATCCACGCGCCCGCGCCGGTACTCGGCTCCCTCTCCCATCACAACAGCCAACGTCGAATTCTTGAAGGATACGCCGCTCCCCGCGATTCCATCTCTACATGCGTTAAGGAAAGAGAAGGAGGGACTCGCTTCTGCTAGTGTGTTTGATACCCAAGAGCTCGTCGACAAGATACTGGCAAATCTCCAGGCAAAGGAGAACATCAGAATCCAGCATCTGAACAAGAAGTGCCACAAAGCAGTGGCCAACAACTCAACGGTGGAGAAGAAGACCTCGAAGCAGATTGACTGCGAGCCTGGCTGGGGTGTACCACTGTACTCCCGTTTCATTGAGCGTCCACTTGGATTGGACGAGAGTTCAGGCGATTGGGACGAGGTCGATCAAGACGAGACGACACCTTCGCCATCAGCCGAGCCCTACCCGCTTGTGCCTTGGTATGAGATCCTCGGCTGGGAATGGACACCAGACCGACCTTCAACATCAGTATCGCCGACGCGGGAGTACTCTCTGAGAACCGGCCACATCTTCGACTCCTTCGTCATCGACATGCATAGACTGTGCCAGAACCCATGCAAAGAGCTGCCACCACAGACCTGGCCTGCACTTCTCGACATGGTGCGCTCTCGTCCGACTCGATCCTGCTTCATCTCCCTCCACTATCCCATTTGGGACCCCATGATGCACCAATGCGAGCTTCACCCTATCCCACGCTATACGACGAGGTATCAAGAACTCCATGCTCGTGCAGAGGTCGACGTTACCCAGCCCGAACAGTGGCTCAACGTCATTGACGCCTGCGTAAAATATGCGCCAGATCTGGAGGACGTGTTCAAGTACGATGTCGACCATGCCCGACCTACGAAGCATCTTCATCAGAGCAGATGTCAGTACCCGTGGTCGGTACAGAAGGCTCTTGCCAGCGGTGTCGACTACACTTTCGTACTGAGCAGATGATGGCAAAGAAGCTCCCTGGACACCAGCAACAGCTCGGCGCTCTCACCATCAACACTGCACCACTTCAACAGCACCACCGATACCATCATCATCAAACCCGACATCCTGAACATCACAATACCTTGTCATCGACTCAAAGAGGACTCCTCATGATCACCATGCCAACAAACATTGCGAGCACAACTTGGCACAGCCTGCCCGCCTCACCTCCACCAACAAAACATGACCAGAACAGACTGAAGGACGAAACCTCTTCGATTCAGTTTCAAAACAAATCTCCACTTCGACCGATGATCGCAGCCAAGGAAGAGCTGAGAAGGAAATGGGAAAAGAACCGAAGAGTAACAGCAACGAAGCGGCGAAGAATGCTGTTGTCGGGTCCTTGAGAAGCACTCGATCATGAGTTGCGAAGACCACCCTGTTAGGCTATGCTTCTTCTATATCACACAACTTGTACTGTATTACGACTCACAAGCTCGTAGTCCTTTTCGTCCATGAATCTACGTCACTGCCAAAAACCCACAGAAACTCTCGTACAACCTATACTTTTCGGCTGTGGCCCCTTTCTCGAAACATTATACAACGCCTTGCACAACATATCACCCTTACGAGGCATCATCTGACAGACTCGAAGATCACGTGCTTGCTAAAGCCATCTGATTCATTCACCTGCGCTCGGCTAGCAGTGGTCGCAAATTTAGCTCCTGGAAAGCTCGGACCCTTGAGCTTCTCCGAATTCAAAACACGCCCTCTTCGCGCTGCATCTTCCGACTGATACAACACACCAGAACTCGTGTCTAGCATCGTCGCCACAGTCGCTGTAAGATATCGCAAAGTGTGCATGCTTAATACACTTGCTGACTTTCATCACAGGCTCAGACTTCGCGCGACAACGCGTGCGATCGGAGGGCCATAGTAGCCGGCGACTCTTGACTTTTTCCCGCACCATCCATATCGCCCACATATCGGACCATCGAAGCGGCAGCACAAGACAGCCAGAGAGTACGTGCCCATCCCGGCGTTGAGTCGAATGTGCTGACATTGAATTTTGCTCAGGTCCGCTACGAGTCCGCCCACCCTGCTGAGTCGGCCGACACACCTCGAGCTTCTGGACTCTCTTCCTGGACATCCCTTCCTCCGGCTTCCACGACCTCATCATGTTGCGAACGATCCTGCCTCGACGCTACTCGGCACCAGACCCCATCGCCCCAGTCATTTCGAGAACCGCCCAGGACTCGCCACTGCCCCAGATACTGGACCTCAGCTCCTTCAAGGCTAGGTACACCCATACAGAGGAGGCAGTATCAGCGGTGATCCGTGTCTTTGAGACTCCAGAGCTTCTCTACATGATACTGAAGAACCTGACTCCTAGAGAAGTCATCCGCACCCAGGTGGTGAGCAAGATCTTTTTCGTCGCTGTGGCCGAGAACTCCAAGATCGAGAAAAAGCTGTTTCGAAAAGTCGGTCCCAAGGATGAGCGCGACCAGATCATGCCCCATAACGGATGGGCCGCACCGGACAAAGATGCGGTTGTTTGGGAGGAGATCGAATCTCCCACCACGCTCGAGTGTGGAGGTTCTGCACCATGGGACGAGATCTTGGGTCCGCAATGGAGACCCGATCGACCAGTGCCAGACCGCTCCCCAAACCGGCGGTATTCGTTGACTGCGGGTACTGTCTTCGACTCATTTGTTATCGACATCAACACCTCCTTCGTCGATCCGTTCTCCGACTTGCCCCCTGAACTGTGGGGCGCTCTTCGTGAGCTGGCGCGCTCTCCCCATGCGAAGGCTTGCTTTCTCCATCTTCAGTGTCTGAACGAAGACTTCAGCCACCACAACTGTGTCCAACGTGCCGCCCTCTCGCCCCACGAACTATACCACGATCTTCATGTCTTGGCGGAGCTGGATCCAGGCACGGCCAACAACTGGTCCGATGCCATTGGTGACATCGCCTTCACATACCTGCCATGGATGGATGACGTCTACAAGTATGGCGATACAGATTCGAGTTACTGCACCAAATATCTCCATCACAGCAAGTGCTGCTACCCGGCCAACACCGCAGCAGCACTGGTAGGCGACGTCCTTTACCAATGGAATCTGACCGACTGGTGACGGAATACTTGGATTGAGACCAGTGAACTAGCGACCATTGAGACGAGTCATCGAAGGACAGTGCGGGAACCAACTGCAACACGACACTCCCAGGAAACAAGCAAAACATCACCGGCGCCTACATCATCATCAACTGATCGCCACCACACTACCGCAGCACCAGTACCGCCCACTTCACCAATACGACCACAGCCACTTTCATCGTCCCCATCGAGTACAGCATTGCATCAGAGTTCGTTACAAGCACCAAATTCCTTCATGAACTTCTTCCCGCCAGGCCACATCAATACCGTATTGTTCTTTCCGCACCACTGCCTCGGCTTTCAACTCCAAGAATAAGAAGAAATTACTCGCCACAGCCAAAACTTCGGTCAGATGTTGCTCGCTGGGAGAGCTGGTGCCGGCGTGCGAGCAGCTGGCGAGGGTTCTCCTAAACATTGACATAGCTATGGCGTACTACAGTACTAGATAGCCATTCCAGAGTCAACTCGGATGCATTCGCCAGTTACGCCGCGGTTCTTAGCTAGGAATACGAATGTCTCCGCAACGTCTTCGGTCGTTGTAATCCTTTTCAATCCCGACTTCTCCACATAGCCCTCCCGTCTCTTCTCGTCTAGTCACAAAATCCGCTCGGTATCTGTCAATCCAGGACAAACACCATTGACCCGAATTTTGGGTCCCTGGCTCTTTGCCAAGCACCTAACCAAATGATTGGTGGCTGCTCTCGAAACGGAGTACGCCAAGGAAGATCCGTCGGTAACCAATGCAGCAAGGGACGACATGACGAGAAAGCAGCCCCCGTCTGGATTGGAATTGAACAGCGCATGCGCTTCCTGCAGAAGAAAGATGTTCGATTTGACCAGCGTGTTGAAGGTGTAATCCCAGTCCGAAGACGACAAGGCGAAAATGTCGTGGAAAGGCGCGATCTTAGTGTTTCCGGCATTGGAAACGACAATGTCCAGACCGCCCAAGGCCTGAATAGACTTCTGTACTAGTGCTTGACAATCGTTCTCTCTTGAGACATCGGCCTGGATTGTAACTGTCGTGACGCCGTGTTGATCGCGTAGCTCCGTCGAGAGGTCCGTTGCCAATTTTTCCGACGTCAAATAGTTGATAGCGACATGGCAGCCTTCGCCAGCGAACGCTTGAGCGATGGCCTTGCCGATGCCTCGTGAGCCACCAGTAATTAATATCTTGCGGTTTTTGAGATTCATCGTGGAAGTGGCGCTTGAAACGACGGCCTAGGATCACAGCGAGCTGATGCGGAAGTCTGTTATATGATTGCTCGCTGCCAATATGAGCTGAACACTACAAGGCCTAGAAAGTCAGAGCAGTGCCCGTATAGGGCAAGTACTAGATGGCTGAGATTCGTTGCCAATGGACCTTAGCGTCCAGCCCGTCCATACATTCCTAAGATGGGCTTTGCTAGCTGAACGCTCGCTCCATGTGGATACCATAATCTCAAGAGCTCTCGTACCAGCCTCAGCCATCTTGATCGCTATTTCCGCACTCTCGCCCTGATGCTGAACCGAAAAATCCCGCTGTGCAGGGTCGACGCTGTGCCGCCCACAAATTTGGCTTCGCGAAACTAGTGAGATTCGAAGAGCTGCATCTGAATCACCCTACACGCACATGTGGGACGGCCTGCACACAGGTTCAATGCGGCGAGACATCTATGCACCATTGGCACGTTCTGGATGGGATAAAGCAAGAAGGGACACTCTCGGGGAGGGAACTAGGAGACTGTAAGGGAGAGAAAGGAAAAGGGAGTCCTCAGAAGGGTCCGTCAAAGTCTCGTTCTAGGAGGCTTTGGGATGCTGCAGTACAAGACACCCCACACATGGAACGGTTACGGCTCTAGTAGAAATCCGTCAATAAGAAATAATTTCTTATAGCCTCCACTCTTGTTTATCAGTTGCGTTAATGCAGAAATGCTTAAAAATGTCTACGGTACAATCCATATCTCGGTAGTAGGATTTTCTATGGCAAGATCGAGCCACTGTCTTCCTAGCTAGAGTTTTCGAGAAGCATGGATCCAACGTCCTGTCCAGTTCTAGAATAGTGTATCCTACAATAAAGCCCACATATTTGATCTTATTGGCGAGGCATGAGGCATATGCCCACTTTAACTAAAGGAAAGCTATAGCTATAATAAGAAAAGAAAAGAAAAGATTAATGCACATATATACGACATTCACATATTATAGAACAGATTTCGCCTTCACTAGAAGCTCAAAAACTAAGCTAGCTTTATTCCTTAGCCCCAGCAGGTAAGTGAATGTTCAGATGTTCTCGGCTGAAGCCAGCTTTAGCGTCGTGTGCGTGCTTCAAACAGCATGGAGTGCTCGAGGGCTCGCTTCCGAAGCTCTTCTCTCGCCACAAAACATCCACCACGCCTACTGGTAAGAACAGCTCGCGTCGTCTTTACACTCTGCTGACAACTGACAGGACAGTAGCATCCATTCGCACTCAGCCTCCGCGCACGCGACTGCATTCGGCCGCCATGGCGAGAACCGCGAAGCGACCATGTGCCGACGAGCCAGAAACCCAGAGGCCTCGAACTCACACCAAGATCTCGAACAATACATCATATTCATCCCCATCGCACCTACCTACGACCGAGCCGACCACGAAACACATCATGGATTTCAACAACGAGAACGAGAGAGAGGACCGCATCATGCCATCTCGCGACACAGCCGACCAAGAGCCTGACCAGGCAAAAGAAAAGGAGACGGCAGCACAGAAGGTGTTCAGCATGTCTGAGGTGGTGCAAATCATGCTCGACGACATGACTCCAAAAGAGCTGTTCCAGCCCGTCCGCATCAACCGCACCTTCTGTGATACCATTGCCCAGCTCCCAAGATTCCAACACAGAATGTTCCTCACACCGACCAAGGTCTACCACCAGGCTGAGCGGGCTACGAATGGATACTTGAGGCTCTCCGAACCTATCGAACTCAACTCAACCCTTTCATCTCTGCAGATGACTGGACTGTGTGGCAGAATGCAGTGGACTTGGAAGACTACCTAGGACTCGACAAGGGCTTCAATACCTGCGAATACTGTAGCCGGTATCAACACATCATGTTTCCAACTCTTCATCGACGTACAATCTAAAGAGACGATGCTTCGCCTTGGACTCGACTTGCCAGGCCCTGTGACTAGGACTACCCTCACCCAGCCGATCTTCTGCAGCGATTTGATGATGTTATGGCCATCTGAACCCCTCACTGAAGCAATCCAAATCGCCGGCGTCACCACAAAGCGAGAGGTCGAGAAGGTCGTGGCTCGTGTCAATGTCATACCCACGAATCTCGGCCAGTGGCTTGCCGTCGCCAGGGCACTTGCTGCGCACGAATCATCCCTCGACGACTGGGTTCGCAAATTCGCCGGCAGACCACTAGCCAAGATCGAGGTGGCCAAGACTGTCTTTCCACCACACGTGCAAGACGTACTCTGTGGTAACGTAACATACACGCACTCCTGGAACGGTCCAGGAACTTAGAAGAAGGAGATTCGAAAATGAAGACCCGGAAAGCGATCACCGCGGGTGAAGAGTGCACTGGAAGGCAGGAGGACGAAGGCAGAGAGTACCAGCGGTATGGCGATGATACGACGAGGTCTGGAAGCGTGGAGAAGGCGACGTAAGTGGTATAGCACTGGCGTGATCAGTCAGACATTCGCAGCTCCTCCCGCTGCGAGTGGGAAACGAGGAGATGCAGAACGCTAGCACGGATTCAACATGTACATCCAGACTCTACGTCTCCCTTTGTCTTCATCCTGTTCGAGGTTAGCTGACCTTTCTCCTTTCTCTGTTCTACTTTTGTAACCATCCAAAGCCAGTAGTATCGAACAAAGACAACGACGTTCCCCAACTTTCTCAGACAGAGCTTAAAAGCAGAGAGCTGCAAAGACTTGAAGCACTACAGTTCCCTGCCTCGATTCAGAGATGTATCAAGGCATATGGCTTTTGCTGAGCATCATCCGCGTCTCACCTCCCAAACATGATGTATTGCTAACGAATACCCCCCGCCTTGTCCGTAATAGACTCCTCACAACCTAGCACCTCTCTCCTTCCTAAAAACCTCCCTCACCGGCTCAAACACCCGATCCTGCCACTTCTTAAACGCCACACTCCCATCCCCAACAATCCCCTGCAGACTCTCAAAAACCTCCCTCCTCCGCGCCTTCGAAACTCCCAACAACGTCCCACCAGGATACCTCCCCTCCCCATCCTCAATCACCTCCTTCATCGCCTCCGCAACCTCCTCCGCCGAGATCGAGTTCTTCTCCCGATAGCTGAACTGCGCCGCCATTTTCCTCCCCGCGGGACCCGTCCACAGCGGCGTGCTGACCTGCCCGGGCAGGATCGCGACGACTTTGCAGGACTCGTCGATATCGGCTTGCGCCATGCTTTTCGTGAAGCCCGTTACGGCATGTTTGGTTGCACAGTACATTGCGGTTGCGTAGCCTCCGTAGATGCCTGCGATGCTGGAAAGGATGAGCACGACGCAGGGTTTGTTGACGGAGAGGCAGGAGCGCATTGCTATGCGTGTGAATTTCATGGGGTGTTCGGCGTTTACTCGCATGGCGTGGTAGCCGCCCTCTTTCTCGGTGTCGTAGAGCCAGGAACTCCATTCTGGCTCGAAGATGGCGGCGCCGGCGATCCAGATGTCTGCGACTTGGCCGGCACCGAAGCACTTTTCGACTTTCTTCGGAATGTACTCGAGATGTCGCCAATTTGCAACATCGCATCGCAAGAAGTGTACTTTCTCGCCAATGAGACTTTCAGCTTCTGGGGTGAGTCTGAGATCACAAATCAGAACTCCCCGAGCGCCGCTCTGCATGGCCAACCGGACGAAGGCTAGACATATCCCTGAGCCGCCGCCGGTCACCACGATCAGCCTGTCTTTCAGAGGAAAATGACCAACAGGCATCGTAAGAGAAGTATCATAAACGGTGGCGATGTTTTGGGTACTGTTGTTGATGCACGACGTATCAAGAAAAGATATCTGCGGCCCTATAAGCTTGATCCTGAAGGATTCTTGCAGCTTTAGGGCGGAGGGATAATTCTGCAAAGCCATCGTAAGCTTCATTACACATCCATTTGGCTGACTGATGATTGTGCATGCTGTACTTTGCAGGAGTCAAGTGGTGGGCTTTGAGTGTCCATTCCGTGTTGTTGAGCAATGGTCTCCCGCCAGACTTGACGCATTCTGCAGCGGTGAAAAGGTGGCAGCATGACACCTCAAGTCAGTTTTCGAGACCCTTCTGCTTGCCGTCGTCTGGCTCATAGTTCAATCAATCCCACTGAGGAAGTTGACTGATATGAAGCGCTCAGAGGCAGACTATCCAGCTTCTCAAATCCGTGTACACTTGTGAGGTCTTTCGTCCGGAAATCCAGTACCGTCGAGAGGGCATGGCCCTTCTCTGCCGCAGAAGGCTATGTGAAAGACTTAGTGCTGTGAAGTATACAATGCCAAAGTACTGCCACGTCCGTTGAGCGACTGTACTGGCATCATCACAGGTTGCATGCGTTGCTTCGGACGAATGCTTTGGTTCTTGAACAGTCTCGTCATGGCTGCAAATCCAAGGGCCCTGCGTGCCATGTTGTCACAGAACTGTAGATGAAACGCCGTTCAATTGGAAAGCCTCGATTGCTCTCACAGATGTTAGGATTCGCATGTTGACGGGGAAGAGGCATTCGGGCATTGCCGTTGTTGTGTGCATCCAAGAGCTGAAGACCCACTCATGGAGATATGAACAAGCTGGAGGCCGAGTACTTACTCCGTCTGCGAAGGAAGGGCTGCACAGGTTGTTTGTCGAGAAACACAAGACATGTCGTGGCGTGGAAGCAGAGGTAGTGGAGGTGGCGATGACCCTCTGACCCTCCGCTTTCACCCTCCGATACGACCGTCCGCTTGCCGCTAACAGTGCATGATCGTCCGATCCTCCGCAGCTGCTAGCTCTTCAAGCTCGACTTCACGTCGAAGTATAAATGGGAGCATTCAGCACTCCAGAAGACTTATAAAAGCCATCGGCTTCTTCGAGATACTTGCAAAATCCGAGAGACCAGGCCCAGGACGGGATCAGAATGGCCCAGACCAGCGAAGAGTTCGCTGTTTCTCCAGCATATAAAGCGTCCCAAAGCGGTATGTCTCTAGAGCCTACCCCGTCGGCTGTGGCTCAGACTAATGGCTGTGACAAGTTAAAAACTTTACCAAGACTTCACATAATGACACATATCCCGCCATTGATACCAGGGGTTCGCCCGATTGGAACTGCAAAGGCAAAGCCATGTTGATCACCGGCGCCAATGGTGGCGTTGGCCGAGCAGTCGTGCAGGCCTATGCTCGGATGGGAGCGACACATATAGGACTTGGTGTGCGGCGTGATGTCCCTGATCTGGTCAAGGCAGTCAAAGCAGCGGCCGCGGAGAAAGGCCATCCAGAGCCAACGGTGACGACAGTCCATATCGACTTGGAAGACCGGGCCAGCATCTCCGCAGCAGCAGAGCAGCTCGAGCGGGAATGGGGCCGTCTTGACATCGTGATCAGCAACGCTGGCTACTTACCACGCTGGGAGCCGCTGCTTGACGGTGACGAGTTAGATTACTGGAAGGCCTGGGAGCTGAATATCCGAGGGACTTACTGGCTTGCCAAAGCTTTCCTCCCGCTTCTATTGAAGTGTGGCGGCGACAAGACATTTGTGGCCATCAGCAGTATGGGTGCTCATATCCTCACGCCGGGTGCCAGCTCGTACCAGACGACCAAGTTTGCCGTTTGCCGCTTCGTTGAGTTCATGATGGCGGATTATGGTGACCAGGGCCTGGTAGCGTACGCAATGCATCCAGCCTCGATGCTGACCGAGCTCGCGAGCAACATTCCTGCACACATGCACCGTAAGTTGACCAACGATTCCAGAGGAGATCTTCACGCCAGCTGATGTTATGGGCGCAGAGTTCCTGAACGATACTCCTGAGTTGGTTGGTGATACATTCGCGTTCCTCGGTAGCAAGAAGAGAGATTGGCTTGCGGGACGGTTCGTCGCTGTCTGCTGGGACATGCCGGAGCTGATGGCGAGGGAGAAAGAGATTGTGGAGAAGGATGCGCTGAAGTTTCGTATGGTGATGTAGTACATAGCGAGTGAAGTCGCGCGCCTCCTTCCTCATTGGGCCGCGCTAGAGGGTCAGCGAGATTTGGCGCAAGCTTGGCACGCTGGTCTCAAACAACTTTACACATCCCGCTGAAACTGACTTACAACCACGCACTCTCTCCCACATCTCGTCGCCGATTGTGCCAACAAGTCTTGTAATAGCTGATTTGACCCTCTCATCTGTATGGAGAGCGACCGCGTTTTTCAAACATCACTGCTGAAACCCCCCCACAGTCACCATGGCCGCCTTCCCGCGCACCCGCCTCCCTCTGCCGTGCCCTCCTCAAGAAACTCTCTCCGCCCTCACCCCACCATCCGCCGCATCCAAGGTCTTCGGCACTCCCGAGCTCCTCGAGCTCATAATCGAGCATCTCCCCGTCCCAAGCAAGTTCCGGGCGATGCGTGTGGACTGCGTTTTCCACAACACCATCGCCGGCTCCAGCAAGCTGCGCACACAGATGTTCCTCGACGTGACCTGCCGCACTTATGTCCCCGACGACCACCCACTGAAGCGAAACCCCCTCCTTACGGATCGCCTTGCCAGGTCCTTCCGCTTCGACTTGAGAGACACTCTCAACATCTCCGACCTCGCCATCGTTGCATTCAGCTACTGGGCCACCGGTCCAAAACCGACCTTGGAACTCAGCACAGAATCGAGAGAAGCCGCGCTCACACTCCTCAACACCGCGCTCCCACCTACTTTCCTCGATATGGCTGTCACGGAGCCATGCCTCTCAAGCGAGCTCTGCCTGACGTGGCCCACCAATCCGGTCCCAGAAGATGCACGCCATCCGCCCGTGACTGAACCCACATTCCTTTACAGCGACCCATCTCGGTCACCGCTGTGCGTGGTTGAGGCTTCAGTTCGATCCTCATCACCATGCATGTGGCTCAAAGTCATGCGGACGCTCGTGGAGCATGGAGCTGTTGTTGAGAAGAAGGCTACGGATGAGGGGTGGGATTTTCGGGTAGAGGAAAGCGTGGGACATTATTGGCCTGGGACCCAGGCCATTCTTTTGGGCGATCCTGTATATCGTATCAGCTACCCAAGGACGCAAGAGAGCAACTGTGTTGCGATGTGAGACAAAGTAGGAATGATAAGAGGTCTGGATTACAGTGAGGCGAAAGAGTCGGGCAATAACAGCTTCGGGCAGAAGATTAAGATATGGCGAGAAACAGAGCGCATGAAGCCAGCTCAGCGCAGGAAGACTGAAAACGAGAAGCAACGCGGCGGATACAGGGCAAGATACAAAGCACAGGCTCGGTTTTTGCTCGGAGGTTGCAGCATTCTCGGTGGTCTTCGGTGGTCGAACTCCTATGATCAAGTATGATGGTATCATGGCTCGTCAACAGTTTGTCATCAATACCATTTCACCAACCCTCTCCATCGCTGGCTGTGACACTCAGCCTACCATTGATATGCGATCATGCTGTCTCATCATATACTTCTGGGGAGAGCCGACGAATTGCTCCCGAGGCATTGATGTCCTTGACTTCTTTTCCACCCTACTCACTCCACCCTGCACAACGAAGCAACCGTCAAGCCTCCAGTGCCCTATTCGAACCAGATGCCTTCCCTCCAAGATCAACGTATACCTCAAAACGTACACTCCTTCAATCCTATGACAAAATAGACGGAATCTCTAAAACTATTATGGTATCAATGGAAAGCACTTTATGCCAGGAGTCAAGCAATGTCAATGAAAAGACTAGGATGTGAGGAATGAGAGGCGACGGAGAAGGCACGAGCCGTTCCTGATACCACGACGGGTGAGGAAGCGCGGTTATGAAGGGGGAAGCGGGCCATGAAGGAGAAAAAATTGTTTGGTTGATTCTGCCAGTAGCCATAGCCCTCTCCTCGTCACCACCAACCCTCCATAAAACCCTCTCGCCGCAGGACCATCGCCGTGAGCAGTTTGGCCTGGCCCGCTGAACGGAACGAAGCCTGTGTTGCCGGCAGGAAAGCCAGCAAAGATGCCTGGGTACTGGTAATGGTGGCGCCGACCCGAGCGAAGCTGTGATAGAACTACTGGCCCATTGGAGGGTAGCCGGCATGTTGAGGGTACCTCTCGTGCTCTTTCGTGAACACCGTCTCTTGGGACAGGAAGGCCGAGCGGTTGTCGTTGAGTTCTCCGCCTCCCCGACGGCGTCAGGGAACTCTGGTAAGCCGAGATGATCTCGCTCTCTCAACTCCTCCACGCCGTCGGGGAGTTCTGGTAGGCCGAAGGCCCACACTCGCCTGGCATGTTGAAGCCTTCAAGTCCAAGACCACCGATGCGGTCGTTCAGCTCTTGCAGTTCAGCCGTGACGCTCTCGCTCTCTCAACTCCTCGACAGCGCCAGGAAACTCTGGCAAGCTGAGACGCTCGCGACGAGGCTGTTGGCTGTCCAACCGCAGGCCGGCGACCTCGGTTGGAACAGGCCTCGCCGGCCAGTATTCTCGGCAGACCGCTTGTGCTGTGGGCTGTCAGTCTCAACGTCGAATTTCGGTCTCAATATCAACACGTACCTCGCCCAGGCCATTGGGCTTAGGGAAGCCCTTCGCGGTGTCGGCTGTCCCTGGCCTGCGTGGCCGAGTCTTTCCTCCACGCCGGACGGCCCGGCACACCAGTGTGCTATGAGCGAAAGAAGTCAGCTAGGACGTCACATGGCTTCTGATACTCTCAATACTCACCTTGCTGGTGTGCGGTGCTGGAGAGATCTCAAGTGGGCCCCATCAAATCTCCATCAAACCTCCATCAAATCACCGGGCGTCGCACCTCCTTCCTCCTCAACACACCCGCGTTGGTGCAGCGAGGCTTGGGACGGTAGCCAGGGCGTTCGTCCATGATGGCAGAGTTCCGGAATTTTTCGACGAGACAGTCATGGCCACACGCCGCAAGCAGCGGTGGGACTTGATCAGCGCCGTCCGAGAACCGCATGTGCTTGAAGGAAAGTCAGCTAGGGTTTCTGGATCTCTCGAAAGCGCTCTTGTACTTACCTTGCAGTTGTTCGGTCTTAAAAAGACCAAAACCTGATTCAGTTCGAGCCGGCGGCCGGATCAGAACTCCACCAGCCGTCCGCTATCTTCGCCACGACAGCAGAGCAGTCGACGAATGTGCTGGTTCCAATGCCTGCTCTGGGAATGCTGGAGGAATGGCACGATCGACTCTGCGTCGATGAAGTTGACGAAGCCGCAGCCGACGCTTAGGTTGCGCTCGAAATCGAGCCGCATGTATACGAAATCGTACTTGCCGAAGCTGACGGCGTCGACTGCGGGTGGCAGCCGAACGTTCATAGCGACGTTGCTTTTTGATCCTTCGATGTCGGGGCCTCGCAGGTCCACCGGTTTGGCAGGTTGCGAATCATGACCGTAGTGCGGACGTCTTGTCCGTTGCTGATTCGTGCGACGCTGACTTCTTGGTTGTCTCTGGTGATTCCAACGACGCTCACTTCTTGGTCGTCTCTGGCTGAGACGCCGCGGTGGCGTCGTCGCCCTCTGGGTTCGAGATGCTACGCGCCATCTTCGGTCTGGCGGATTGGTATGAGCCCGCCTTGGCGTGAGCGGACTACGGCTTGGGGAACTCAGTCGTGGCAAGTGGATGGCTCTCGAGCGGTTTGAAGGCTTCGCGCCTCGAGATGCCGTCGGTGATGTTGATGATGTCGAGGTTGGACTTGGCACAGAAGTCTGCAATGGCAATGTCGCGATAGTCAGACAGCCCTTTGTGATCCGACGCGTGTGGAAGAAGCGGCCAGTGTTGCCAGGCATGACATGATGCCGCCGGTATCAAGATGCTTGGTGCGCGTGCGATGTTGATGTCGGAAGGTGCCGTCACGTATCCAATTGCCGAGCGGTCATTGCTGAGAGTTGTAGGTGTTGGTGCAGGCGAGCTGGCCGCGCGCCATGAGGTGGAGGTGACGGAGGTGGTGGTGGACGTTGGACATGACCCCTCATCACTGCTGTTTTTGCTGCTGGAGGCCAGCTCGTCGTTGCGTTCATGGTGAGGTGGGTGCTGCTCGTCGGGTGCCGTCGCTTGCAGTCTTGGGCTGGTGGTGATGCTGCCAGATACTGACGCGTGTTGGTGCTGACGGAGCCTGGCTTTTCTGTAGGTGGCTTTAGAAGGCGACGACGTTGATATGCTTGCATGCAGGTGAGTAACGCTAAGGTGGAAGCGCGGAAGGGGTGGGCGAGGGGGGGCTGCTGCAGCGGTGGCACGTTGTTTGGCTGCTCACCAGTTATAAAACACGTCGGATGGTCTGCACGCGACGGCATGATGAATGCAAATCAAGTCGTGATCATGATAGTCGTGGAGGCATCCAGCGCGATGTCGTTGTAAGGTGATGATGGGGCTGGGGGTGGTGGTGATGAAGGAGACTTGCTGGTATGCAGGCGCACGACGACAACATCAAGTAGGTAGCACACCTCAATATGAAAGGCAATGAATGAGGAGGGCAGTGACATAGACGCTCGCTTAATGGTTGTCGTGAGGGAGTTAAAACTACATATTGTGTTTGAAAATAGTATCACCAATTGAAAATTCCGGCTTGTCCGATGATATGGCTCAGGCGGAGAGCGTTTGGCGAAGGAGGTATGTACTTTCCGTGATTGTTTCGTGAAGTCCGGCTTGGCGGCGCGGCATCAAAGGTAACGTATCTGGACGGAAATCCGCGGTACGACGGGCATATCGAAGCTCAGCGGCTGACCCTGCTTGCGGGGAGTTCTCTTTTTTGCTTTTGTTATTGTTATATCGATATATGTTGAAGTCGAATATTTTGCATATATATGTGATGTTGCTTTTTGCAGAACTCGAACTCATCTAGCGCGTGGCTGTGCGATCTAGGGGGCTAGTGTGGCGTTTCATTTTGCCTGGCTGGTGGCCACGTCTCCGCGCTGCAGTGCTTCTCCTTTCGCGGGTCTCTCCAAAGTGCCTTCTTTAAGGTCTCCGGTATCGTTTCCTCCTTCCCATCACAGTGCGAGCATTCGGACGTGAGCGCTTTTCTTGATCGCGAAACCCATCGTTAGTGCCAAGGCAAGGGAAGCACGAGGAAATTCGTACTCAAAGTCTCAAAACCGCGACTGGGCTGACAAGATAGGACGTCATCGCCGGGCTGCTTACGATCAAGAAGGGCTGGTCAATGATTCGAGATCAGCATCTACCTCAACCACCTCATCGCATCAAGAGCTACACGAAGTACCATTCCTCAGAGACCGCGATTTTGGTGTACGATCCGCCAGCGGGGCCAATCTCATCCGATCAAGCTCTCAGAGTTGGTCAAAAGGTTTACAAGATTCAGGCTGCCTTGTCGCCTGCTCTGACACTGACGGCCATCTTTCAAGATCCACGGGGTACGTGCCGCGACGTCGAGAACGCGACGAGAATGCCGGAAGATAACAAGGCCTACGATATGGACAAACGGCGCGACAAAATGCTGGTGTGAGGTTGAGACACAGGCATCGGCCGGCCACATATCGCCTGCAGCTTGAGAGTGCGGCATTGCAGTGTTTTCTAGAGAATATCTGGAGGCTTCGCTATACCAAACGTCGCTTTCCATTCTTTCCAGTACACTCCGCCTTCTGCAAGGTATGGGTTGTGTTTTAGAAGAGCTCGAAATAGACTGGCATGTCTTCACATGCGCGGCAAGATGAAGACCACGGAAAGACACGAACAAGGCGGCACCGCAACGTCAAGCTTGAAGAAGTTCTACAGGCTCCAGCCCCCTGGAAGTATCGCCGGAACAAAGCTGGGACGTTGTAGCTCCCGGCCGCTTAGGGGGTCCTTGCATGAAGCGAACAAAGCCAGGGCAGGTCCGGATCCGAAGTCGGTCTCAATGTTCTCAATGCCGGCGAGGGCTGCAACTAGATGAGACTAGTATCTCACAGACTGTATGTCGGACCTCTGAGGGAAAGCAAAACTCGAGAGTGATGCATGTAGGTCTCATGCCGCGAAAACACAGGAGCCGCAAGTTTGAAGAGGCTAAGAACAACCACGAGAAGTCGGTGAGACATGCTTATGAACAAAGAAAGTCGAAAGCAGCCGAACACACTCGAATTGACTGTCCTCTCAAACATACAGCGTATTGGAGTATATTGGAGGTTGTAGATTCCAGATTGAAAATTGGACAACGTCTAAGTTTTTCGGTATACCTTCATTGCTGTATTATATACTTGACACATTGCGGATCCAACGTCTGATGATCCTGCAGTGACCAGACATCATTTTGCCAGGAATTGCACATGCGAAAGCTTCGTGTACTTCCCAGAGACCAGGACGGTATGGAGCCATGAGGTTAAAACAAGCTTCTTCGATCCCGGCTCCCTGTGGGTCTGCTGCCAAGCCATCATCGCGTGGCCCCCATTGCAGCCACTCGGGTTTGCATGAAGACTGCAAATGGTATTGTTCACGCTTTCTTGGCGGCAACAATGACGGCGAGTTACAGGGTTGCCCTCGATGTTCGCGGCGGGTCACTTTCGCAAGCGTCGTTGGGACCAAGTCACTTCCACTTAGGCACGCCCGACACATAACACCAGCTCCAGAAGTGTTTTGCTTTGAATAATCCGCTGCTCGGAGCATCGGTACCTCGAACCCATCTCCTTCAACTCCCACTGCTCCAGCTGCAACCCGACTGCAATTCTACGACACCTCCATCGACTCATCAACATTATCCCGTCGATCGTTGCTACGTCTCACCTCTCCACACGCGCACGACTGCTCAACATGGCGGGTATGAAGCGTCGCAACTCCAGCATGCAAGCCGTAGCGGTGAAGAAACTCAAACCTACCAAAGAAGTCAAGACCCTCTTCAGCCTTCCTGTCGAAATCACCAACAGCATCATTGAGCAGATCGGCGCCGACCCGATGGAAGATCGTCGCTGCGGTGTTCACAAGGACCTCGTCATCGGCACTGGACTCGACCTCTTCCGCAACACGCTCTGGATGGGTCAATCTCGCCGATACCAGCACACGTTCCTCTTCCCACCATTCCATACTCGGAACTTGTTGAAGGTGCTCAGCGTGCAGGTCACGATTCCACGGGACGTGGTCGATGGCTATCCAGAGCCGGCGCAGAGGTAGGAGCTGATCTCGAAGGATCCGTCGTGGCTGTTGGTGATCAAGCAGCTGGCTGGGATGAAGATGCTGGACCTCCAGACCTTGACTATCGAGATCTTCACTCCCGGCGAGAGAGTGAACCAGGATCCATGCGTGGTCGGGAATAGGCGGTTGGCTAAGTCGGTTTTGAAGGACTTTGGTGCCCAAGATTGGCGCGAAGAAGGTGGTCGTGAAGTGCCCGGACGAGTGGACGGGGTAGCGAAAGGCGTCCACTGGCGGGGGAGAGAGGAAGGCGTATGGAGTGAAGATTACTCAAGGAAAGAGCGTAGGAACCTGGTTTAGTCGGAGCGATGTCCGTGGTAGCATAGATAGCCATCCTAAGATACCGGTGTTGGAAGCCTTGTGCGAGAAACTACGCATGTTGGTGCATTACTTCGTCCTGAAAACCATTTTCTGGAGCTAGTAGAGCTCGGACATAGTGTCTGTGTTAGGCGATGTGATAGGCGGCACTGGCGTTGCCAGGCTGGTGCTGTGGGCTATGGGCTCTGTCGCAGTGTTGTCGTTTGGCGTTGGAGAAAGAAGAGAAGAAGAAGCAGAAGGGTGACAGTCAGCGAGCCATCATATCTCCATCCCGGAGATAGGTGAACTAATTGCCTCCAACGACAAGAATATGTCGTCTTCCAATGGCTCGGCACCTCGTCTATCACTTGGTACCCTTCGTGTTGGATTCCTTCTTGTGGGACTTCTTCGTGTTTGGGGGGCTCGAAGCCAACGCGCTCGGAACATATACGTGGTCGTGCACACGCGATTCAGCGCCCAGAAATGCGTGAGTGTGATGACCTTCCGCTGGACATGCTTGGTGACGGTAATCCCATGGTCCATGACGGTAGTTAAATAGCGTTGAGTGCCTGCCTGTCCTCCACCCTGTCGCTGATGAGCAATTCTTACTGCCTCGGTCGTCGTCGAGAAGACCCGGACAGCCGCTTGAGCAAGACCTCATCCAAGCCTGAATGTAGCAGCTAGACAGAGAACCCCCGGCTTAGACTCGTGCCATGCTTTTCGATCACCCGCTGGCATGGGGATGTTCTGAGCCGTAATGAGGATAATCCTCAGCCGACTATGGTCAGTAGACAGTGCGATAATACGCGTGCGAGGTTCTTAGCCGAGATCTGAGCCATTCACTCTCGGTCACATGGAACAAGCGCAAACAGAAGCTAGTTGCCACAACGACGGCCGCTGATTGCCAGCATCCGGCGGCAGATTCTTACATCCTTGAGCAAGTCTCTCTATCAGGAGATACTCAACATCAGCTGCAGAAAGCCACAGGCGCACTGATTTTCGTACTCAATCTTCGAGAGAATACCCTATAAGGGTTGACTCGTAAGTAGAATCAACCATTAGGAGTCATTGTTCGCTCACCTATCCCACAGGCATAACCAACACATACACGCTGACGTCCGCCATGGTGCGCGTTACCACTCTCCCCATCGACGGCGACTGCTCCATCCTGATTAGGTCTGATGCTCTCAAGAGGACGCGCCACCGCAACTTGCGTCAGGATGTTGCACCATTCGAGAAGACTACGACGGTCAATGACTCGACTGTCAAGCGCAAGTCTCATGAGAAGGCTCCAAGATCTGGGAAAGTCAGCATGCATCGTCGCCTGCTGCACCCGCCTACCCGAGCTATCGACACAAGCTCCTCCTCCACGAAAGTCCGTGAGGATGTAGAAAACAGGGAACCATCAGCTGTGCAGCAGGTTTTTGGCAACATCGAGATAGTCAGCAATATCCTGCTCCACCTCGACCCTATCTCAGTCGTGGGCATCAAGCGAGTCAGCATTATCTTCCAGAATGCTGTGTGGGAGAGCCCCGTCTTGCGAGCCTACTCGTGCGAAGCTCCCGGCCTCCTCCTCGTAGGCCCCGACTACTGCAAATTCATCGACTGCATCTGGGGCGAGCCTATGGTCTTCAGGTCCCAAGCTGGGGGTCCTATTGGCGACCGTATTTTCGGCGTACCTCTTCCAGGTTGCCCACGGTTTGTCTACGGGCTTCGCCGTGACGCGCAGACCAGCCGTCTCTTCGGAGAGCTTGTCTGCCGCGTGGATTCTCGGCAGGACGCATTTGTCTTGGGAGATCCGGCGCGGCGGTACTGGAAAGAGTTCCCACTATCCCATCCCAACTACAAGGTCGAGGTCGTTGTCGAGTATGGTCTGGCGCAACGTCAAGGGCACAAGACGTCGCTCTGTGCTGAAGACGCCGCAGAGTCGTCGTATGAGTATTGTCTGGCTTGACTTTCCGACGTTGGGGGAGGTTGTGAGTGCCGTGAGGAAGTTCATGATGAAGGAGCCAGGGACATGGGAGAGGTTGGTTGCTCAGACTGCCACCGCTTTCACATCTGCCTAGTTTCCCATCAAAGACGTCAGCTTCCATGGTAACCAAGATAAGACGAAGATCATTGACGTTGGCGTAATGCCGGGGAAGCGCAGTGCTTTGGGTCAAGGCCATGTGGAGTTCAATACTCGAAGTCCAGCGCTCTGCTCCATCGCGCGTTGATGTATGCAAGATGCGCTGTGACCTGCCCATTACTCGCCTGATCTTGCTTCGTAGCAGCAACTCGTCCCTTTTCCGATCGCTCATTCCTCGCCGTCATAAGGAAGCCAGTACTCGTAGAACTTGAGCATCTGGGGCATCTTGAGGTCTTTCCTCGCCACCCGAACAAGAGTCTTCCCCTTAGTGCCATTAGCCTCGTTCGTGCTCTTCACTGCGAGCTTATCCATGACCAAGCCCTTGATAGCCTGGCCATAGTTGTCCACAACTTCCACCAGCTCGTCCGAGCATTCGCCCCATCCGCCCGCGTCATCATTCCCGACACATCCATTACACTCTGAGTGCAACACAAACCTGTCCCCATCCATGACAAAGTGCACCTCTCCGTCGTGCCCGTTCCACGCTCCCTCCGTCTTCGGGTGCTGGCACTGGCGAAAATCGAGCTGTAAGATGATGTAGACTGCTTTGGCGAGACGAAGAACAGCGCGCGGAAACTCTTTTAGCGTCTTGTGAATCGTGTAGGTCGTCAAGTCTGGCATGTACTGGGTCTCGACCAAGGAGTAGGAGAGCAAAGAGTTGTTGGAGTAGAAGTAGTTTGACGATTCCTGGCGCGTTTGCCGGCATGTGGACAGGAGGCCGGGGATCTCAAGATCGACGACATGGTCGTATTCAGAGAATTCCGCGGTCTCCAGACCTGCGCCGGTCTTGAACTCGTTGTCGGTGGGAAGGGCAAGCTGAAAGATCTGGTTGCGGACCTCGGCGGAGAGTTTCAACAAAGGGACCTTTGTCGCGTTGTGCGCAGAGGCGTCTTTCGCTTGTTGCCGAAGATCGGCTCGTTTCTGTGGTGAGAGATTGGTGCGGTGTCGAGCCATGGTGGTGTAGCTATGAAAGGCGTGTCGGTTGCGTCGAGTTGTGTGTTGAAGCTTGAGGTTGGAAGGCGAAATTTTGATAGCGCTGGCGTCCTAGGCGCCAAGACTGGAGACTCCTGTGGGAACGAGCATCTCAATTGAAATTTGCTAAGCCTCCGCCGATACATCTTTAAGACGAAATAAACTCGATCGGATGCTGATACCGTGCTTGATTACAACGACTACAACCTATGAATCGTGCAAGATCCCGACTATTCAGGGGCTTTCTGGAACGTCTACGAACGACACCCATATCCCCCAACGGTTGAGACCTTGAGTTCCAAATAGACAGAGAGCAAAATTCCAGCCAGTACTTTCTGATTCTTGCCAAACCGTAAGACACTCGCATTCTTAGGCTTGACTCCGCCAAGCAAAGCCCTCTTCTTTCTCCTTACAGCTTCCTCATCAACTCCACCATGCTCTTCATCTTCGGGTGACACTCAGTCTTCATTCCCGTTTTCATCCTCATCGTCATCTTCGTACCAAGTCATCACCCAGTCGCCGTTCATCACGCTTTTGGGCCATGGCAACTCACTCCGCTCCACGTGGACAAGAGTGCGGCACTGAATACCCCGTTCCGCATCTTTCTTGCTTGGTTGCATCTTGTCCTAAATCATGTCCTCCATGGCCTCGTAGTACTCCGCCATAACATCTCCCATGCCATCTGCACACTTCTGGTATCTGCAGCAATCGAATTCGGCGTGGACCGTATACTTGTTGCCCACCATGATTAGTTGGAACTCCGCGATGTGTTCCCGCCGGCGATTGGATTTTCCAAAGTATTTGCAATGGTCGAGTTTGAGGTCGATGGCGATGCGGAGATTCGTCATGTTGCGTAAGATGGCTCGGGGCATGCGTCTCACTCGTGCTGGGATCTCGGCTTTCATGAATTGATCGAAGTTGTCTGCTTTGGAGCTGCATCGGACGAGGAAGCTGTTGCTGCTGAAGAAGATGCTGGTCGCCTCATTGCGGATCTGACTGCTGGTTCGAAGAAGTCCTGGAAGCACGATTTGGCTGCCTCGGTAATGGTCGCTGAGGCCACGATACTGAAGGCGACGACTCTGGGCAACCAGCTCGTAGATCTGGTTGCGAATCTCGGCTGGTAACTTGAGGAAGCCAACTTTGTTGGCGTTTTGGGTTGCGGCTTCCTTTGCTTGTCGGCGGAGCCTGACGAGTTCGAACTTGGTCGGCTTCTTGCGACCGGGAGGCATGATGGCGAGTTGAGCCATGGGCGATGTGGTGGATTGAGTGATGTTTTGACTGAAGCTGGCGGGCGTGGAAGTATTTGACTGCAAAAAAGGTGCGGCGCACGTGCCATCGCCGGGCCTCACATGCCCGCTTCAGAAACAAACACCCTCCTGAATATGGCAAAACGTCCCCAACACAACATCTCCATCCACGCATTCGAAACCGATAGCCACACACTAGCACGATGGAGATGTCTGGGGATTTGGAGATCTTTCGCGAGCAATTGCTCGCCTCAGCCGCTGTGAAGAAAGGCCGCCAGCAGGCGCGCGCCATACAGCACCAACAAGCCCTCGAGAGCAAGGCTCTCCGCAATGCCTCCCCCCTCTCTCCCAAGCTCTTCCAAGACGCCATGGACCTCGCCATCGCGGCAGCCGTACCCGACTTCTTCGAGATCAAGATCCTGCGACGACCACGGGATTACCTCTCCCTCATGGACGGCTCCCAAGACGGCCAAGTCCTCCTCCTCGATCGCCTCGTCTCCCTCATGTCCCTCAACCGGGACTGCTACGCATCCGTCATCCGCGAAGTTAGCACCAAGATGGGCATCTGCATCAAGACCTGGAAGGCCATCGATGAGATTGACAAGCCCAGCTAGGAGAACACGCTGGACTCGATGCTCCGCCAGAACAACTCCAGGCATTGCGTCCTCGCCCACGCCGCCACCATCCAGGTCGAGGCCCTCTTGGTCTGGGACTTCAGAATAGACGAGCCTCCACCAGGTCTTTTTCCTCCCACCAACCGCCAGATGCACGAGGTCAACTATCCGAACAGACCCTTCGGAGATCGCTACATGCGTCGCTACACCGCCACCCTACGCCGTCGAGACCGCGACGACCTCACCCAATACGACCTCGCCGACTCGAGCTGCGAACGCTGGTCGCTCTCTCAACCCATCGACCACCACGACCAGTCCATCACAAGAATCTTCGCGTGGTCGGCATGGTCCTTCTACCGGGAACTCAAGCTCGAGCCCTTAATTCTTCTTCCAGGGAAAGATCGCTTCATTCCAACGATCTGGCACAATGTGGATGCTGCTTTCCATTCTTCGTACTTGGACGCGCAGAAGGACTGTGGCGTGGCGTTGAGTCCTCCCAAGTGCTTCTGCCTGATTCCTGCAAAGTATACGAGGAAATTGTTCGAGCATACCGAGCATCTTGGATATTGGGAGGAGGATGAGATGTGGAAGGCGGTGGGTGTTTGAAGAGAGGATGACACAGGTGGAGGGCTATCGTCACGACTGGGGAGGTTGATGATACGCAAGATATCAGCAGGCTGGAGAGACAAATGGCAGCAAGGAGACTTATCGACACTGCAGAGGAAATTGATGATACATGTGTCACGAGAAGAGTCAAGAGGATGCGGCAATTGAGTGTCTTGGACCCGAGACTTGATTGGACTGGGAAGATGAGACAGTTATATGGCGGAGCTCACGAAGCCTCCATCGAAAGGTCATGAGGTGCAAGAGCCTTGCGAGAAGTCTACAGCTCGTCGAAATGTCATGCAAAGGTCTACTCAATGGCCCTGGTACACAACTGACTATACCCAGCCAAACCACTCTCCGTCTTTCTTCCCAGATACGCACTATTTGTTCATCATGTCAGCTCCGGTCGATCCTCACTACTGATCATCAAAAAGTCATCATCCCAAACCCCTGCCCTCACAATCTCCAAAGCATCGAACAACTTCGTCTTCGACCCAAAACGGCTACCCCTTCCATCTTCAGCCTCGAATCTTCCCCACTAACCACAAAACCCAAGTCAAAAGCAAGAGCAACCACTTTCCAGCCAAAAAGAACCAACACCCCCCACCAGGCTCAAGAAGTAAAACAACCCGCGACCATTCGGATTCGAACCAAAGTCCTCAGATACTCCCATCATCTCCGTCCTCAGCGAAGAGGGTGGATGGGGGTCTGAAATGCTAAACCACTGCACCATGGACGCCTCACTCGATTCTATTGGCGCCGCGAGCATGAAGTTGATAGATAAGAGCTGGAGGATTGCGTGGGACGGAGAGGTGGGTAGTTGCATGTGATGATGAGGGGTGAGGTGGTATATGCGAGGCCCCGACGGGGAGGTGCAGTGGAGATGGAAAGATGCATGGGCTTCCCAGAGCTCGAAGATGTGGATCAGGTAAGGTTTCTGGTTTTTCACTACCACGTCACCGAGATGCTGCTTTGACTTCTACGAAATTGAAACAAAGGAAGAGCGGGAAGGCCTTAATCAGGGGCTAGCGGTGGCCGCAACGATCCTGAGGCATAGAGAAGCCGAAGCAACTGCTCTTTATCATGCCATAATTACGGCGAGCATACTAGAACACCCTCAAACACTATCCCTCCCTCACACTCTCTTTCCCCAGCGTTCGAGGACAAGTATTCTTCCCTCCGCCCGTTACTCAAGACCACATCCAATTCGTGCTCATAGTTCTTCTCACCCATTCACCACCTGTCTCCATTCCCGCACCCATAAAGTCAAGAGCGCCCAAACTCTCCATACAACACCTCGATCGAACCATCCCCTACTTCGCCATGAAGTCCCATCGGTATGCCGGACCTCCTATCCTAACCTTCAACTTCCCAACCAGACAAAGCCTCAATCGCCAAATCAAATGCCCTAATTCTATCGCCTCATAACATCCCAGCTAAGTGCAAATACTACTTTCTTAGTCGAGAGCTCGAGACGCAGTAACAGGGCAACCAATAGGGAGTACGAAACTACCTAAAGCCTTGTCGTTACGCCTACCGTCCGATCCCCATTGCCAACTTTCCATTTCCGAATTCTCAAGTCCAAGGCTTCGACTTCCGAAACAGCACCTCCTGGCGTGGAGCAGATACCACTTCCTCTGTCGAAGGTGAAATAGTTAGGAGGAGGGAGTACGAACCAGCCCCATCTCTACGCCTATCTCCAATGCTCACTTGCCACTTCCCACTTCCGATCCCGTAACCGCAGACCCTGCACCTTCGAAGTAAGAGTTCCCGGCGGAGAGCAAATATCACTGCCTTAATCAAAACCAAAGAGAAAGGCAGGAGGAAGTACGAACTCATGAAGTCGGTACGTCCATCCTTTCCTTTCCTCTTCCCTTCCGATTTTTCGAATTTTCAAGCGCACAGAATCTCCACTTTCAAACCAATAACTGCGGTTGTAGAGCAGATACCGCTGGCGCAGTGGAGAGCGAGGCAAAGGGGAGGAGTTGCCAGTATGAGCAATTCTCCAGCAACCTCACTGGGCACAAGAGAGACATCATCATAAGATATCACCAACACGGGAATGAAACAGAAGTGGACCGGAAGCACTTTGAAAGCGATCACATTTGAGTATGAAGCTCTGATCTCAAGCCTCATGACTTGAGGCAAAAAAACTCATCTCACCCCATCCACCACATTACCACCCTCTCCATCTCCATCATCATCTCCACCCCATGACCTCGTTCCTCACTCACCCCCCTCCAACTCATGCATCCACTTGAGACAATCAAACAGACACTCAAACTCCCTCCTCGGATGCTGCTCCACCTCATGCGTCGTCCACGCACTAATCTGACAACGCAGATACTCCATCATGCTCCAAGTCGCACCGCCGTCGATGCTCATCTCCATGGCAAGGAGCGCATCGTAGTCGGACCACTTGGCGGGGTCGTAGGTATCGTCGGTGATGGCGTTGCCTTCGTCGAGGCCGAAGATGGCTTGCACGTTCCACATAACGCCCTCGTTCGTCGGGCGGTTGGAGTAGCGGGCGTTGAAGCCGGTGGAGTTCCAGGTGGTGGTCCAGAAGTGGTGGTTGTTCTCGACGCCGTAGAGAGACATGCTGATGTTCAGCAGGCCGGCGATCTCAGCGTTGGAGGAGACATCCGTCGTCAAGTCAGTGCCGAGTACTTGCTCGGCGACGTGGAGGCGGCAATCTTCTGCGTCAGGAGTCGGCGTTGGGGACGGCGCTGATACGCTCGATGTCGAGGTTGTTGGAGGTATGCCTTGCCCGCAGTCCCAGTAGCAGGTGATGATGCGCTCGACCTTGGCACCAGGCTCCCACCAATTGCCCTCCCATGAGCCAACGTCGCAGAATGGCATCTCGCCTTGAATGGTGTCGTTCGCGAGCCAAGAGACGTCTCCAGTACGAAATAAGGTAGCCCAGGAGGTGTACCACGTGGTTCTCGCGAGCTCCTCCATGCGAGGCAGCAGCTCGAATCCTGTGAATTCCTCCTTCGTGTCCGGATTGATTGAGAAAAGAACCGACATGCCGTTCGCATCGTTCCAATCATCGCCTGGGATCACGAACTCATGAAAGAAGTCGTGTTGGTTTGAGAACCATTGCCAGGCGAGCACCTGCTGAGAAGCGTCGGAGATCTTCAAGGAGACATTCAAGCCGCCATGTATCTCTTGACCAACTTCATCTGCAATAGTCCATGGACCCTCATCGACCTCAACGGTACAAGTCTGGACTGCATAGGCATCTGTGGTAGTGCTGGGTGAGATCAGAGGTTCTGTGATGGTCGACGACGGCGTGAAGGAGGTAGAAGTTGGGGCAGCCCAAGAGGTTGAGGCTGGCAAGCCACAGTCCCAGTAGAAGTCCAGGTCGCGCGCCTGGTCCAAGATATTGGTCCCAGCAGGATGCCACTCGCCCTGAATACAAAACGGCTGAGGAGTGGACAACATGATGAAGTCTGTCGGCCACTGATTCGAGAGAATGGTGCCGCTGTTCGATGTGCTCAGCTGCACCAGCCACTGCGTCCAGTCTTCGCCGTGACCAAGGCCGTCAGAGTTGGCGTCGATCTCGTCTTGTGTAATCGACAGACCAGACACTGGATCAATGCCGAAGGTGATCTCCGCGTTTGGAGAGTCTACCCAGTCCAAGCCACCTGTGAAGTACGTCTGCGTCCAGCTCAGCGCAGCGTTATCCATCTTCTTCGACACCGACTTGCCAGAAGGATCGAAAAGCTCCATGGCCACGTTCCAGCCGACATGAACGTCTCCATTGTTGCGGACGGCTTGCTCAACGTGGAGCTTGCAGAAGTTTGTGGGCAGAGGTGCGGCAGATGCGACAGGGTCCGCAGTCTGCACTGGAGTGTAGAAGGTGATACCAGCGGCGCAACCTAACGTCGTTGTCTGGTCTTCGCCCACCATGGTCACCATGTTGGCTGAAACGTCACTGTCGCATGCGCAGCCGCTGAGGGGATTGGGGTCAGTTCCGCCGTTGTCTTCGATTGGTAACGGTGCGAGGCTGCATGACGTGAGCGGCATCGTCGTCGTGGGGCCTCGAGTGGTGCTGCTGTTGGTAGACGACATGGTGGGCATCGATGCCGAGGGCGAAGTCATCGGCGTGGATGTGCTGTTCGTCGATGTCTGCGTCGGCGAGGTGATGGTCGAATTTGTCACCGTCGACGTAGATTCGGATGCAGAGGTCATGCTGGCCGTGCTGCTGTTCATGGACCGAGTCGAGAAGGTCTCTGTGCTGGTGATGGAAGCTGGCGGTGCCGTCAGTGTCATGAAATCCGTAAACTGGGAGTAGAAGTCGGATGAAAACGTCGCCGCAATGCTGAAAGTCGCCTCCATGGTGCACACGGCATGAGTGGGTATCGCGAGCGACGAGGTGGTGTCCATGGCATCGGCATCGAGCATTGCAGGTGGCGGAGGCGGAGCTGGAAGAGTTGGGATACCTCTGAAAGGCCACATGAGGTTGAACTGCGCATCGTAGTTGGGTGGAATGTCGACATACATGCGAGCAGCAGACTGCGCGCACTCCTGGCCAGGTCCTCGAGGAATCTGCTTTGGGCCGTACTGAACCAAGACTCTGCCGAAAGGCATTAAGTTGGCGAGCTCTTGCGTGGTGCCTTTCCATCCATTCACCTTGTCTTTCTGAAACTTGGTAAACGCATCAAAGCCGGTCATGGACACGTATGGTATCAGTGTCGTTGGCTCGTCTCGACCCGGCACTCCGAATAGCTCGTTCAGCCAAACCTCCATCTCGTCGAGATCCTCTTGATAGTATGGACGCCCTGTGTCGCGCTCAACGTTGTGGATGATGAACGGGTGGACTTTCGTGGACGTCTTGTCGAACGGTCCGTCCTTGGCCATGTACTGCCCGAAACCCATCAGTCCATTGGTGTAAGGGGGATCCTCACCGTCGCGCAGCTCGTCGAGAACGACCTGGAGGTCCTCGCCAAGTGGTCGAGCAACAAAGGCGTACTGTTCCCAGACGTGTGACATCCAGCAGCCTTTCTCAGAGATGAGTACGACGGACCAACAGCCCCAAAGGCCACGAAGAGCGATACCATCGCTCGCCATGCCGAATGCAATGTAGTCGGCGGTTGATCCATGATTGAACCTGCTGGACCTCCCATGCGGGACTCTGGCTGATCGAAACCACTCTCTCCGCAAGAACGACCAGTAGTTGAAGAAGTCCATATTTCTGTCGCCAGTGTGGGAGTCCGGGACTTCGAGCACCAACTCGTTGGTGAGGTTGCTCAGCAAAAGCTGTTCTTGCAACGCCGCCCACTCCTGTCCTGCCACCACCAGAGTCGTGCCATTGGACAATAGCAGTTCGCGGGAAGAGAGCGCAGATGATCCCGACAACTCTCGGTTCTCGGTACTGTCTTCGTCACACTTGCCACATGTCGCCGCACTGCAGGCTTCCCTGTTCTTAGGCTCGCATTTCTCATTCGGATCAAGCTGATCAGGAAGAGTGTCCCACATCTGTTCGAAGTCCGCACGAGGCTGACGGAACGGCACAATGTCTGCGGATAGCCGCCAGATGGCCTTCTGCTTCCGCTCGATCTTGCCGTCTTTGTCTTTTGTGCAGCGGACCTGCATTGGATCGTATTGGACATTGATCTTCCCGTTTGCTTTCTCAGCCAGAGCCGGGTCGAAAGTCTCATAGTCGATTGCGCCATCCTTGAAGTATTCAATGCTGTAGCTGAGAGGGGTGTATCGAATCTCAATTGGCATTGTCGCAAACTTGGCCCTGAATCGACGCTTGAGCGCGTCAACCTTCTCCGGATGCTCGAGGGCATTCTCCGGCGGGATGTGGCCTTGGGTACCCGGATACTTCCTCGGTGTGAAGACGTAGACACGCAAGTTCTCCGCGTCTGGACCAAATGCCAATCCAGGGTACATCAGTTCACCCAAACCCTGGAGATCGGGATCAGAAAGAGGGTTTGAGAACATCTCATCGATGAGGGAGGACCACTCTCGATCTCCGAGTTCGACGATCATGTCCTTCACACGTCGCTCAAAACCACCGCCTTGCCAAATGTGCGACATCCACGCACCCTTCTGGCTCACGACAACAACAGAGGTGCATCCGTAGAGACCAGTCAGCGCCAGGACTTCCTCTTTCTTGCCAAACGAAACGAATTTCGCGGTGGTGCTGTGAAAACGGCCGAATTGATTGTGACGGACCAGAGTGTTGGCCTTCCCAGCTCTGAGGGTCTGCCGCTTCATGTAAGCCTCCCAATCTCCCGGGTCCTGCCCTGGCCAGCTCAGGAAGAGGCTGTTACCCGTGACGCTGGTAATATTTGACGATGATGTTGGTGGCTGTGCGCACACTGGGCATGTTCCGTACGAGCAGCGTGGAGGACGACAGCCCTTCTCGATGCCATTGGAGAAGTAGATCATCTCCAGGCCAAGGGTACAGGAGTCGCTGCACTGCTCAGCGACATCTCGCGCAAAGGCAGCCCGCTCATCATCAGACTCCTCACCAATCTGATCCTCGTCGGCATCCCACATGTCCTGATCGACATACTTTCGGCCGTTCTCTTCATCGACCCACAACCGCCAGATGGCCTGCTGCTTCTTGCTCTTTGAGCATTCAATCTGCTTGGGATCATATTGGAGGATGACTTTGCCGCGAGCGGAGGAGGCAAGCTCCTTGTTGACGGCAGCTTTGTCGAGCTCGCCCTTGGCGTTGTAAAAGCGGCGCTCCTTGGTGAGTGGAGTGTAGGTGATGATGTTTGGGGTGACTTTGAGACGACCCTTCAGCATGTCGAGGATAGTTGTCACCTTCCGCGGCCAACGAAGATGCTCAAGGTCTGGCTGAGGGTTGCCAAGGTACTCGATATCGATAGGCGTGACGATCCAAACCTTGATGTTGTAGTCGCCGTTGGGGTCGAAGGAGCCCATGGGCTTCATGTATCCCTCCAGACCGGAGATGCTGGCGTCTTTGCCGTTGCCGGTGAAGAGCTGACCAGCAGGATCTTTAAAGTCTTTGATGAGTGAGGTAGCGAAGGTCGGGATCTCCCAGATGTGAGACATCCACGCGCCTTGGTGCGATGCAACCACAACTGTCGTGCAGCCGTAGAGAGCGCCAACTGCGAGGACATCCGGGTGGTCTTCGAATGGCATGAAGATGGCAGTGGTTCCCCAGCGGGCTGGGTCATTGATGTCTTTCGGCGGCCACCGGGTCGCCGGCTGAGGCACTTGCTTGGCGCACCGGAACTGTTGCAGCATGAAGCGATTGAAGGCCGATGCATCAACGCTCTCGGGCTCTGAGAGTACGAAGCTGTTGAACAGGTCTCGTGAAAGGACGAGGGAGCTGTTCGTCGATATGTTCTGCTGCGGATGCCAGTCACACGCTTCGCCGCAGAGGTCCGACGAGCACATTGGAACAAGGCACTCCATCGTACCGTTTGCAGACGGCTGCACTGGACTAGTTGGACAGGAAAAAGCGGTCGACGTGGTAGTCGTAGCCGTGACGTCGCAGCCGCTGACGAGCGATGTGGTGGTGCTGCAGACGAGGCTCACGTCCGTCCATGATGCCCCAATGACGGTCTGTGAGCAGTTGACAGCCGCATCGGTCACTGTTGAGGTTTGAGAGCAGGATCGAATGGTGGTCGTCGTGACTGTTGGAGTAACGCTGCATCCGCGAGTGATCTGCGTATTGGAGCTGCATGCTGTGGTGGTCGAATTGGAGCCTGGGGCAGCAGGGCCAACGGAGCAAGTGACAGCAGTGTTCGTGGCAGTGATGGTCTCAGTGCAGGACTCTTCCGATGATGACGTCTCTGAGCCAGTGGGTGAGGTCGTTGGCTCAGTCGCGGTGGGATTTGTTGGATCTGGAGTTGGCTCCGGGGGTGTCGGACTGTTTGGGTCTGGGCCAGGGCCAAGGTCGATTGGGGGCAGAGCCAGCTTTGGAAAGATGATGCTGAAGCCGTGGAGCTGAGGAAACTCCAGCTTGAGGCCATTGATGTCGTGGTTGAGGATGTCGCAGAGGGCGGCCATCGCCTGCTGCACGAAACACTTCACGGTGTCCACCGGATGAAGAAGGTCGATGCCGCACTTCGGCTTGTAGCAAGGATCGTTGGGGCCACCACCATCACCGCCGCTGCCTTTGTGACCGGTGTACATGCTGCAGTCGAAGTGCAACCAGCCGCAAAGCCAGAAGACGTACTGTCTCAAAGGCTCAACCTGTGCCTCGCAAAGGCCAATGTCGAAGATGTCGATGCAGTGTCGTAGACCGTCGATGACGGCGATAAGATCATCCTGCTGCTCGTCACGGACTTCGTACTGATCTTCGACAGAGCCAGTCACGTATGGAAAGATTGCCGAAGTCGTAACTGTTGTCAAGCTGTCCTCCCAAGAAAGAGTGTAAATGGAAGTTGGGATGGCAGTGAACATTGGCCAAACAGTCTGCGTGGTCATCTGTCCGTCCTCTGACCAAACCGTGATGTACGGAACTGGAGTGCCCGAAGTCATGGTCAAGAACGCAGGCGGGCTATCATCAGACCCAGTGAAAGTGCTCAGGTCGGTTGACTCCATAGTAGGCATTGAAGAGAAGGTGGACCAATCAGTCGATGCGGACGTCGGCTCCTCAGTTACAGAAGAAGGCTGAGAAGTCTCCCAAGATATCGAAGGCCAGAGGCTCATTGTCGATGTTGTGCTGGGCAATGTGGTAATGCTCAAGGACGGTGTGGGTGAGTAAGCAGGCCAGAATGTCATCGTAGTGGACGTGCCATCTGTAGGGAAGACGGTCACGAAGGGCGATGGAATGCCTTCAGTTGGTCCAACAGACTCCGATGGAGGAGAGTCGCCGGTGAAGGTGCTCAAAGCTGCGGTTGTCGATGATATCTCAGCCAATGAGAGGGTCTCACTGGTGGAAGGCGGGGTCGTGGCCCAAGTAGTTGACTGCCAGATGGTCATGGTTCCCAGAGTCCCATTGCGGTTGGTGATGCTCATTGTTGGTCCAGCCGGGAGAGGGTACAAGGTCACTGTCGTCAGCATACCGCTGGTTGAGTAGACGGAAGTGACGGGCGAAGGAGGTAGCGTAGTGGGAGGCGCAATAGTAGTGCCGTTGCCAGGGGGAATGCCAAGATCTGACTTGCTGGAAGTCACTGCCGTCGTGCCTGATCCAGATGAAGATATCTTTGTTGTTGACAAGGTCGTACTCTGGCTGACGCTCGCGGTGCTGTTGCCGAATGGCGCAGAGCTTGACGTCCCTGCGATTGAAGTTCCAGTGGAATTGCCATGGCTAATACTCGGTGTGCTTGAGATCGTGCTTGTCAACGACTCTTCAGTCGTGCTCGTCGAAGATGCTTCAGTCGTGCTTGTCGAGGATGCTTCCCTCGTGCTTGTCGAAGATACTTCAGTTGTGCTCTGACTCTCGCTGCTCTCGGAGGAGAGCTGCCCAGTGGAAGTTGTGGAGTTCTGAGTCGAACTGGATGAGCTCTGAGTTGAACTGGGGGAAGGGGCTGAACCGGTCGATGTCGTGCCGAGGACGGTGCCGTTGCTCAGGGTATTGCTTGTACGGAAGTCTGCGCTGCTCTTGCTCCTCGACAAAATCGAAGAGCTGGTCGATATGCTGGAGAGGCTGACCGTGGTCAGGTTGACAGTGGTGCCAGAAAGAGAGGTCCAGATAGTCAGGCTAGAGTAGGTCGTGCTAGTCTCAGCTGTTGTTGACAAGCCTGATGATGACTCTGAGGAGCTTGTCTGACTCGAGGAACTGGTATACGTCGTCGCAGCAAACGGCGTGGTGCCCGATGAGGATGACGTCGAACTGGATGTACTCGACCAGACCGTGCTGTTGCTTGTGGTAGGAGCGTATGGCCAAGATATGGGAGTACTGCTCGACTGCGTCGAAGACGAACTTGAAGTAGTCGCTGAGCCGCTTCCGGAATCGGAAGGAACGCTCGTGACAGAAGTAGTCGATGAATCTGGACCGATCGAAGGAGACGAAGGAGTGACCGAAGAGGTAGTTATGCCAGAAGAGCTGCTCGTGGTCAAGGAACTCTCAGTAGACGAAACAGGCGAGTAAGAGAACGAAGGGGTACTGCTGCTCCAGGTGAACCCGGCGGTAGCGTTGATTGGGATCGTGGTGGTGCAAGTAGTAGCGGAGCCGTTGACGAGGAAAGAGGTAACGATCGTGGCGGATGCAGTGGTCGTGCACGAGGTGGTGCTGTTGATGGCCAGCGAAGCCTTGTCTTGCAGGCCGCCCGCCGTGACGAGCGAGCCAAGGGCAATGGCCCCGAGCAGGCGGAGGGTGCCCATCTCGAGGAGGGCGGTGATGGTGTGGCGTGTATTCGAAGGAGTGTATCAGTGAGTGTAATGAGTGGGAGAACGTTGCGGTAATGGAACGAGGGTGGTTATGTTGGAGTTGGTGAAGTCAAGGGGAAAGCTGAGGGAGGAAGCTGCACAAACGAGCACCGCGCCAAGCCCCGACCTCCGTGAGGTCTACATGATTCATGTTGACGCTTGGGAGGCATTGGGGTGATGGGGCAGTGAGACTTGAATCAAGTTGACCGTGAAACTTGAAGATGGCTTCGTGAAGATGGCGCTGAATTTGTTCGACCGTTGTCTTATCTGAGCTCTTGCAGGTACGGTCATGGGTGTAGCACACTGATCTGGATCTTCCTTCAGCACTGCATGAAGCTGTTATCGGATCTGAACTCGCCTGGCCATTTTGCTCCTCATCAACACCACGACCTGCCTTCCGCCATCCTCCAAGCTCCACAACACCGCCGAGAGTCCACAGTTTAGACGATCACGCTCCAGTAACATGGCCTCCCTCGTACCGAGTGCAGCACAAACTCGTCGAAGCTTGTCGCCGGCATCGCAGCGAAAGAGGTCGTTTCAATACCGGCATGGGCTTCCTGTACCGAAGGAACCCCTCCCTGCCGTTTCCTCGCCTTCTTCCGACAGCTTCTACCGACCTCCCAGTCCAAGCACTCCCTTTATCGCCATCATCGCTCCTACCCCGGCGAAACAGCCATTCTCCAAGCCCAGTGCGCAAGTCCGGCTACACAGCAAGAGCAGACGAGGAAGAGACGTGGCAGGAAGGTGCACATATGTCGAGGAGCTGAAGCATACTTGAAGCCCAACAGCCTGGCGGAGCATGATATGGTCGGGGTGTGGGATTGCGTCACGGATGGGAAGACTGTGTGCCACGTTGCTGCGCTTCTCTGTCTCTACACAACACCAGACAACCTTCTGTACGTCCAAAGCCGCCGCATGGGCCGAATGAGAGCTAATAGTCGAGGGTCAAGGTGGAACAAGTTCCACAAGACTTGCAGGAAAGAAAGGACAGGTAGCGTTGGACTCTGACCTCGTCGTCCGTGATGATGTGTTGACCAGCGAGCATCATTGCCGTACAGTCATGATTTGTTCAGAGTTGGTCCCAGGATCCTCAGGCGTTCCCTTGCTAATGATAAGCAATGTGCACGGCTGGGGTTCCATCAAACTTCTCAAGGGCGCTCTCCCTTCAGAAAGTAGCTTCACAATGAGACAGTAATGCTGGCTACAACGACGGCTCTTCGTCTTCCAACAAAGCTTCAAGTGAGACGAAGCTGCTCGCATCCACTCCCCGGTCAGCAACACGGAGCCCATTCAACACAGTGGAAAATGCTGCATATACCTGTGTCACGCAGTCTCACCTCCACCTTTGTGCTGTTGCAGTAGCTGGAGAAGTCTTGAGCCACAGACTGCTGCACTGGGACATGACGAGCCAAAGACCAAAGACAGTTTGCTGGACAACACGGCTCTCTCGATGGGCACAAAAGTTGGCGTTACTCTATAAAGTTGTTGCTTCGCGTACACTCAGCGGGCAGACTTACCACTTCGATCCCTTATGGACCCAGGCACCGCACTTGGAGTAGCCTCGCTAGGCTTGGAGGTCTGCAAAATCCTCTTGATCTTCTATCAAGACTTTCAGAGCCAGAACAGCGACATCAAGGAAGTTTATGACAGCATCAGGCGCTTGGGGCATCTGTTCGAACAATGCCAGGTGGTTATCCAAAGAGTCACTGCCAACAACGACACACGCAAGACGGTCGACGAATGCCTGGCAGACTGTCTGGAGGACGTCAAGGAGCTGGAGAGACAGGCGAAGAAGCTCACTGGCGACCCTGACCTCAAAACAGTGTTTGACAAGCTCAAAGTTGGTGGTCGGAAACTCGCATACCCTTTCAGACGAGGAACTCTACAACAACTGAAGGGCTTCGTTACGAACACGCTCGACAGTCTAGCAGTCGCCATCGATCTCCTGCAGCTTGATATATCCGTGGATGGCTCCGCCGCTTTGAAGGCACAAGTTGCAGACATCCTGCACCAGATGAACGCGATAGCGAACAGCATCAGGACCATCGACACCACGACGCAGATGATCGCGAAAGATGTCGGCACTGCACTGAGTATTGCACAACAGCAAGAGCTCGACGCCGCTCTAAATTGGCTCAATGCTCCAGATCCTTCCACAAATCACGAAGAGGCTCGAAAAAAGCACGAGGAAGGTACCGGCGAGTGGTTCTTGGCATCCAAGGAGTACAAGGACTGGGTCGAAGCGGAAAACCGTACGCTGTGGCTACATGGCAAGCCTGGGTGCTGCAAAACAGTGCTCAGCTCCACTGTCATCGAAGACTTGAAGAGGGTGCAGACCCACGAGCCATGCAGTGTTGCATACTTCTACTTCACGTTCCAGGACTAGGCCAAGCAGTCCTGGACCAGTTTGGTGCTTTCACTGACGAGACAACTGAGTATCGGGAGTCCACTCCATGCTCGACTGTGCGATGCCAAAAAGAAAAACGACAAAAAGCTGGAGACTATGCTGGCTACCTTGGACGACCTGCTCCAATAACAAGCGAAGACTTATCTTGTCCTTGATGCTCTCGACGAATGCCCTGAAGAGCATGACACAAGGGACACACTGCTGAAGGGCATTTCTGACCTGCTCAGCAAACATGAGAACATGCACGGCGAGACCAGAGGGATATTCGGGAAGCTATGCAACGCAACCAAGCAGTTTCAGTGAGGCTGAGCGAAGAAAGCATCAATCCCGACATCCAACTATTCATTGAACGAAGGCTTGAACGCGATCTCAACTTTGACAGCGGAAAGAAGAGGTTCTTATTGGAGCATAAGACTGAGATCAAAGAGGCATTTGAACAAAAGGCTGGTGGAATGTGAGCAACACTATACGCTTTTCATTGAACTTCAGAGCTAATGTGACGCAGGTCCAGATGGGCATACTGCCAGCTCGAGGAAATCAAGCGGGCGAAATACTTCCGGAAAATAGAGCTCTCGAAGGTACTGGCGAGGCTTCCTTCAAGCTTGGCAGAGACGTACGAGCGGATTCTCCTTCGATTACCTGAACAATGCTCGCGCGATGTGAGAAAGGCTCTCATATGGCTCGCCTTTTCCCGGGACCATCTTACAGCGCAGATGTTGACCGAAGCCTGCATTACGTCTCCCGATGAAAATCCTTTTGTCGACGAAGGGAGCCGCGACACGATGCCGGAGATGTTGGAAGTGCTGTCTTCGCTCCTCCAAATTGAAGGGCAGGGCGATGGTGAAGACAAGACCGAAAAAAACCTGGCCCAACGACGAGTACAACTGGCACATTTTTCGGTGAAGGAATTTCTGGTCGATTCTCGAACAGAAAACGGGCCGGCAAGCTTTTTTTATCTGGACATCGGAACGGCTCAGGATTTCCTCGCGCAAAGCTGCTCGGCCTACATGATTCATTGCTATGAGCATCATCGCGGCTCAGCATCGAGCCGCAATGAGCAACCGCTGCTGAAATATGCCTGCGACTACTGGATTTCTCATAAAAGGGCAGCAGAACAACGGCCAGTCCACACCCTGACGCACCAGCATCACTTACGAGTGCTCCAAGACTCGAGAATCCTAGTATGGTGGCATCGCTTGAGCGGGATCAGGGTTTGTGGGTCCTGGCCGCCATTAGTACTCGCGGCTTTTTGCAACTTGCCAAGAACGTGCCTCCATCTGGTGCAGCAGACCAGAGCTCCTGATGTCGAGGGTCCCGGAGATCCTTCCAATCCTAAGCTCTTTGAGAGACCTGGCCAAACAGGGTCACCTCTCTCGACCGCTGCTAGGAACGGATATATGGGGATTGTGGAACTGCTATTCGAACACGATGCGGACCCAAACTTCACACCGAGATTTCCGCCACTGGTTTCTGCAGTTTTGGGACGAAATGACGACATCGCACGTATCCTGCTCCGTCAGCCGACCGTCGATGTAAGTTCAGCACTTCCAAATGGTTCCTCTGCTTTGCACCATGCCTGTCGAATAGGACATACCAGTCTAGCCATGGAGTTGATCAGAAGAGAAGCGGACGTCCACTCTCGAACTAGTTATAGGGAAACGCCTCTTCTAGTAGCATGTGGTCATAACGCCAGCCCACAGTTGATTCGTGTATTGGTCGATGCCGGTAGCGACGTCACAGTTAGAAACACGCATGGCGATTCGACGATCCACCAGGCTGCTTTAGCTTGTCGAGATGACACTGCGGACGAGACAACGTTTATGGAGAGAGCTGGTATTTTGATTCGCCATGGGTGTCCAGTTGATTCACGCAACGCGACTGGGGCTACAGCACTGCATGCTGCCGCTTCCACAGGCAACTCCCGCGTCGTGAAAGTTTTGATCCGCCTAGGTCTGGACGTCAATACGATTGATCTTGCCAAATCCACACTCTTATGGAAGCTGTCGGCAAGTTCCCGCGGGAGCACAACCCAGGTAGATGTCGCACGATCAACGCACTGATGGACGAAGGTGCAGATGCCAATAGTCGCGATGACTACGGATGGCCGGCACTACATAGTGCCTGCAAACAGAATGGAGTGGAAAGCGTAGCGACACTGTTGAGCCGAGGCGCTGACGTCGACCCCCACTCGCACGATGCATCCGTACCTACGCCTCTGGAAGTTGCGTGCCAACACAAGCATATCACAGAGATCGAGCTGCTCATGGACAACGGCGCGGAGACACGGCGTCCCCTGGCTGTGGTAGAGCGGGGCGGACATGGAGACAGTGTTACAAGTAAAGAGGAACGCGACAAAGCCCGCGCTGTTGCGAGGCTACTTTGAGTAGAAGGGCAAAACCCATCTCATATGAGGTTTGGGGCGCGAGAGATACGAGGCAGAGAATAATTCAGCTCACAGATGGAGAATGAAGCGAAGTATGGTATGAGGGTGGCTCGGAGAAGCAGCTTGATTATGGGAACGATCTTCTTTCGGTCCTTTTGGGAGGTGGGACTGATATGGTTTCGGATGAGGACATCGACTCAGACTGAGACAGGCATCGAGATGACCTGGAGTAGGGAGCTGTGAAGAGTACTTGAGATCCCTGCTGTCATTGAAAGTGTCCACTTTGCAGCAATGTACTTTCGCACCATGTCTAGACCAAGTCGAAGGGTTTCTGTCCGGCCTTTCGAAGCATCTCAAAGAATGTCCTTTAATGCACGTCATGGTTCCAGACAATATTCCCGCAACCTTTCTTCTGGTTTTGACTTTGTTGACGGTGACACGGCAGTCCTATTCCGAGATGTACATTGGCTTGACTTTGGTCGACATTCTGCAAATGCATGATGCGCAAGACATGGCGAAGGAGATGCAAACAATGTGGCGACATGAAGTTGAAGAAATAAAGCGTGATCATCTTCCATAGAGGTATGCGACATTGGAACGAGTGGTTGAATGGATCTCCTTCATCGGGAAGGATGTGGATAAAATTCGAATACAAGTGTTGTACGTCTGATGAGTGCCGGTGACTACAGCTTGACATTGAGGTATCACATAGCCATAGGAACGAAACGATGCGGCGGAAGGACTGCTTATGGTATCAAATCCCAATACACGACAATGTATCGTGGATGCGCCACAGTTGCGCTTGGCCTGATTAGGAAGGTGCGACTTACAGAACGACGGCGCAGTTTTCAGACCGCCGAGCTCGCGATGTTGCATTAAAGCAGCCAAAAGACTTTCATGGTTTGATCAAACTCAGAAATGGACACAGTGCTCTTTGGCGACTGTGGTTTGCATTGACACGGTCTTTGTTTGACTGGCATTGTCCTCAGAAACAGCAGGTGAGGTCAGCTTAAAGTTCGCGGAACCAGATCCGCCCCCAAAGTCTACCCCGCGCCGCCCCACTCCAGCTCCGGCGCTTATCGTCGACAACACATCCCTCCCTTCCCCTCTCCCTCCTCTCCTTTCAACATTCACTCACCATGCTAGCCGCCCGCCCAATCCGGAAGCTGCAATCCACACGCAGCTTCCACACCACCTCCGCCCAGCGAGCATCCGTGCTCTTCGCTCTCGGAGCCTTATCGAACAGCCGCGAGACGCAGCACTTCAACAAGCTGTCTCACCTCTCGAGAGTCGAGCACTCCCCGCCGTTGAAACTCATCAAGACCAGCGAAATCGATCCGTTCCCTCTCCCGACGCCTGCGAAGCCCTCTCCGGCTGTCCAGACTGTTTCAAGAACGAGATCAGCGGCCAAGATATGGGACGATAAGGCTTTGAAGGCTGGGAGAGCTATTCTCGCTGATAATGCGAGGCAAGTGGCTCGTCTGAACCGGGCTCTGGAGAGATCGAAGAGGAGACAATCGAAAGCGGACAAAGCTATGCAGCGATCGTTGGCTGATTGGGCGAAGGACAGGCAGAAGATGCATGCGGAGATCCGGCAGGCTGGGGTTTGGATCTTGGCGGCTGTGGGTACGGCTACGGGTCTGGCAATGTGGAGGTTCTGGCCGCAGAGTGAGGTCGGTAGGGATTCGGGAGAGCTGGGAAGGAAGATTGCGGCGAGGGCCAGGTCGTCGATTCCGTTGCCGGCTGCTATGGCTGGAGTTGGGGCTGGGCAGGGTGCGGAGGTTCTGGCTGCACCTGTTGCTCAGAATGTAGCAACGCCTGTCCCCGTGCAGTCCACCGCCCCGTCGGTTGTGAATGTATCTGCTGAGCAATCAGCATCACAGGGAAGTTGGTGGCAGGATCTATTCTGGAAACGGCATTAGATGCCGATCATGACGATGGAATGTGGAACAGGACTAGAGCGGAGGCATAACTGGTCAAACAGTGAACAGTGGCAGATAAGCGTTTTCAATGGCATTGTTCCTTTCTCATCTAGACTAAGCTCTGGCCCTCAGTGATTGGACCCATGTTATCCAGTTGGAAGATCTTGTGTTCTCCAATGGTCATATAGGAGGCTTCTCTAGTCGCTCATTGATTGGGTCCATGACATCCAGTTGGAAGATCTTGTGTTCTCCAATCACCGTCAAGGATGTTGCTTAGTACTGAGAGTCCTGAAAGTGGTTGCCGTTGGCAGAAGCCTGGGCTCCAACATACCCAGTGTTGGCGGCGTAGTACTGCTGGAGGCTGTACTCGTCGACAGCTGGGTCCTCGGCTCGCTCTCTCCTGGACCAACCCTTCAGCTTCCCTCCGCCATCATGGCCTACGGCAACGGCCACCCATCATTGAATGGCTCAACACCCTCCAACCAAGCCCAAAGCATCTCCTTCCTCTCCTCCTGTGTCAACCTGCCTGCCCCCGCGATATCCCTCTGCCCCATGTCGAACAGCTCCCCAGTTCCAAAAACCTTCTCTCCATTCAGCTTCCGAATCCTCGGCTCCTCGACAACATCATCCTCCGTGTCGCAGACATGCCGCCCACTCTTCCCATCGAGTACGACAGCATGCCCACACCGAGAACAAATCAACACCCTACAAGCCTGGCACCCCTTCAAGGGAACCTGCTTCGTCTTCAAGCCCAAGAAGTTGCCACAAGGTCCCTCCTCCACGCGCGCCTCCCTCTTGCAGTACACCTTCGCCTTCATCGGCTGCTTCCTCTCATTCTCCCTCTCGCGCCACCGAAGAATGAGCTCAAACGGCATCTCGATGGTATGGGCGAAGTCGTTGATATCGAGAGGGTTGCCGTCCACGGTGACAGGTCGAATGGAGTCGTTGTGCAGGGCGCGTTCGAAGAGCCGGACCACAATCAAGGTGAAGCAGCTTGAGCAAAGCTTTGTATCTGGAGAGCCGCATTGGATACCCGTGCCTTGGGCTGGTTTGAAGCAGATTTTGCACTGGAAGGCCTGGGAGAGGAGACGGTGGGTGGAGACCTGGTGAGGTTGGGTGACGACGGTGTAACGCGGAGGATTGGTAGGCATCTCGGCGTCGCGGCGCTGATCTTTCTGGTTGTTGCGGCGACGATGTTGTGTTGGATGCGTGGGCTTTGGTGTGAGTCTCGCGCGTGCTCTGGCTTCTTGCGCGTCTTGGTTGCGGTTATTGGCGATGAGCTCTTTCAGCCCCTGGAAGAAGTGGCTGGGCATTTTGATGCGCAATTTGACCTGTATGTGTTCTTGATCGCGTTGCGGAGGGCGTGGGATGTGAAGATATTGTGGTGGTGTAGAGAACGTCGTTGCGGATATTCACTTGCAGCCGGGATGTTCCTGCCCCGTGACGCGCTCGCCAAGCCTTCCGCCTTTCATGTTGCCCACTCTGCGCTTCAATAGTCTCCGCTTCAAACACTACAACAGCATCAGCTCCAAAACCCTCCTCACTCGACATTCCCATACGGCATTGCCTTCACAAAGGACAGCATACCAACAAAGCCCGTTCATCTCGCCCTGTACCATACAAGACCAAGCAGACAAAGAATCCAACAAGGACTTGGAGATGGCCGGCCAGATGGAGATGCAGCCGAGTAAGCGTACCATCTTGGATCGCCCACATCATCTACTGACCGGCGATGTTGCAGTACCCATGCTGGCGCTCTTGCGAGCAAAACGACTCAAGGAGAAGCGCGACCTACCAACCGAGCTCTGGCTCGGCATCACTTCCTTCGCCGTCACTAAAGACGAGCCCGTCCCAATCTGGGCCCTGCCAGCCCACTACGGTAAACTCCTCGCCCCTTTCAAGAACACCAACCTCGAGCCACACGCCAAGAAGACCTTCTGGGAGAAGACCACCGTCCGCCACACGCAATCCATGATCATCTTCGCCCAAGGATCCGAGATCAAGAACCTCCACCCGACCCTCCGCGATAAGATGCAGCACCTTCAGGTCGACACCCACATCTCCTCCCTCCCCCGCCAACTCGACGACATCGCCCAGACCGTCCGCGGATGCCCAGCCATCCAATCCCTCACCATCCACCTCACCGTCTCCAGCATCAACCCCTCCATCATGCAAGCCGGACTGGGCATGATTTGCGAGGCCATGCACGGTCTGGTCGGTCCTGAGGTGAAGAAGACGGCGGTCGCTCTTTGCGACTTTCAGGGCTCGAAGTACTGGTGTGCCAAGCGGTTGAAGAAGGCGATCGCTGAAGAGACGGTTCATGAGAATAGTTCGTGGACTGCGTTTGGCGATATCGAGGTTACGGTCATTCAGGTTGGCCAGAAAGAGGTGGCGGGTTTCATGCAGACGCTTATGACGGCGGAGGTTTAGGACATTGGGGAGTGGGAAGGTTGACGTGGTTGCTTGCCGTGTTTGAATGCTTTTCTATGTTGTTGACGGTTGGGTTTTGCGAGATTCTGGCTCGTGGTGGTGGTAAGAGCTGTGGATGTCCAATGAACGGAGTGTACAAGGGGCGTGCGCAGCATGAACGCTTTGGAATGAATTGACTTGTTGTACTTCTTGCCCCCTTGCCCAATCGTTTCCTACTGCCAATCCCAAGATGAATAGCGGTATACGTGATGATGACGGAGATGGGATCAGGCAACTTGAACAGGTATGTGCATTCCGGTCGGCGGCCCAACGAGGAGCAGCTCATTCTTCTCCGCTGTTCATCGACATCTCAGAACATCTATCGATACTGCTTCAGCGAAGAGCTGCCGGCCGATGTCAAGCAAGGTTTGCAGAAGGAGCATGCCTCTGGCCATAATGCCTACGCTAGCAGGTCAATCAAAGCACGCGAAAAGCCTTCGATACGCAACCTACTACGGCAGCTTTCGGTCTTGCGGACTCGATGAATGGAGACCTTCGACCAGCTGTGTAACGTTGACCTTGACGCTGGCTACGATGCTGGTGCAAGCATTGATCCTCTCCTGAACGTCCTTGATGGATATGCGATTGATGAGTCCTGGGACTCACCACCAGATTCGAACTTTCTTCCAGAGTGTTGCTCATTTATTGTCCAAATTGACGTCCGTTGAATTTGGATTGCATCTTCCCAGTACCTCCTTCGCCAAAGCGAGTGTTGATGATCTACAGGACCTCATACGACAGACGAATCTTCCTCTAACAGAATCAGTAAACGTCGACGTACAGCTGAGAGTCTTGATAGGCTCAGCGCCAGGATATCGGCCACAGTGGGGAGGATGTCCCCAAGCTCACGACCTTCGGCACGACAGGGAAAACATCAAAATCCGCCAAACTTGGATCCGACTTAAGCTGATGTCTAGTGACGACCTCATATCCCAGCTGCGGCACGATGGACCTACGAACAAGCCCCGGACAGCCAGAACGTGCAGTATCAGATCGTACCAGCAGCCGCGGCAACTGATCATTGACGTACTTGGTACCTGGCTCCTCGAAGTGCTCGCCAGTCCAAGTTGCCTGATGTACGTTCGTATCCCCAGTCGAAGGCGCCATTCCGTGCTGTCCGCATGGAAATCGATATCGTTGAACACAATGACAGAATTGGGACGACTTGGAGACATGGAAAGTCTCACTCTCGCCAAATCTGATGTAGCAGAGGAGGCTGGACTTGTTCTGGGAAAGGGATGTTCGTCCTACTTTACTTTACGCGCCTTCTCCCAAAGGATCCTATCATGCCATCCCATTGCAGGCGACATCGATATACTTGACCATGAGATCCGGAGGGAGATAGCAGAGAGAAGAGTCTTAGCGGGGTTTCCCCTTCCCCAACGAGCTTTACATATTGATTCTACGCGTTCATGCCCGAGACTTGATGTCTGGCCATGCCTTCAATGTATGTATTAGTATAATTGTGGTCACGGGGATGGTGAGAAGATATAAGGATGTGAGGAGGAATGCGCTCATGGTGCTGCTCTCAAGAAGGGCATGACGCTACGTCTCAGGGGTGAAAAGGGGTAGCCTACATCAGATCCTACGCGTCCATCCCCGAAGATTGATGTCTGTCCATGCCTTCAACGTGTGTATCGGCATAGTTGTAGTCATGGAGATAATGCGGAGATCTGGGGATGTGAGGAGATATGTGCACGTGAGGCTGCCCTCAAGGAGGGCATATCGCTACGACTCAATGGGTGAAAAGGGTAGCCTCTATCCAATTCTGCGCCTCCATCCCCGAAAATCCAAACCCATCCATGCCATCAATCGATATATCCATATGTTTGATACCCTGGGGATAGTGAGGAGATCTGGGGATGTGAGAAGATGTTTCGTCGTCAGATTGCCTCCGTAGAGGGCATGATGCCGGGACTCAGGGGGTGAAAACGGGATGCTTCTCTCTCAATCTAGACGTCTATCCCCGTAAATAAACGACTGTCCATGGTATCAATCAATGTATCAATACATTTGATTCAACGGGGATAATGGGTTGAGTTGCAGTACTTTCACAGTGAATAGAGACCTCACATCGGCGTCGGCGTCACGTCGGTTGACGCGGGAACGCCAAGACTTTGACTATAGCTTCCACAACGTCGCGTTTGTCTTCCCCTTCCTTTCGGCACACCCCCCGCCTCGCACGAAAACCGCACACAAGACGACAGACAGCACAGCACGATGGCGATGGCGGGCGGGCAAGCACTTCGCGTGCTTGAAGTCTACACCGACGGCGCGGTTAAACGCCCAAAGCAAAAAGCAGCAATTGGTCCCTGGGCTCCCTCTGGCTGCGCTTTCGTCGCGCGAGACCGCGACTCCGATCCCTGGCTGGGACGTTTTTACGCTCTTGGACCGCAGTTCGACAGCCAGCATGTGGAGATGCTTGGCATATTTTTTGCGCTGCAGTATTTGGCCGGGCAGGCGCAGGCCCATGGCCAGACGCACCAAGAAGTCTCAATTTACTCCGATTGCAGTTTTGCCCTCGACGAGATAGCGGATGCGAGGAACAGCGTCACCTTGGCCCTGGGAAAGCCAGTGTTCGTCTTCCACATCCTGTCGCGTATCTTGGGCTTTCTGCATATTCTGGAGGGTAATTTCGACACCCCTGTGAGATTCGGATACGTTCCTGGGCATGCTGGCATCCCAGGCAACACCGAAGCAGACGACGCAGCGGGCAGGGGAGCAGTTCTATCCCGGCAAGGTTATGCCGCGGTTGGATGGCCAGAGGGCGGTGCGCCGTCACTCACCTCCTTCCCAGTGAGCTGGCCTTAGCAAAAACAAATAAACCGGGCCATCAAAGATGGTTGACATAGTCCCTTAGCTGGTTTGGGGCCGCCAACAGTAAGACCCAGCCATAGAGCGCGCAATTGGAGGAATAAAATCCGACTTCACACCTCCGCGCGGTTATTCCTGGGCGTCATACATCAACATACAACGATATGACGTGCAGAGTGAAGCGGTCAAAGCCATGGAAAGAGCTGTCGATACCTCAGAGCACGTCATCAAGCTCGAGATATCAACAAGAAACATCGAATATCACACACGGCATTGCCAACGCAAGGCGAAGACCATCAACATCATCGCCGCGAACCACCAAACATCAACAACAAACCGGAATCACCATCACAACCATTGTCAACCACAACGCAATCTACCAAGCTGCGTACACGATCCATCATCTACTGGATCAGGCCTCAAGCACGGAGAGCGAACATCAAACTACACATTGTTCTCCTCCACCGTTGCCGAAGCGCGCCAGCAACCAAGCAGTGCTTCCACAACCGCGGCATCATCACATCAGCTGCCCCAGGAGTAACGAAGAGCAAGGGTCAACAACGGCGACGCAACACGAACATCACTCGATATGCCGTCGACATCACCTTGGCGGAATCATCTACCAGCTTTGCGGTCATTTTTTGCAGCCTTGACTGCCACGTTGACTCTTGCTCTTCGATGCTCCCAACAACCACGTGCCACAAGAGCAGATCCAATTTATCTGCTCCTGCCATACATCACATACCGTACTGGCATGACCCCAAGTCTATTCAGCAACGTGCCAACGAATGATCACCGGCGAAGGCCGACCTCAGCTACGCCAACCTCTCGTTCATGCTCGACTGCTTTTTGAAGTCAGACCCCGATGACTCCTCATAAATCATCAACAACTTCCACAAGCAGAGCGACTGAACTTGCATTTGCCACCACCCTCCTACCAGAGTGGCACCAATCCAACCCAGAACAGTACCGAACCAATCGTCAACAAACCTGTCGTCACCGGCTGCCACTTCATATCAGCTTTGCGGTTTCTGTGCACTTCGGCTACTGTTTCTACCTCGAAGGCCTTCCCATGTCTCAGGAAGAACCTTCAACTGCAGATCGACTCGATCTGCTCCACCCATGTGCCTCACACTCAACTGGCACCAGCCCAACTCTTGACTGCACCGAACCAACCATCAACAAACTTGTCGTCACCAGCTGTCACTTCATCTCAGCTTTGCGGTTCTCTGTGCCCTTCTGCTGCAGTCTCGACCCCCGAAGGCTTTCCAACACTTCAAGAAAGACCTTCACACACAGATCTCCTCCATCTGTCTCTGCCAGAAACATCACACTCAAATGGCATCTACCCTACTCTCAACAGCGCCGAATCAAACTTCAAACAACCTGTCGTCACCAGCTGCATCATCGACTCAGCTTTGCGGTTATCTGTACCTTTCGGCTGCTGTCAAGATATCACGATCAGTGCTTGCCACATCACTGGTATTGATGGATCTTCCTGCTCCACATTCGCGGCATCACCAGAACTGCTGCGAATACCACTGATCTCTCCACACGGTACACAACCAAGCTCAGTACGCCAAGCATACCTTTCAAATGTTTGCCCCCAATTTGGACTCGTCTCAAGTCCAGTCGCGGACGGATCATCTACCTTCCACGACCGCTAGCCTCCTACCAAACCCTCGGCCGCAGCCACCTTCGGAGGATCCACGGGCTAGCGAAACACGCCAGATCTTCGTGGTTCATAACTCGCACACACCCAATTGCCACAACTATGGACCTTTGAAGTGGGCGTCATGGACGGGAGTCGACGCTAAGACTCCTCGAGCGTCTCACAACGCCCCAGTTGGGAGTACTTCCACACGATGACCCCCGGCGCTGTCTTCATATCTTTGCAGCTGCACGCTCTCCTCCGCAACGTGTCTCAAAGGCCTTTTTGCCACGACTCCACGAACCTCCACGCGACCCTACGCGACTTTATGTGACGAAGGCCATGAAATCCACTCAGGCCTCGAAGATACGACTGCCTGCCCACGACATGCTCTGTGCGTTGAGGCATGGCATTTCATCTTGCCACAACTCAGACTATACCAAGCCGCTGCTGTTGGCGAGCTGCGATGTAACACCGTTGCATCTTCTAAGAAGCAATCCTCCAAGCTTGAAGAAGCGATTCTCCGTTCCCCCGGAAACTTCGACACCAAGGTTGTCCCGAAACCCTGGCTTCGCTGTTCTATCTGTTCGGCGACAAGCAATCACCCGCCATGAGGACCTTTGTAGCAACTTGCGGTACAAACGAAACCTTCCGCATCGATTAGCTTTCAAACCGAAGGTCCTCGAGCTCACACGAGACCCATGTCGCAGTTACCATGCCCATTCCGTGAAGAGCATCTCAGACACCGCCATGGTTGCGTTCTCATCATAAGCAGTCTCCAACGATCACCCCACATCCATCATCATGCTCGCGCACAAAGGGACGTCTGCCGGTGCATTGCCTACGATGAGGCCTGGCTGAACGAAAGAGTCGATTGGAAGAGATGGAGAGAAATTTGGAAACAATACTACCATGGGATTTCCACGTCTGCTGCTTCTACAACACTTGCGCAGTTGGAGTGGTCATCAATGCTAGCAAGCTTTGTGGATGCTCGCCACATACTTGCTCAAGACATCTGCGCGAGGACCCTCTTTCCGGTTCCTTCAGCACGACGACCAGCTTCCAAGCACGAAGCGGCGAATGCCTGTACCACTGGCGAGAGGAGCAGACGTGCGACTTCACGTCTCGATCTCGGCATCCTCATACCCCAATCGAAGATGAACCTCACATTCTGGATCATTAAAGTGTGCCTGCCCTTCCACGGCCATCCGTCAGCCGCTTATGCCGCCGCTCATCAACTTTGTTACGATTGGCAAAGATGGCCACGTCATGCCCAAGTGCCGCCGCTCGATGGCTCATCGTCAAGGCTCTGAGCACTTGCCGTCACATCGCCGGCGACGTGGTGAGCTATCTGGAAGTCGGTCGCCGAGAACTCCAATTGCCAGAAGCGACACACACTCGTACACGCTTCACATACAAAGTCTGAGGTGGAGCGTCGGTGAAAACCTTCAAGATGGTCCGGAAAGGCGATTCGCATCCACGTCTTGCTCTCGGTTGAAAAACTGCGCATCCTTGCTTGAGAGAACCTTCAAGCCCATCCCCCCACCGGACCCACGGACTTCTGGACCAGCCTGGCCCCAAACGGATCTTTGAACTCTTGGACCAGCCTTTACCCTTCGGACTTCTGGACCAGCCATTTTCCAAATGAACTTTGTACTTGCGCCTCACCGTTGCTGCAATCGGATGTGGCCGTGAAGCTCACCAGTCCTCGCCGGACGGAGCTAGTGATGTCGCTCCCCGATGATCGGGCACTGGACTTGAGACCGCACGGAACAGCCATTTTCGAGCAAGCCTTGCAGACAGCGGAGCCCCCGAAATTGGAGCCAGATACCCACTGCGACGGTACGCACCTACCGCACCAAGTCTGCTGCACTTCAAACACTCGACGATGAGAAGACTGGCAAGGCAATGGCGCCTTCTTGCGCCCCCTCTATCTCAGCTCTCCAGTTCAAGCTGTCTCCCACACCCTGTCGTCAGAGGGCATTAGTCTGCAACGTCTGCAGACTTGGTGCGACTCCTGCATGCAGTACCCGCTTTGCCCCTTAGCGCAGATTCGGGGCACGCAAGGACCTTTCCCGTGATCTTCATCTGGAGAAATACCAACCTTGTGTTCCCTGTCAACACCCCGGCAATCTGACTGCAGATGAGCGCTCAATGTGATCATCTTGACCTCCTGGCGCCTTTGGCGGCAACTACATGGCAAAAGGGTTGCGATCTCATATCCATAAGGAAACAAAGCTCGTGAAGGTGCTCTACCGTTACAATGATCGCACAGTCAGAAAGAGGTCGACGACGAGCGCGCGGCTCAACAACACAACGGTGGCGGTCAGTGGCGGCACTGGCGGTGGGAGTTTGGTGCTATGGGCTTTTCGGCTTGCTGGCGGTGGCGTCTCTTGGCGTTGGAGAAACGAGAGACGAGGAAGAACAAGAGTAGCAGAGTGGAGTGACTGGACGGTAGCACATGTCTTTGGACACGTCGTTGTGTGTTCTGTGCTGGCCTATGACTATGCACTCTTTCTGCGAGAGCGTGCCAAAGTTGGGAGGTGAAGTGAAACCAAGCTTCGCTGCTGGACCCACTTTTCGCTCGCACGGTTCACGAGCTTACTTTCACTTCACCTGGCAAGCTGCGCCAACAATCAAGACCACCTCAGCCCATCGCATTTCTGGTCTGCTGCTTCAGCCCATGCCCGGACGCTGTTGGTATCATCTACGCTGGTGGGGAGGAGGGACCGGGAGGAAAGGGGCCCTCAATTGAGACTTCTGATGGAGACGAAAGACACCAAGGACGTAGCGCGAGAGTTGCACACGTATGGGCTGCGCCGACGCCAGGGAAACACGCTACCAACGCTGCGTCACTCATCCGCGGCGGCAATCCTGGGGAATCTCACCAGGGCAGCTAATCCTACTCCAACCCACCAAGACCAAGAAAAGATGGATGCTGAAGATCTCCGGAGCTTCAACGAATAAATACGAACCACCTGGCCTTGCAACACGATACTCATAACGCCAACTACTGTGCTTCTACCCTTTGAGGCCTGATTCCGCCAACACCGTTGTTGCAGCCTGCCAGCCGGGCATTGTGATCCGGGCACTGCCTTAGCTTGCGTGCCTTCTCGCCCTCCCGACAAAAGTAGCATTGCCGCGACGGGAGTGTAAATCTCATAGGCAGACTCGACTGTCGAAAGACGAGGCCGACTCCAGCGAAAGAGAGCTTCTCGACCACGATTTGGTTCAGCGCGACTACCACGAAAGTGAACTCAGTCGCACACAACACATCACGCTGGGGTTGTTGGCAGTTTTGAGGATTAAGCGTGTCAACTGACGCACGATCGTCCACGACAAGAAAAGAGGAAGACTGCTTTCGCTGCCCGTGTGGCATACTTCATCAAGGGCTGTTGGAAGTCTGCAAAGGGGTGTACGAAAATACATGAACTGGCGAAGGAACATAAGACGAGGTTGGTGTCCCCAGGAAAAGGGGCAGAGGAGAACGTGTGAAGGGCAGATATACAAAAAAAGATGGGGTCGACGAAGAAGAGAATGGTAAATAGGGGAGGATGCAGGAAGAGAAGAAGCACACAAACAAAAAGGAGAGAAGATACGCACAGAGAGCGTGGAAGGAGAAGGAGAGACAAAAGACATACGAAGGGGGGATGGAGAAGGGATTGGAAATGGGGAGGCGAAAACAGGCGGAGATCCGGTTGTCTGGAGAATGGCGGATGCTGAAGAGAGGTATAGGGGCAAAACTCGTCCGGCACGGGAAACAGGATGGGAAGGCATTCGAAGTACGGTCTCGCGGAGGTGCGGTGTGGAATGAGACAGGTGGAAGCAGAAAGACAAGCAGAAGAAGGATTACTGAGAGGACACATTGGGTACAGGAGAGTGCCTTGGGGCTTCAAGGGCGAGGATTGCTGTAAAGGGGAGGATATTGATCACTGGTCGCGGGTGAGGAGAAAGAGGAGGCGAATTATTTGGCGGTACTTTGGTATAAGGTTCAAGTGGGGAGATAGAGTCTGGAGACTTGAAGTGTCACGGTGATGGGGTATTTGTTGCAGGTTAAAATCAAATACGAAAGGAATGATGTGATGAGAATGGGAGTAGAACATGTGTTGTGGTATAATCTTTCAGTATAATCTTTCAGTAACGTTATACGTACTTGTCAAGCTTTCGCTTTCGGCTGCATCATTGCGCATGCAGGATTTTGGTGTTGTGTCCCCTCCTCGGGCCTGTCTACAACTCACCAGCACTCTCCCCATCGTCGTCACCAACCACGACCTCGCTCTTGCCAGCCTCCCAATCGGCAACTGCAGCGGCGTTAGCGTTGCCCATTGGCTCCCACGTATCGTCGTACGACTCACCTGTGGCCGCGTCATCTTCCCACTTGATCAAGTAGTGCGTAGTTGTCTCCGCGACGATGGCGCGAACGGTGTATTCCTTGGTGGGATCGATGAGTCCGTGAGTGTGCTGGACGCGGCGTGGGCCTCTTTGGCCTTCCGCAATCCAGGCTGGGTCGGTGTCGGGAGTGCGTGCGTAGTACCGGCCGTGCCAGAGGTAGGACTTGTCAGCCGCCGCAGTCGTGAGAGATTTGTCGGGGATTTCGATCTTGAGAGCATCAACTTCGGCCTCGGACTTGGTCTTCTTCGGCCGCGGGGGGAATATCGTGGAAGTCGGGAGACCAGCGGTGGGGCGAGGGATGATTTGGCCCGTGATTGACATGCCCTTCTTCAAATCCTTCTTTGCACGAAGGATGGTCTCGTACCCGCACCTGGTGTAGAAGGCTATCAGCATCTCCACGATCTCGAACCAGTCCAGAGCCCTTTTAGCTATCTTCTCCTTGGCTACGGTGGCAGAGACGATGCCGGCTGGAGAGAGGAGGACGATTCCCTCGAACCCGTGACCGTGGTCGAGCTTGCCGAGGGCAGTGAGGTATCCTGCCATCACGATCTGAGAGAACCCCCCACCGTGGAACGCGGGCTTCAGCTCGAAGTGACAGATGTAGTTGATCTTGTCCGACGAGAACTGGTCTTTGATGTGTGCGAAGTCGGATCGCAACTCACCTTTCTGGGTGTGGAGTGCGATGAGGGCCTTCTGGAAGTCAGTCACTTTGTCACCTTCGATGGCGAAGGTCTTGAGATTACCATCGTAGTCCGTCGGTGGGGTGAGAAGCTTGAGCCAAGCCGCAGTGTCACAATCCATCTCCTTGTAGGACTTGTCGACGATTTCACCCTCGAGGAAGCCGAGTTGCACGATTGGTTTCTTCGGCCGGCGAAGCGAGAACGCTGCATGGATGGTCTTCACGCAAGGAGGGTCCTGTCGATGCTGGGTGGAGGTGACATCGACGGTGATTCGGCAGTCCTCGCCTTGGATGGTGTGGTGCTCTACCACCTGGGCGCTGCCGATTTGAGTCGTTCGTCTCGTCTGCGGAGGGTCGGAGGGACCGGGCTCCAGGCCTGCGGTCGTTGCTGTCCGCTTGCGAATCGCCATTCTTCTGGTTGAGGTTTGGTTCTTCGATGGCAAAACGACCACAGGGGTCGCAGAGGGATATTCTTCGAAGCACGAGGAGCCAAGTTCGATATGCGCCGGCAGGCTTGTTGATATTTTCGCGGAGACAAAGCAACCTGGTGAGACATGTCTTTGTAGGGACAATATGTTGACTTCTGAGACGGTCTTTGTTTCTCATCAATCGCATTGTATTTTCACATCGCATTCTCCCCATCCCACGGGCACGCCAATCCAGACTCTCACCGACGACGAACCTCTGCCTCGTTTCCCTCCCACACCAGACGTCCAGCGGTGAACCTCCGCAGCATCGCTCCTGCTGTCCACTCCTCGGGAGTGTCCCTCTCAAGTAGATACCAACGACCACGCCAACGGTACATAACGTAGTTGTCGTGTTCGAACACACCTGTCCGTGGATCGGGATTGTCGATGTACTCTTCAAGATTGGCAATCTCACGATCCGAGATCCCTCGTCGTGTTCCATCACGTGGATCGTTTGATCTCTGTTGGGCTCGTCGTGTGGATCTACGGGGTGGTTGAGGCAGGGGTGGGGGGCTATTGATCGCACGACTGGAGGTGGTTGGAATAGGGTTGGTTTCGCTGGTTTCGGCAACGATGGCTGCGGATGTACTGTCATGTTCGATGGCGTCGGCGTTGTAGACGAGAAGTTCTTCCTCCTCTTCTGCTGCTGCAAGCGTCTGGCGCACCAGCTCGCTTTCTTCTCCGCTCAGCGCTTCCACCACAATGCTCAAGTCCTCGCTCCTTCTTGTCACCGCAGGCCTTGGCACACTTCCCTGTCTTGAAGCTCCCTCCTCCACATCGCTCATTTCCACATCACCATCATCGTCTTGATCGACCTGGCTGGTGGTGCGAATCATGATCGTGATGCCGCCGTGGAGGTCTTTGTACTCTTCAAAGAGGCTTTCATAGCCCGCCTTTGAGTAGGACAGCATCAGGTCTGCCACGGTCTCGACAAAGGACTTCACCTTCTGGCCGGCGTCCTTCATCTTGTCGGTCTCGTCTGTGATCGGCCCGGGTGAGAGAAAGACTACGCCTTGGTAGCCGTATTCGCCGCCCATCTGGTCGATGCCGTCCAAGTAGGTGAGCATCGCCTCCTTGGCCAATCCCTTTCTTCGCAACTCTGGTTCCAGGCAGAAGAAGGCGATGAAGTGGAGATTTTTGGAGTTGAGAAGGTTTCTGAAATCTTCATCGAAGCGTTCCTTCGGCTTTTGGCTGGTGCGGTCGAACAAAAGTTGAAAGATCTTCTGAGTGTCTGTCAACTTGTCCTTCTTGGATGCGTGGACCCGGACGTCGCCTTCGTAGTCGGCAGGAAGGTTCAACACGGTTCCTACCCACAGCGGTGGCGCTCTTCCGCTCCGCGTAGATTGACCGTCTTGTCCAAGGTTGAGCCCACCACCACACCGAGCTTTAGACGCTGGCCACCTGCCTCTTGGATGTACAGGTCGGTTTCATAGTCTGTGCAGCAGGTGAAGTCGTCGTTCTTGAAGACTCTGGTGTCGGCTGTGATGGTGTACTGCTTGTCATTGACCTTGCAGGATCGCGAATGGGAGGTGCTGGCGAGAGGCTCGTCTGATGCGGCGGACGACTGGCTGGTGGCCATTCTGGATCTTGTTTGACGGGGACTGTGGGATCGGATGGAGAGTGCGCGTTTTGTGCGAAGAGCGAGGATTCTGTGATGCTGTGATGTCGCGTGTGAGCGGAGCGGGGTTGTGGTGGCGTTTGCAGAGGAGGGCTGGTGCGGAACATGAAGTCGCCAGCGCAGAATTCGTGTCCATGGCAACCACGTGCGTAAGCGAACATTCACTCACCGCTGACGTAAACATCGCACCCAAATTCAGCACGGCGAACGGCGAGGTCGAGCGCTCCCCTACCGCGCATAGCGGATGTTGCTCTCGCACGTGTATACCGTGGGACAAGATTGTATAAAAGTGTACAGTGTTTTGTTTCTCTTGCTCGCAGTAGAACAATTGCTCTAAGAGTGATGCTAATATAGTCTTCTAGTGTGTTTGCTTCACATCCTGCTGATCTTGCTCATCTGTTGAAAGTGTTCTTAGTTGTTCTGCAACAAAGCATGAAGGGACGCTGTCTTACAGCGAGACTACTAGGGGCTTGCATATATGTCTTGCGGGGAGCAAGTTTAAACCAACACGACTAGAGGGGGCTGCATGTATGTCTCAGAAGGAGCAAATATCGAACATACTTCGAGTTAGCTCGCTGGAATCTTGTTACAGTCGGGGGGGCAGATCCTCGCAGCGGTTCTGCACGTTAGATCGCATAATGACATGTTGCTGGCCTAGTTGAGGATAAAAAGGAAGCGCATGAAGATTGTTTTGTGCCCTATTCCTACAAAGGCCCATTCCTCTGGCGAGAGCCCTGCAAAAGCAACCCCAATTTTGGATCTGTGCCAAGTGTCCGTTCATTCTTTCGCTCTCAAGGATTGCATCTCAAAATCAGTTAATCTCCTCCCAGAAGGGGCCAGGAATGTACTAGTTCAAGTCATCGAGCTCCTTCTTTGAGATCCGATGGCTCGATCGTGCAGATGAAGTCTCCTGCTCCGGATCTCCCTCCTCGCCATCGTTGGTCTGATCAGGTGTGAAGTCACCATCCGAGTCAGAGTCTTCAGAGTCGTCTCCCTCTGCGTAGGCAACGATAATCTCCTCCTCATCGTATTGTTGAGCGGATGCCATCACATCAGAAGAGCCGTCGTCGATGTTCGTCGATGTTTCGTCCTCATCGAGCACCCCGTTGTCTACAATGTTGGCATTCTCCACGTCCGTCATTTCCACATCAGCGTCCTGGCCTTTGGCTCCAGTGATCTTTGCCTCCTCCACAGCTGAGCTATCCCTCACCATCACCGTGATCGTCCCCGCCTTTCGCTTGCTGCCTTGATGCGCCATCTTGTAGTCCGTCTTGTCGTAGAAGCTGACAAGCTTCTGGACGATGGCAGCATTAGGACCGGGAACTTTCTTCGCCTCGCGCATGCGGATTGTTTCGGCTCGAAGAGGCGCAGGCGAGAGCACCACTGGGGCTGGTCCGAGTGCTTTAGTGATCGCCCCAAGGTACGCCAGCATAGCGTGCTCGCTGAGGCCCTTCCCGCGGTGTTCAGACTTGATGCAGAAAGAATCGATGTAGTGGGGCATTCCCTGGTCCTTCAAAACGTCTTTGATGGTTTGGCCAAAATGCTCTTTGGGCTGACCATCCGCGTCGAAGAGGTGCTGGAACACTTTTTGAGTGTCGCCCATCGCATCTGTTGAGTCGCCATGCAGACTCACATCGCCCTCGTAGCCCTCTGGTAAGGCCAGGATCTCCTTCTTCCACAAGATCTCGGCCTCAGGGCACAAGATGTTGTGCTACTCTCTGGGAAGGATTCGTATGGATCGGTTCAGTGGGTGGCCGCTGGGTGGCTCAGGCAGGTCTTTTGCACCGACGGTTGGCAGCGGCTGGGGAGTTGGTTGAATCATTGATTGTGTTGAGGAGGCCTCGCTGGTGAAGATGTTGAGCTGGGGTCGGCGATGGAGTAGGACGTGTAGTGATCATCTCTTATCCGACGGTAGACGCCATTTGTTTTAAGAGAAGGAAACTCGAAGTCCCCATAACACCCAACGCCCTGACACATTGCAATTGTCGCAGGCAGTCAAGCAGAATGCCTTCTTAAGCCAGTATGGTCTAGACTGGAAAGTCGCCTTGTATTGTATGCATTATCGTCTTCTGCCCTGTGTCAATGTTATTCTTCTGATTTACTTGAATCGAAAGACTTACACAATGCACGCCTCACGAAGCCCCAGTCTGGGAGTCATGGCTTCGGCCGGGCCTGCCGGGCCTTCTCATGACGACTGTAGCGTACATGTAACTTCATTCGCGGGCTTGCGTTGACTAGTCTCGAAGGTGATGTCAAATTTCGTATGAGTATACATCCCGCCAACAGAATATATAACGCAGAAGTGTTGGCGATGAAAAGAAGAGTCGGCAACGTAGGGATCGGTCATTAGTATCACCCAGGACGTATGGCCCTGCTTCCCGAATTGAACAAAGACTTCGACCCACTCTCATTTCGCTTTGTCTTCTTCGCTCGATCTTGGCCATGATTCGAGACTTGTGTAAACCCCTTGTCTCAAAGTCGAACGCCTCGCTCTCTGAATTGGAAGCACGAAGCCAAATCGTCGCAGATGGTCGCCGGCGTTGGCAAGGACACAACAGTACAGAGGCCGTGGCATATGTGGGTGCTGGAAATCTCGCTTTTGGTTGCAGCGCCTGAGGGCATTCGTGAATGCAGCCGTCCAAAGGCGCGGGCAGCGTGGGAGGTTCACGATCCATACTTTGAGGGAGGCCGCATCGAGAGTGCCATCTTATCATGTGACTGTTCTTCGTATATTGGTGCAAATGCTATTACTGTTTCGCCGGCCTGCCGTCTCAAGTAGCTGCTTGTTGACGAGGCTTAACTTCCAGGACGTAGAACAAGCCTCTCTGAAGATCTTCCTCGGCCATAAGGCCACTGGTTCTTGTAGATGTGGATCTGGTGGGAATGGCGCCTTTACCGTGCTGGTTGATGAGAGATGCCAGGAGTCTTTATTTACACCAAAGAGAGACTTAGGTAGTCAAGGCTCTTTGAGTACTCGAGACTCGCTTACTCCTTGCCGGTGATTGTGGTTGAAACCTGAAATCAAACCTGCGTACAATCTCGGCATCCTGTGAACGAAATGCCGCCGTGCCAGAACATAACCATAGATTTGCACATCAATTCCACGTCAAAATGTCAATGCCTGGTCGGGCTATTGTATGCGATCTCGATTACGTGGATCGAGCCGCAGAATAGATTCTCTGCCGTGTTCTGAGCCGCGTTGAGATGAAGTGGCCAATCATAAGCCTTGATTTTCCGCCGGAAAACACGGTGATCGACACATTCGGGACATTGAAGCCAGGCAGCCGTCTGCGCCACATCTCGAGCGTTGATCTCGCCGTTTATTCCGTTACTTGAGCTGACGTTGTTGCCGCGACGCATACTATGATACATTCGACAACTTGAGCTATGATGCTTTCTGGTACAGATATGGGGTTCAATGGGCAGTCTAGGTACTCACGACGGCTGGGCATCGCCTCATTGCAGTGACGCGGCAACGGCTTAATCATGATAATTTCCATGTCAAACCATTAGGAGAACAGGCTGCCTTTCATCATGAAGCACGATCTATCTTGCAGGCATGTTGTGTCTGGCCGAGATATCAAATTCTGCTCTTCATGGGCCTCCGAAAAATCGGTATCAAGTTGCTCTACTTCGATATCTCGAACCATTCACAATGCAAAACACGTTTGCCCTCCTCTTCATCGCAGCCGCCTGTGGCGTGGCAGCTTTTCCAAGCCAGAATCACAGCTCCACGCCCGATGCAGCAGACGTTTGGAAGCACAAGAAGATATCCCTAGAGGTTTGTGTAGAATTTCAACAACGATGTGTCTACGTCTAACACGTGAAAAGGAAGCATTCGTTCTGCCAGAACTAGTCGAGCACGTGTTCTCCTTTCCCCAGCCCATCGGTGTCTCCAACGAGACGTTCAGGGCTCAGTTCCTGGATATTGGACCCATTCGTCTTCAGCAGATGGATGACCTTGGCATTGATTATATGATCCTATCGTGCGGCTCTCATTGAAGAATTGTACGGTGACTTGGGCTGACGAGGTTGACAGGCATACAGCTCCTCTCGCTCAGGGCGTGAATGAATCCGATGCGGCTGAAGCGCTGGCAACCAGGGCGAATGACTATCTTGGGGAGAACATCAAGAACAATACAGATCGTCTCGGCGGCTTCGCTATGCTGTCTCTCCACGATCCGATGCAAGCTGCCAACGAGCTCGAGAGAGCCGTCTCGAACTACGGCTTCCATGGAGCATTTATGTGTAAGACGCCTGATGTGCACCTTGATGACTGCCGCTGACGAGGACTTACCACCCAGATACCTACCAAGATTACAGCTTCAACGAAACATACTATCTGAGCGATCCTCGATACGACCCTCTTTGGCAGCGACTTGTTGATCTCGATCTACCGGTATACATCCATCCCAGAGGCCCTGGTCCACGACAGATGTTGGACTACCTCCCCTCAACTCCCGATTTGATCGGCGGTGGCTATCAATTCAGTAACGACGTCGGCTTGACGTTGATGAAGATGATAGCGTATGGCGTTTTTGATCGCTTCCCCAGTTTGAAAGTGTTAGTTGCCCATCGACCACTTTGTCGTTTTGCATGCTGACTCGTTTCTACAGGATCTCTGGCCATGTACGTGAAGTTCAGCCGCGGTGTGCTACCTGAGCTGATTTTTGCTTCTAGATGGGCGAACACCTTCCGAGCGACCTCTTCCGGCTCGATGCTCAAGGTATGTCTCTCGAAGGTTTCTCGCAGACACCAGCTAACAGCCCAACAGTCGATCGTCTTCGCTCCGCCTTGAACCTTCCGGCATTACACGACGTCTCCTACTGTAAGCTTTTTATCGCTCCAGGCACGTCGGCCTAAGAGGCTGACCACATATTACCCGAAGACTTCCAGAACAACTTCTATGAAACAACTTCCGGGGACTTCGCCGATGATCTCCTCAACTTCCACATCCAGCAGATTGGAATCGAAAGGATTCTGTTCAGTGTTGATTGTAAGCTCTTCTCTTTTCGATAGCATGACGGTCCTCGAACGCTGATCTCTCTTCTTGCAGACCCCTATGAGAACCTGGCAGATGGGACGAAGTGGCTTGATAACTTGACGCTGCCAGATGGAGAGAAAGCTCAGATTGCCAGGGGAAATGCCCTCAAGCTGCTGAAGTTGGATGGGTGAGATGGCGGGCAGGATATGACAAAAACGAGGCCAGCGAGAAATGAGATTCACCCAACATCTTTCGTTGAGTAACAGTTACATACATGGGTCCCGGCAATGTTGAGTTCTTTTCATCCGATTCTTCCTACCGACACCGAAGCAGCGCTGCGCACTTGGGCTGCCCAATGACCCCCATGCGGAGGTTCTTTGACAAAGAGAGCCTCAAGAGCATTGATCTTGACGGGTCTTCCAATTGCGGCAGCGTCTTTCAATGCTCTTCCCAAACCCTCTTTGTTCATCCGTATCACACTGCCTTGCACTTCGAATTGGCACCCTTTGAACTCCGCATCCCCGCTACCAACATCGCCGTTGCCATCAAGAGTCGCTAAACATCGCCAAACCACGGCTGTCGTATCCACGTAGCTCAGATCACCTCCCAGTATGTCAGCATTGAGTTTCCCTGCATAGTAGCGACTCTCTACCTACCCCTATGCCCTCTTTGGCGGTCTGGCACCTCCGATCACCTTGCGCTTGGCCTTTGGCGGCTTTTGAGATGGACCTGCCTTCACTTGCTTGAGGAAAGGGTTGGCTGGCTTCTGCTTCTCCAGCTTCTTGGGCTGAAGTGAAATGGCGGTATTGCTGCGCATCATGACGGTGATGTTCCCATTCCCGGCTGTCGGCTCGAAGATGCTGTCGAAGTCGGCCCTGAGGTAGGTCTTCTCGATCTTCTGGATGTTCTTCTCGTACGAATCGACTGGCTTTTTGTTCTGCCTCATCCAGTCGGTCTCATCGCGAAGGGGGGCGGGAGACAGAATGACGGGCCCGCCGTAGTTGAAGAACTGACCGAGCACGTTCATGTAGGCAAGGAGAGCGTGCTCAGCGAGGCGCTTGCCGCGCCACTCGGGCTCCACGCAGAAGGAGCTGATGTAGTGGAGCATGTTGGTGCGCAATTGGCGCCGATCCTTCTCGCGAAGGTGAGGTTTCGGCCGGCCCCGTGGCCCGTAGAGGATCTGAAGTACCTTTTGAAGGTCGCTCAACTCGTCTCCATCCCCAGAGTGCTCCTTGAGATGGCCTTCGTATTTCTCTGGCTTGCGAAGAAGTTCCTTGGCCCACGGAGGAACAGTCGACTTGGCGCATCTCAAATGTCTGCGATCCACCTCAATTGCTTCGATCTCGGCTAGGACGTAGTCGGTCCTCTCCGTATTTGTGATGGAGACGCCGCCCCAGAAGTTGCGACAGCTTTCCGAGCTCTTTGGCTGGGTGACCTGAATGAAAGCCATCATCTCATAGCCGATTCCGTCAACATTGCACTTGTACGGACGCGATGCGGAGGCGACGCGATTACGGCGACGGGGAGGGGTCAGCTCCGTGTGAGTCATAGTTCGCGGTGCAACTCGCTTCCCTGGAGGCATCTTCGCAGTTGGTGGAGTGGGTGTCAAAAGCGCGTGCGAACTGGCGACCAAGGAGAGATCGGATGCTGCTCTTGTGGTGGAGTCCGCAGAGCAGAAGCGGTGGGCGTGTTGCTTTGCGGAAGCTGGTGCAAACGACGTGTGGTCTCTGTTGCAAGATCGAGGCAGGCATGCCTCGGGCAAAATGCACTAGCGCGCGGGTAGAAGTGAATTTGCATGTGACGGCTCCGACGTTCAGGCAACGTACCCCAAGGCCGCAACACTGCAGGCCAGATCGAGATTTGTTCTCGCCTGTCCCATGTTGGATTGCCGCATGTTTCATTCTGCTACTTTTCGTGATACGAGTTCTGGTTAATGTGCTGAGAGAGTGTCCCTACATCTCAGCTGCTGCGCAGGGTCGTGCTGATGTAATGCACTCTCATATATCTCTGCCTGAGAGGTGAAGGTCGTTCAGCGGAAGGAGCTCTGCAGATCGAACTCTTTTGAGTACCCGTTCGCTCTTCTCTTCGTGATATCGTTTCCAAATAAGACGCATGTATACATGTCGAGAACGGCATATAGAAGATAGATAGCAGTGCTGCTTGACGCTCGATCAGGGGAAAGATGCGTTTCATATAGCCTGCATATTCTACTTGCTGCAGGCTGCGGCATTGTTCAAACAACTGTACGAAGCGCTTTCAGCAACAATCCCAGCCGATCGCGGATGGCGGCAGTAAGGGTATTGATCTCATTCTTTTTGAATCAAGTCGACCATCAGCGTCTCCGCGCTCCTTCCCAAACAGCGGCCATTAGTGCGAAAGTCTGAGCAATATGCACGGGCCAACGCCCTCACAAAACTCCGCTTGATTTCATCTTTTCTTCCTCTCATTTCCTCTCCACAGTCCCGGCGTCGTTAAACTGAATGGGCGTTAGAGGCAAAGTCGCACAAGCGACGTAAGTATACAGTAATCAGCCCTCTTCAATCACACAAGCGTTTTCGTTATGCGATGAGCCCACCTGGTACTGCCAGGTGTCGGTCTGCCTTGCGAGCGTGGGTGGTCGATTGGGTACATTTCTTCAAGTGCAATGGATGGTCTGTAAGTCGAATTGAGTGATGCATGTCGTTGGTCTATCATTTGCCGGCTGGCTAATAGACATACTAACCGCACTTCCGTCCATTTATCGAACGCCCATGCCGAGAAGAGATGGTCGTTTTCAAGCAGCGCCGCGGGACTAATTGACCGCCATGACCCTCAAAATTATCTCTCCTCGCGGGGCAGGGCACTTGCGAAGGGTAGGTCTTCCCATAGTCCCGCCAATACTATCACTGACCTCTCTTTGCGTGATCCGAGCTGAGAAACACGCGTTCAAGAACGCCGAGCACTGCGTAGAAGATGCGACGCGGCGCGAGAAAGAGCCTGGAATCGAACGGGGCCGGCGGACGAGCAACAGTACGGTATGGATAAGCAGCTGTCAAGGACGAGTTGCGGCCTCATCGCTTTACAGCCCGACATCGCCTGCACGCTACCAGGACACGGCAACAAACGCCTCCGCTGATGCTGCTCTACCACGCGCACCCCGCATGGTCGTCCGTCCCTGGCCTTGCCAGATATTTTGGCTATTAGCTGCCAGGCCAACGCTGCCTGTTCTCACGCACGGGACGTCGTCAATGTTGGGTGAGTCAGAACAATGTGGACCCGCACTCCAAGGAGGCAACGGAAAGGCCGTATCTCACTACGAAGCAGTCCGGTACACCTGATAACGACAGCACCAACAACAAGCGTACCTCCGTCAACTGCCTGAACCCCCACCCCACCTTCAACAACATATCACGTATCCCGAAGAGCTCACCGAGACTATCCACCGTTACCATCGCGCGCCCCATCGCTAGCGTGCACAGCCCGAACCCTCTCATCTTGACCTCTTTGTCGCCGCTGCCGCCGCCCAGAACAGGAAGAAGAACTTAAAGAACCAAAGCTCGATGACAAGAAAGACGAGCAGATACACGACGCGCTTCTGCTGTTCGAGGTTGCGGCATTAGCATTGTACTGCACGAGATACCCAGGGGCAGGATGGGTTCTTCAAGAAATGATGCGCGCTTTAGAGATATTGGAGAGCATAAGGAGTAATGGTAGTTTAGCTTCCTTTCAACTGTGCTGGATGATGGAAGGATGGTTATCCAGCCAATTGGGCGTGATGATGACAGGCCTTCTCGCTCGAGAGATGAGGACATGGCAGACCTCACGTTCTCTCCATCGCAGATATCCTCCAGTTGCAAAGCAGGTGCTCAGGCTATAAAGTATTGTCTCAATCAATTGGGGGATATTGATCGTTGGCTACATCAAGGCAAATGGGGCTGCAGCGGAGCATAAAATTTCGATCCATCCATCGATCGACCGACCGCTCTTAATTCCAATCAATCAATATGGCTGGTACTAACCCTCTTCCCTACGCTCTTTCCCATATACTGGAGCAGAATGTGGATCGTTGTATTCAATCGAAAGAGTAGCAAAAAGAAATATGACGCGTGCCCTGGTGTGTGGGCCGAAGAGCGCTATCGAAAAAAGCAAACGCAAAAAGTTTAAAAAAGGAATTATGGCCCAACACGGATTCGAACCGCGGTCTCTCAAACCCCTCGACATCGCCAACGTGTGGAGAGCCAATCCCCCACTCGGGGAGGGGTGCCAGCCCCTCCAACCTGGCCCCTGCCAGAGGACCAGGCTGCCGCCGATTGCCGACGACGCCAAGCGAGCAACTGCCACATGTGACGAATGTTGTTGAGGTTGAGCGTCTTAACCACTGGACCACCGAGCCTGTGAACTTTGATTGGTGCTGCTTTGTGAAGTGATGTTATGTAGGCTCACTTCTTTCTTGGGCAAGTCAGCGCGCTTCAGCTAGCGTCAAGGGTGATGAGCTACCGGGGCGGCAGGTCTGCCTTCACTCGCCGCTGGCTCGCTCAACAATGAGCCATAGTCCCAGACCAACGCACGTACATTCCACCTCGCAGCACTGTGTTGGAGCAGTTTGCCGATACACAAGGCCTTCACCCGCCGTGCTCCATGTCCCACGATATAGTTCATGAATGATTGATTCACGAAACACCACCGGGAGAAGAGAGAAGATGGCAGCCGAACTTCCAACCTCGAGGCACGTACTTACACACCAGGGTTCCCACCTCCAGACGGATCACTCACTGCTGTACGGTCGCCCTCGGAACGCAAACCCTTCGCGTACATCAACTACACTCAAAAAATCTTACAACCAGCACCAACAACTAGCCAGACATCGCCAAGCTCGCTTTGTGAGACGACAGCGAAGCATCCACCACTGCCGACGCCGGAGGGGCTGCAGACTGAGATGCCAGCGACAAGCACAGCAGAACGTACGGACGGGCATTTGCCCGCATTGAGGTGGAACGCACGGAAAGTAGGCAGGTCTGGGATTCACTTGCCGTTGGGCAGCGCAGTAACGATATCCAATAATCATCGACGCGATCGCCTGGTCCGCGCCGCCACCGAGCACGAGCCACTGACCGTTGGTAAAGAGCTTACAAAGGCCAACTGCCTTTAAATTCGCTTTGCCAGACAACACCACCACCTTACCACGAGACATCATGACTACTGCAAACACCGAGGTGGCGGTAGCTCTGAAGCGGGTGAAGGACGCAATCACTACCTTCAAAGACGACATGGCAACTGACGTCGAGGGGCCCTGCTTGATGGCGAGTGGGACAGGCAACGCCAACGAGGGTGTCGTCTCCCGCGCAATGGAGCGGATCGAGTCGAATGTGCACGCCCTGGAACCCGTTTCTTTCCACCCGTGATCATCGTTCCAATGCTGCCAAGGCAAGCGAAGACCTGTATCACGTCGGGGTACCGCGTGTGCATATCTTGCTTCAGTCAATCTTCACACAATTACGTTTGTGGAACATGTTATGAGCCGAACACTTTCGACGAGGAGGGGCTGAACGCGGAGGAGACGAAGCGCGGTGTCCAGCTGGCAAGGCAGTCCAACCATCGAGCTGGAAGGGCGAAAATTGATAGTCTCTCATTATCGACTTTTTTATGTTGTTCAGCAACCAAGCATATCGCGCAGGTTGATTGTATGCAATGCGCGCAGGTGCCTTTTGAACAGTTCTTCTGAAACGATCGCGATTCGGCCAAGAGGAAGTCGTTAGATTGATCAAGGAGCCGTCGTAGATGCTCATTAAACATTAGCGCTTGATGTGCGTGTGCTACATTCTTATTGTACTCATCGCCTTTCAAAATACGAATGCTGGATCAAAAAGAAAGCATCCCGTCGCAAGAGCCAACACCGATTCGCCGCTGCGCTATTCCTACACGACGCGAACGTTTGCAGAAGCGAAAAAACTCCAAAAAAGAATTGGTCCAACACAGATTCGAACCGTGGTCTCTCAACACCTCGGTCAGCTGCCGTGGGAATCCCATCGACCCGGGGTGCCGCCACCTCCCCGAACATGCGCCGCCTCATGTTGCTGCCGCTTCGAGAGTCGAGTGTGCTACCACTGCAGCACCGGACCTTTTTCAATGTGAAAGACACGCGTTCAAAACGTTTATGAAAGCTCACATCTTTCGCTCCGCGCCGCCGAGCGTTAGCCGAGGGCGGTGAGGGTGGTGACATGAGAGGGGTTTCGTTCTGCCACCACCTCCATCCAGCTATGACAGCGATATTGACCTGGGCCTGTTGCAAGTAGGTATTCGTGCTCACTAAATATGCTGCGAGAACATATTGCCTAGTGAGATAGATGAAAAACACCCCGATCTTCGTCACTACCACAGCTACGAGGTTGGTCGTCACCACTGGGAAGACGCCGAATCCTGAGAACATCGAACGATACCAACGCCTCATCGGGCCAGTGCTGGTAACGTCTTCAGCAACGTTGAAAAGCGCGAACGAACGCGTCGACGTAACAGCCACAGCAGACGGCGTAGATTGACGGGCAGCGTTCATAAAGACGATCGCAAGGTCTCATACTCCGGGTTCTTCGCACTTCGAATACACCAGCAGAGGAACACGTAGGTGAGCAGGAGAACCGATGCAAAGGGCGCGCAGTCGGTTCTCAAATCGTCGTAAAGACTCCCGCTCTCCCACTGTTTCGTCTTTACTTCTCCCACGCCGCGAGCAGTGAGTTCAAACTAGCCAGGCCAGGTTGGGCCATGTAATCAAAGCCAGGTTAGATTGCTCCTTGCGGACGGGAGAAAACACCTCTGCCTTCTTCCACCACGTGTCTGGATCGTCCATCGATCTAGCTTCTGTCCTTTCTGTTCATGCTGAGCTCAGACATACGTCATTGTTAGTTTGGCATAGCAATCAAAAGATAGCTCGCATAAGAAGCCCAAGCTGTATTCTTGAGTGCCTCTCCATCCTTCATCAATTTCAATTATCGATTATATCTTGACCGTAAAAAGTTATACTCTTGTACAATTAATGGAACTCCATATCCTGCATTATGTCCTCGAAACCCCCTAAAAACCCGTCAGTCCAAATCTTTCCCCGGGCACATAAAATCTCGCGTGCTGGTTTTACGGCTGCGTGGCTTCGACGTTCCAGCGCTCGGCAAAGTTGCGACTCTTTCCAGAATCTCTCCTTCAAACCCACCGCCATCGCACACCACAAGCTTCGACTTCACAGACACCAACAACACACCTGACACCACCGTCACCTTTCCCTCTCGACCGCAGCCACCAACATGACCAAACGCAAAGCTCAAGATGATCCGCCAGCTGTATGTTCTTGTATGCAACCCTTCGCGACATGAAAGCTAACAATCTGACAGCAGCGACGAACACGAGCGGCGAAGCGTCACGCCGCGTCTCAGCCAGTGTTTGCCGTGCCACAGATGCTGGAGATGATACTGCTGCACGTTTCAATGAAACAGCTATTCGTTCTGCAGCGCGTCAACTCGAACTGGCGCGACAACAATTCCAAATCGCCGGCCCGGCAAATGAAGCTGTTCCTGCAGCCTTCAGCGAGGCCAATCCGACCGGTGTTGAGCGAAAGCGAGAATGAAGAGAACTTCCAGCTATACACCACCAACCTCAGACTTAACCCAGCGGCTGGTATGTGGCGGATCTGGGGCGACCCGAAGCATGCGATCGTGGGCAAGGACAAGACGACCAACGTCGGAGCCTGGATCATCGGACAGATGGATGAGAGCGAGATTGCTGTCTTCTTCGAACTCGGCACGTTCCAATCTCTCAACCACTACACCGCACGCCAGCAGCGGACCGGAGGCCAGTCTTGGGAGAAGATGTTGCTTCATCAGCCACCTGTTGTCGTAGTGCAGCTGACGCACCACATCGAGACCGAGACTGGGGAGGACTCGGTCGAGCACCATATCTGCAACCAAGCAGGGTTGACGTGGGGCGACCTTCACCGCGGGGTGGAAGAGTTTGAGGTTCAGTATCGCCAAGAGAGAAGGAAAGATGTGCCCAACGGAACCGTCAACTTGGGTTTCCGGGTCAAGATATCCGGACTGGACCAGGAGCTCAGCAGCGTCTTGTATTCATGCATGGGCAGGCTGGACTGGGATGGGTTGTGTGGGTGCCTGAGGATGCTCCAGGAGGAGCAAGATTACGAAAGTGAGACTCCCTGTCGAAAGATTCCCATGGATTGAAGGAGAAATACCTACAACACGAAAAGTTTTGTATGAACTACGGATGTTGCTTGAATGGACGAAGAGTTCTTTGTTTCCCCTAACACCAATAATGGAGCCTAAACGAGGCCCTCGCGGCTGAAGTTCACTTCTTTGTACCTCGAGACAATGGACGCTTGAGAATGCTGACAGCAGATCTACGTTCATGGCCATCATGCCGTCTTTTACTCTGTGCTGAAGCAGCGGGCCCCATAGCCCGAGCCCATTCCCCCAGACGCGTTGCTCCATTTGCTTGTGAAAAGGAGGACTGTGCCATGCAGTGAACGATGCAAGCAAGACCCCGGATGCAGAGCATGGGTCGAAGCATTGCAAGTGTCACAATGACTTTTATGTGGACTGTAGATGTGTATGGCCTTTGCGGACAGAGAAAGATTGTTGAGCAGCCAGGCTAGAAAGTCAAGAAGAGGCCTGGAGGGAAGCTCTGAGCGAGGTATTCGTAGGTCAAAACAATGGCTTCCTCGAGCCCTGCCATGGAGGACGAGATCGACTGACTGGGACTCTTTCAATGCTGTTTCTCTGAATGAACGTAGGAGGGCTATGGCATTCAAGAAGTACCGGTTGGTCAGAGACTCGTGTGTACTGTGAGAAAAGCTACAGATCTTTCGTCCTCAACTTTTTGGACGCCTATTCTTTTCAGACCATACGGGGCAAGCCCACGACTTGCAGAGGTCGTTCCCAGACCTAGCCACGCGATCAACGATGGGGATGAAGAATATTCGCAAGCCTGCCTCTCACCCCTCGCCTCTGCTGGCCTTGCTCACTGTCTTTACGCTGCTGGCCTTCCTTGCGCTCCTGGCGATCTTTCCGGTTCTGCTGATGGCGGAGATCTTTGAACCAGTACCCGCGCCTGTGGTCGGTATTTTTGTTAGAGAACTGCTTCGATCCACTCGATATCACTCGGTCACTCACAGCAGCATGTACCCCTTCCAGCCTTCCACTCCCCATCGCCCCTCATCCCTCGCTATACCATGCCGCAACTGCTCCCAGATCTCCTCGCTCATCTTATTCGACTGTGTCACGAGCGCCGTCGGAAAGTCGCCCCGCCGAGGGTCACGACCTTCCCGGGCGGATCCCAACGCCATGATCTCTCCAAGCACATAGTCCCAGTTGTCTTCGCGAACTTGGCGACGCTGTCCATTCGCGTACTTGAGCCAAGTGGTCCAGGTAAAGCTCCGGTTCTGAGCTGATGATGGAGTATGCTGAAGGTGCTTGCTACGGAGCTGTTGCTGGATGTCCTCGAAGGAGGTCGTGAAGTCGAGGTTGGCGCGCTCGCTGTGGCGTTCTGCCAGGGCGCCCCAATGGCCTCTTGTGCGATAGTTGAGTTCCAGTTCGACGGGGAATGAGATCACGCGTGGTCGAGGATCTTCCTTTGGGCGGCGTTCCTCTCGCTCGTTGTCAACATAACCTGGAGGGCGGTCACTCCGACGGTTAATCTGGTTGTATACAGGCAAGGGATCCATTTTGGCGAGTTACTCAGTTTGAGCCAGTAGGAGTAGTGCCACAATGAGTTTCTCGCCTTCAAGTTGCGCACTGTCGAGCAAGAGCCAGGTATTCACCGTTGGTTGCCAGGTCGACCCCGTGACGACGTGCATGTGACCCAGCGCCGTTTGTCAAATCCAAAGAGCTCGTCTTTTCTGTCTGCACTCCTCCAGACCTTCAACAAACGGCCCATATCCATCGCCAAAATACTCCGCTTCTGAAGCCCTGAGCTGTTCGTCTCTCCACTTGACGTTGCTCTGCGAAACAGGCGACGTCGATCTCTCCTTCTCACCAACAACATCAACAAACAACGCCAGCATACCACGCGACAACGACAACATGTCGGCGCCGCCACCAACAGCACGACTTGGCTTCCCATTGCCCGCCGAACTCCTGGAAGAGGTCCTTCTCCAACTGCCTCACATCCGCGATATCGCCCGCTGCAAAGCCGTCTGCCGCCAGTTTCGCGACGCTATCAAGACCTCACCCTCTTTCCGCTTCATGCCATTCTTCCCCTTCGCCGATGACAAGCGCGTCATGAAAACCGTCTTCAGCAAGCGCAACCTATTCTACGGCCAGCCGTCTCCTTTCGTTACCTGCATCAACCCCATCTTCGCCATGCAAGTCGTCAATCTGAGGATCAGCTACGGCGAGTTGTTCGGCTGCTGGTGGACGAGCAGCACTGACTCCCCATCTTACAACCCCGTCACCGGCATTGTCCGCATCCGCTGGCAACTCGCGAGAGATGCCTCCTTCGGGCGACCTCGCATCACGTCCAAGAAGATCCTCAACATGCGCATCGACCACCCTCGAGTGCGTACTTGGATGGACATGTGCATCCGGAGCGTTCCGAAAATGAGCGGGGAGATCAAGCCAGAGACGACCATCAGGGAGTTCCTCGAGTGGTCTGATGTGTTGGATCTGGACGAGAAGCGGGCCAGTAACCTGTTCGTCAAGGAACCCATCATTCACGCTTGAGTGCGGAGTGTCCGTTGAGGGGTCAGTATAGCATGATATATGGGCTCTCGGAACGTGGTGCTGACTCGTGGGGGGTTGAAGGGAGAAACGGTGAGATACCGTGCAGTCACTTGCGCATCAAAAGCAACTTTGCTGCACCGATCATGAACTCTCATCTCTCATCTCAGGGGGGCTCTGCAGTCTGGCAGAAAGAGTGCAGAGTGATGCTCCAGAATTCGAGACTTCGACAAGCTCGGACTGTCATAAGACACAGGAAAAGGAGCAGACTGTGCGTTATGAGACGAGCGGTACGACTTGGAGTTTTGCTGGATCAGCAAGCTCGTCAACAGGACTCGATTATGAGCTGCACTGGATAGAGATGGGACCAAGCCCCAGTGGTGGTCTCATTCGCATTGTCTCCAGTCATTCTTCCCTTGACCTCATACCTTCTCTCAGGGCCTACCTTCCAACCTTGCCCCTTCAATCTCTTCTTCTTGACTTACGTCAACTCTATGCTCTTCTCAAATACAACAGCCAACCACTACTTCACGCAGGACTGAGCTGCTGATCGATCGTTAGCACTCGTAGAAACCCTCATATGCTGTAGCCTGATCAGAAAGAAGGGGTTTCCGGTTGTAACCTCATTCTTGCCACAGCAACAACGACTATTTTGAAAATTGGTCTTTGTGTTGTCTCTCGAATGCATGCCCATAGCTGCGAGTCAGTCGATCAAGTTCCAGCATCACGATTGATTTTGTTTGGGATATAGATTGCGTCTAGAGCCGCGTTCATATGCCGGCATGCTGCTGAGAATGAAACTTGCTCAAGACACCACGTTCAACAATGGAGAACCCTTTCTGGACCTTATGAAGCTGGAGTTGGAGACACAACCTGAGCTCTATTCACTGAGTGTACCCAGCTGTGCAAGAAACGAACTTTAACAAAGAGCAAGGATGCTGTTGGTACCGTTGAAGGCCTGTTGTGGCTGGTCTTGGACGCAAAGAGGACAAGGCGGCGATCTTCCCAGCCAAGCGTTGTTTGTCTTTCCCTGTACTGTGGAAGGAAGACATCAATCCCCAAGCCCTCCCCACGAAGGTACGGGATGAATGTTGTGAAGTCTTCGTTGCAGGCCAGAGAAAAGGACAAACAGGAGGATCTAGGCCAGGGGCTGGAGTCTCAACACGGCTGCTTCACAATATTGCGTGGAACTTTGGACGTCACGGAAGGTCTCAAATCAATGTTAGAGACGACGTGAAGAACCTTGAGACGATGAAGCAAATATGACGCGCATTGATGGTTTCTTCTTGCTGCGATCGACCCCAATTCCTTTCCCACCGACCGTTCGACTTCTTCGCCTGCTCCCACCGATCGCTGGAGGGTTCTCCCTCTATTCTTTCCAACCTCAAGCAAACGGATTCCGCCCGAGCATCCTGTCTCCCCGCCCTACTCTCCACTGCACCCCCTTCGGCAACTCCCAGCTCCGCTTCGCCCAGGCCTCTGAAAACTGAAATCGAACGGCCCGACACGCACCGGGATACGTCTGATACCCCTCCAGCACCGACACGAAGTCCGACATCGCCATGTACACTGCGAGTTTGACATACTCAAGCACGCCATGCAGGAGTTGGAAGTTGAGGTCTTCGCTGTCCACGCGGGCAACAAGGATGTCTTCTGTGATGGGTGGATCGATGCAGGTGCCGAAGGTGGGTGAGTTGAGGTCCGTGTCGAGGGAGAGATGTTTGGCGATGGCGTTGACGGTGCGGCAGCCCAGCTTTCGGGCGTGGTAGGAGCTGTGGTTGGCGCCGGGTTGGATTCTGAATTTGAGAGGGACGTCGAGCGAAGCAGAGATGGGGCAGGTGTACCAGGGGTTGTTGGGGTCGTTGGTGTTGAGTTCGGTGCTGTCAACGACAGTTGGAATCATGTCTTTGCTGTAGAGCGTCAATGTGTGGCATCGGATTAGGTCGTTGGATGTCATAACGGCCAGGGAGGGCAGGCGAGTGGCTCTGGTAGACGAACATTATCGTCAGGGACGATGGGCAATATGTACGAGAGGGCAGGATGCTAGAACGTGCGGACGCTATACAGCAAACAGGAAGAATATGATCGCACGTTCTGGTGAGTAAGACTCGTTCACCAAGTTAACGAAGTGTCACTCAGCGTCCATTCAAGATACTTCCAGTTCCGTGAGGTTGGAAGAATGCCGCTGTTCTGGAAGACGCAAGAACTTGCTCTTCCATGGGTGGAGGAGGAGGATATGAACTACGAGAGGGCCGGCGATCGAGGTCAGCGAGAAGATTGAAGAAAAGACAGGAAGATTAAAAGGAACACAGGAATCGACGTGAGAGAAAGGCATCATGTGTGGGGACCATTGCGTTCTGATAGCAGGTATGCTGTGCAAATGTGACGGCTTGGCACATGGATGGCTTCGTTCAGGAGTCTGCACGGAGACGATATCTTCAGCTGTGAGTGAAGGCTCGGCCATCTGTGTATAGACACCTTGCCGCACCTGCTCTGGGTGCTTGGATGGAAGGAATGAATCGATAGGCCGTCAAGCGTGGACGTTGCTATGAAGGATGCTGACCGATCGATCCTGATGTATCTCCTCCGTCGTCTCACCAAAGCTCTCTCCCCCTGTTCTCCCTTGTTCTACTCTATCATTGATTAGCCAGTTGATGCGGCACGTGTTGACTGTGGTGGGATCTTACCTCTCTTGCGAAGACTTAGGAAGATGGACGCAAGATGCTTGGCATGGTGTCGAGCAGCTGCATACCAACGCAGTACTTCTTATGGTCTTTCCAGTCCTCCTTCTGGCACTCCTTTGAGCAGTACTCAGCGGCCTTGCATGCACCACACTTCAGCAGCTTGTTGGTGTCGCTGCCCTTCGTGCCACACTTTGCACATGCCTCTTTCTTGTTCGGACTCGGGATTGGAGCTCGAAGAGCCGTCCAGTAGGCCTTCTCAGATGGGTCTGTTGCCTTGGCAGCATTTTGCATCGAGAAGAGCCGCCAGTATGTGCCGAACAGGCGAGGCTCGAAGAATCGATCAACATCCTTGCGAGTCGACTCTTTGAAGTGCTCGCCGTAGCTCTGAAGAAGGCCACAGATGTACTTGCCCACGAGTTGGAGGAGAATCTCAATGTCCTTGCCCAGATCCTTCCCATTCTCGCGAACGACGACCGCAGCACCGAAGAGTGGCGGTGCCATGTACTTGCCGAAGTCGTCGCTGGAAGTGTCGGCATTTGCGAAGAGTGCATTCACCACGCGCGAGTAGGTGTTGTGGCCCGGCGGGAGGTTGTTGCTTGTGGCCTTCTTGATCTTCAGCAGCATGCCCATGCGCCAGGAGACGTCCGATGAGATCCAGTTGTCGTTGTTGAAGCTGTGAGCGCTCACAACAACGGGCTCCAAGTGCGTGGCGGTGCCCAGCTCGACGCCTCTGACATACGGAGTGGGCTGATCATTGGCGCCGGTGACATTGGCTCTGCAGGCGACGATCACACCGCGGACTGGAGCAACTGATGGCATCGTGACTGTAATGAAGGCGTCGTGGTTCTTGCAGATGGCGAGATGGAGTCTTTTGCGACTTGCTGCTGTGACTTCGACAGGCGGACGGTGCGGGTGGCAAGCGGAGCTGGAGGTTCTGTCGAGGTTGTGGTAGAGAGGAGAGCGGAAACGAAAGTCCGGAGTCTAGAAAAGGAAGTTAAGTCGCGACATCACGTGGTGTCAGCGGAGAAGTGCCAACAGGTGAATATTTGCTGCCGCCTCTGATCACAACCTGGAGACCGCATATAGCACGTGTCGAGTATATTGTGTCGTGAGGTGTGTATAGCGCAACGTGCCGTGACAGTATCAAGACTCAGCTTCACATGAGATAGAATCCATTCCTTCATATGTCTGCTCCAGCAAACGAAACCCCGTCTCATACTCTTTGCCCTAGGGATGCCGTGCTGGAAGATCCACTTACGGGGCATGGCGGAACGGACATGCTTTGTCTTGTCCCCTAAATTGTTTGGCATATTTCCCAGCCAAAAGCCAATTCATGGTTTGTTGTGCTCCATACCAAGTCCAACAGTGCGAGAGGAGGCAAGCTGGACGGACCATGGGTACCCAAAGTAGGCTGACACTTGAAAGTTGGAAGCGCGAGGCAAAAGGCTCTCCGTAGAGACTTTGCCGTTTTGTAGGGCCGATTATGAAGACATGAATCACGATACGATATGAGCAGAAGCAACATTGACGCAGACATCCACGCCCCGGAGCTCTCAACCGCCAGCATCTGCAAATAACGGTACTTCTACCCAGTCTTCCCATCTCCTCATAACTCGACCGATGTTTGGCTTCCAATCATGTTGCAGATGCTCGCGAACATAGCAGTCAAGGATGTTACGACGTCCGCGAAGTAACAACTGGCGACCTTCGGCAGCTTGTGTGCGACTACCTCAGCCCACGCGAGCCTTCTCTGACACCTCGCTGCTTCACATAGAATTTTCTTCTCAACCATCTTCAAGGGGTTGAGATACAAGGGCTCACCATATACCGAAGCACGGTCCGCTGGGCGATGGGTCGCATCGCCGGTTCGCACTGACGGGAAGAGTACAGATCGAGTTGAGGTCAACGATTATGTCTAGGGCCATGCACTCATAGAAGCTATAGCTAAGCATATAGTTCGGGGTCGGCCTGACCCTCGTTCGATCGTCCATAGGGTCTGCGGTTGGTTTCGCGACCCAGTCAACTCCGTACAAATTCAGTTCTTGGAGCTGGACTCCGATGCCTTGGGCGACTCCAAGCCTAGTGTTGGGAGCGGTCTTTAGGAAGGACCCGTAACCCCTGAGAACAATGTGAAAAAGGCGCTGCGAATGGGAGACAGTCGTGTAAAGTCTTATATGTGAACGGAGGATGGGATGTTCGTTCGCGAGTGAACTTTGGATCGACTGTTTCCCACGGCATCGGTCTGTGCGCGCCTCCTCAAAGTTCTCACAAATTCTCGAAATCCCCCTAGAGCAGCGCAACATCCCACCAACACTATCACCGACCAAGCGTTTCGACTCCTGAACAGACCCTCCGTCCATCATGTCAACCGTGGAGAGAGCCTTTGCTGTGGTCGAGCTGTTCGAAAATATCGCCATCCAAGTTCACGCCCGCGACGTCCCCGCCTGCCGCACCGTTTGCAAGCAGTGGCGGGCTAACATTGACGGCTCGCGGCCTGCTCAGGGCAAGCTTTCCATGTTTCCGGCTCAAGACGACTATATGGCTTCCATCAGTGATACCTCGGTAGACTGGTAGTTCACTGCCGTACCGGGATCGTCAAGCCACGAAGTGCATTGATCGGACTGGAGGAAGAGAAGGAGAACTTTACGGAGCTTACGCCAGTACTGCTCATCATGAATGGAGCTCTGTTCTCCAGATCTCTCGACAAGATGAAGGAGCACTGGCAGGTCTCACCACACCGGGCTTGGAAGGTCAACATTCGCCAAGGACGCCTCAACGCCATTCTCGACCTTCGCTTCGATCCCATGAGCCTGAAGCCGCAGCACAAAGCATTCGACATGTACCTGACCCAGCCTCCCATCAAGCAGATTGATCTGTTCGCAATGGTTGAAACACCATCCAGTGGCACGAAGCATACGAAGTTGATGTTCATTCGCAACGGGGAGGGTATCAAGGCGAAGCATATCGTGCAACACCTCAAGAAAGCGATGCTGCAAGTGCAGTGTGCCCGCTCGAATGCTGCAGACCCAGCGACGAGGGAGCATATGCTATGGAGAGAGAGTTGGATGCACATGCCGGACAAGTTTGTCCTTACGGAGGAAGAGGCTGATGTTTTTGGAGGGTTGTCAACTGGGGAATGAAGAGGATGTGACAAAGCGATGGAAGTACAGAATAACTATCTCGAGACGGCAAGAGCATGGCCATCAGTAGGAAGGGGGAGGTAGACATAGTAGGAGATCACGAGCGGAGTCTTGACAATCGATTCGCCGGCCTCGCTACAGGGCAATATGTTACACCTTCTGGGCAACGACAGCAGGACCACCAACATCTCACCTACCAGCGAGATAGTACACTCAGTGGTTGATCAACGAGTCAAGTCGAGACCCTGTCGACAAGGCCAGAGCAACATCCTATCTTGTGGTGCTCCTGTCAGACGTCTATGCTCAGCATTCAAGACCTCCTGTTCTATCCCCCGAGGAAGCAGCTTCAAGGCGCTCGACTGGAACAACATCAAGAAATGTACGGGTCTTACGGCCTTTGATAAAAAAGACTCACCGTGTGCAAGGTCACGAATGGGACCGGCACCAATCTCCATGCCTGTGATAGGAAGGATGGGGACTGAAGCCCGAAGTAGTCAATGTGCTATCTGCAGCGGCTCCCGACGCAGTATGCTTGCGAGGTACCATCAGGGCTTGCTGCCCAAGACAGATAAACTGAGGAGTGGTATGTGATTTGACAAGAACTTCAAAAACTGCCCCACACAACAGCTTGGCACCCAACAGACCGGACCGTGCTCGTCGTTGATCTTCCATACAGATCTTGAAGCAATCCGAGACCCTAGGCCGGGAATGGAGGGATGTGAAGTGAAGCGAAGGTTCAAGCTTCTCTGCCCAGTGTACCGTTCCTCATGTGTGCTGCTCGGTGTACGCGGACTAAGATCGACCGGCGTTCCCTGTCTCGGTCTTACCGTGATCTATGTCTGTTGTGTGGCGCCTGAGAGCGGCTATATTCAACCCCAAGTAGAGCCCTCTCTCTGTTATAATGCCATGCAAACGTGTGAGAAAAGAGATAACAAACTTCATGGGGTCCACGGAAGCATCGACTGAAACAAATAGTGCAGAAATGGCGTTGAGAAACACTAATCTTCACGTTGGCGAGCAAGGGATAGAGGGAGGTAATGAATCTTATTGCGAGTCAGTGATAGACTTCATGGAGTAACACAATCTCACATGTTTGTTGCTTTCGCCTGCTCGGCAGCTCCTTTCGACTCTCACAACCCTGGTGCTTATTCATTTAACGCTCCTTCACCATACGCTCTACGACGACCCGTGAGACTTGTCTCTCAACTGGGCGGTATATGGCGCAGACGTGGGAGGAAACGACGTTACCTACGCTATCCAGAAACTTGACGTGTGAGACGATGACCGTTATCCGGCAATTCTCAAGCGCGTGAACAAATAGCGACAAGAACGCTGGATCTACAGGATAGTTACTCCCAGCACACCAGATGTTGGAAATTATAAAATTGTAGCAGCAGCGCTTTGCAGGCGTGGTGTTGTTGAGTCGACGGGGGTTGACATTGCTAGCAATTGTACTGCAAAGGTTGGTTAGCTATATGAACATGTCCCTTCTCAGAGCAGACGAAGTTCGTGGTCATATTCCGATCGCGGAGCGGCCTGCTGGTTGGGAAGGCGAGTCACTTCCGAATTCGGCAGTAGCGAAGTGAATGCTCGCTTAACCTTCCAAATCCAAGCTCCGCTTCGCCACCTCGCGCTTCGTGTTCCAGCGCCGAACCTACCACAACAGTTGTCGCAACACCACACCGGCGACAAGAAATCCATCACCGCAGTGCACCCTCACTCACTGCAGCGCAACAACATGGCGCATCCGCACCTCGGCGACGACACCGCGCCAACGAACACCAACAAGATGCCTCCACCCGGTCCTTTTTTCCCCCACGATCCCAACCCTTCGAATAGAACCCGGTGCACGAAGCGCCCCAAAAGCTCCTTCATTTCCCGTTCCGAGCGCTCAAAACCGCACTGTTCCAAGCTCAGCAATCAAGCCCGACTCGGACCATCGCTGCCTAAACGCACCGAACCTGGTCTGCTTCCACTCGAGCGTACGGGCTTTGAAGCGCCTCAGACCGACATCCTCCGCGATTCCCACCCTCCGAGCTCGAATAGCACGTTGCAAGAAATGATGGAGTCGTTCGAGTCTTTGAGCGTGAAGAGCAGTGGAAAGGAGAAGGATGTTGAGGTGGAGAAGGGAAAGCAAAAGATCGGAGGCACGAAGGGAGATGGGATGGCGACTCGAGGATATGCAGTAGGCATCATGAATTTGCTCAAGGACATGATCAAAGAAGAACAAGGTCAACCACCGAGGCCGCGCGGTCGAAAGCGAGAGCACGATGAGATGGAAAACCCTGAGGGAGAAGAAGAAGAGCTAGCACCGGCAACAGAGCGTGGGTTTGGCACCACCGAGATCCTGGAACATATCCTGGACTTCCTGTCGCCTGGCGATCTCCTGCTATGCCTCGCAACCTGCCAGACATTCAAGAACTGCTATGACAACTCAAAGAAGCTCAAGCTCAAGACGTGCGAAGAGGTCGAAATCACAATGCCTGGAGTAATTGTGTATCGTGCCCACAGCCCAGCCTTCGCTGGCAACGGCAACGGCGCGAACAGCACAGCTATTCCTCCTGCCAACGGCAACCTCACCGGACCGAGTCACAACACAACAGCCGCGCCAAGCGCGAATTCCGCTGTTCCGCCCGCCCCTCGCAAGCCTCCGCTCATCTTCAACATCAACCCACTGCTTTTCGGACCCGTCGTCCGCGCCCGTAACGACCAATGGCATCTTACGTACACCTTCAAAGGCGCCAGGGGAGTGCAGCTCGCTCGTGTCATCTGCGAGCCTGGCAAAGAGCTGGCTTTCGAAGTCACATTCAATAACCCTCGTTTCAACCCTGGTTGGGCCGCAGCCCCCACCGGATCCTGGACGAGACTGTACCCCATCGACGCCGGCATGCAAGTTCAGCTCAAGGTGATCTACTGGGATGAGCGGAGCTACGAGACGCCGCGTGGTGAGATCACCGTCAACAAGACTGCAAAGGCCACACTGTCTTGCTCTGCAGCTAAGGTTGGCCAGATCCTCGCTCGTGCTCGTCAGGTCAATACCGTGCTGCAGGGGTACCTCTTCGAGCTGCCCCCGAGGACCAACGATTTGATGAAGGAGATTGGCGGCCAAGGTTTGAGTTTATGGGCCACGGACAAGCTTGACAAGAGGATTGCGTGCACGGTTGAGACAGTCACGATGACGAAGACCTTGTGCTAGAGGTTCATCGAAGATTGAATCTCCATGTCGGAGGAACGAATGGGTTAATGCAAGCAGTCAACGATTGAAACGAAAACAAAACAGCCATGGAAGAGAAGTGGAGCTTGCCCCAAAGCAATGTCAGCTACAGCTCAGCCAGTTCCATGGCTGTTGTTCAAGCCGAGAGCAACGCCGGTCTCAGTCTGATTGTTTGATTCAACTCTTAATCCCTCATTACATTCTCCTCTTACCTCGTGCGCATAACCTGGACGACAGGAAAGCACGACAGTCGCCAAGACAAGACGTCACTCCAGGGTTGGCACGCTTACAGAAGATGGATAGGACTCAGAGAACATGGCATCGATAAGTGGCATTCTCATTCTTTCGGGAAGGGAAGTGGGTAGACAGTCGAGCTCATTGAATCCACGTACAGTGCATAAGATGATGGCTCTGCGAGTTTCTTGTAATTGAATGAATGCCCTTCCCATACTGTATTTTCTCATGTCCAGTTGTTCAATTGACAGTTTGATGAATCTAATCATACTTCAACGCTTCTAAGAGATCGTAGGATCCTACCCAGAGACTTTCTTCCCGGAGTTCGGGAATCAGGAAACGTAAGAGTGTGTCCAAAAGTTAGTATCGCGAGTAACGTACTTGATGGGGAAGCTGCGCAGACGGTGAAGCTGCGTACGGATCCGCGACACTTTCGCGTTTTCTTTTAATTTCTCGCGACACGCTTAACTTTTAACTCTTCT